ACAATTCCTCTGTGCAGCAAGGTGTGGTTCATTTCCCACCATTCAACCAATGTGTTTTGTAACAAGAGACAGCCGCTCATTGTTCCTGAGTGGAGCACAAAGTGTTAATTTAAGAAACCTGCTGTCACGCCACTCTACAATGGTAGAAAAAAAATATCGCTGATCTCCATTGAAACTTATTTAGAAAACATTTTCAAGCATTTCTTTTGATCTTTTTTCTCCTCAGTGACCCTGCTTGGCCCTGCTGTAACCGTGGACTGAGAAGGGAGTTACGCAACAATCTATGCATTGTGTATAGGATGACAAAGCCAGCTCACAATTTAGCTTCACTTGGATGCGCTTTAGCTTTGTAGGGCCATGTTACAGTAAACAATGAAAGTAAATAATGAGTTCAGTCATTAGAAGATACTGAAGAGCTTGAAGAGAGAAATGGTGGCAGGTATGATGGACAAAAAAACTGCTCAATTATGTGGGTTCCCTTTAGTAATTTACAGTGATGAAGTGCTTACGATCCAGCATCCTTACTAATCAACCATCTGTATTGAAGACCTGATTCTGATTGGTCAAAACCCCTTGACAACTAAGGAGGAAAGATGATGCCTGACACAGGTCAAATCAACCGAACGAAGGAGTTTTGGCAAATCTAATATACTTTTCATGATTTCACCTCTTTCTGTTTAAAATATTGTAAACACATACTTTTCCAGAATGTTAGCAAACTTCATGGAGGATTATTAATTGTGTCAGTTATCTGACTTTACTTAAAGAACAAAACTTTAGATGGGAAGTTAATGGCTGACCAGTATGTAGCAGGTAAAAAGGGGACAAGGAGAAAACAGAACAGAAACTAGCGAGAAGAAACCTACAGAAAAAAAAAAAAAAACATGTGAAACTGAGACATCTAACAATTGAAGCAAACATACATAAAGCAAGCACAAACTGCAACAAGTTATGGATTTTAGCAGTGTTACAGGACTGGATGAGCGAGAAGAGAGGAAATACAAACAGGCTCTAACAGTAAAGCTTTACTTTTTAAAGCTTCTGTGAGGAACTTTCAGTTTGTGTTCAGAACTGTGATTACTTATCTTGTCCTCTACACAGTTACAGTAAATATTGTCCTGAGAGAAAAAAACAAAAAAAGTCATCCTTTTGACCTTTGAAAGTGAGTTGTATCATTTATTATGGATACTTATTTATGAACTATAAAAACTGTGTCTCCACCTGCTCAGCTGGCACCAACCCCCTAAAATGGTTATGTTGAGTTTAGTGTTTCTTCTTGTTGTACTTATGCGCTTATTTTCATATAATTTTTTTTTGTTTGTTTTTAAAATGGTTAATTAAAACCTAAACGTATTCGGTGAGATTTTATCATTTTCTCAATCTTAATTTTTTGGAAAGGTCTCATTAGACAGCTCTTTCTCTGAAACTGCACGGCTGCCAGTGGTATTTCTGTGTTTCTTGGTCATGCTAGTTGCACAAAAAGTGAGGTATGATCTCCATCAACATAAAAAAACAAAACAAAACAAAACAAAACAAAAAAACAGTAAATCTTCTTTGCCAAAACAGGACATTGAGCACAAGGTTTCAAGATAAGGGGGATCCTTTTCATGCCACACCTGTATTACATCCTGTACAGATGTAGTGCTAGAGAGTCCTGCACATCCTATCCGCTGTATTGTTTTCTACTGTCCCTCCACATCCTAAAGATGGTTGATGAGGGTTAAAAGTGGCCTTAAAGTCCTTTTCACTCAAAAAGCCAGCGTGCTGCCAAACCCTCTGATTTTCACCATAAACAAAAACATTTCCTGTGTATCACACCAGTTTCCCTCAATTGTACTCAACCTCTCGATGAGAAGTAGAAAGTCTCTGGAGGAAAATTAATGTTGTACCTTTGCTTTGTTACAGTTTACTGTTATTGTGAATTTGATTGTGTATGTGTGGGATAAATAAACACAAGAACACACGTCATCAAACAATTAGTCAGGAGGGACTTTGCTCGAAACCCTTTCTGCATGAAATTTATGCAAATATGAAAAATATCACAGAATTTTTTGTTCAGGGATCATGAAGGGATTTTTTTTTTGCAAACTGCATTGACTACTTCTGTGCTGATATTTATCTTATCTGCAAATACAACGCCTTTAGTTTGCACGTGTCAAACGAACCTTGGATACAAGTCATCCAAGTCCTAATATTTACTCTTACATTTTTTTTCCAAAGGGGCTGAGCTTTCTCAAGTCAGGCCATCTTAGGCAACCATTTAGAGAGCTGTTTGAAGACAATAACATATTACCCAGGAGTCGTATTTCAATATTTAAAGATCAGGATGCTTGAGAAGGAAATCCTTTTGGAGAGGGAAATGAGGTGCAGTATGTAAAAGTTGGAGTAAACACAGTTTCAGGCATTTCCTCGCTGCAATCGAGTGCACTGATAAGAAAACGAGAGCATGGCCAAAAAAAAAAAACCCACGGTGAGAGACCTCTTTGTGAGCCCCTTGTGAATGTAAACTTTGAAGGAGCTGAGAGGCAACCTTATTTATAACATGCTCCTTATGTGTATTTGAGTTAATCCAGGCATGGGTAAATCACTTTTATTAGCCATATGGATGGCTAAATGTACAAACTTTTCAAAACATACAACAGCTAGAGCTTCATAATGGGGTAAAAATGTTAAATAAACCTGGTGCAGAGCTACAGTTTCTCATAATTCCTTGTAAAAAAATATATTAGCATTTGCATAATGTATAAAAATGCCACAATTTTTCTGATGAGAATACGCTCCAAATGAAAAGGTTCAAACAAATACAAGCTCAGAATATCTACATTTGAATGCTAGATTTGATGCATGAAGCAGTTGTAGAAACAGACAGAGTATTCAGGCTCTAGATTCAGACCAGAATTGAGGCGGAAAGCCTTGCACTGACATTTGTCCCCTGACTTTTGGCCTTTGCAGGTCACCCCGTCTGACTACGGTATGTATGAGAAAGCTGTTAAAACACTCTATTAGCTACTGCAGGGTCACATGAGTGAAGTTACATCTTCAATCGGATGTTGGAAATTCCTCCAAGAAATGGTGCCACACTGACGCAGCATGGCCATGACTACATTATCCACTCAGAGAGCCGAGCTACCACTTGTGCTGCATCATGTCAGAGCGTCAGAGCGGTCCTGTGACAGCACGAGGAATCCATAGGCAGGAGGAGGACTCTCGGCACTGATAAACAACCTATTCACAGAAACTACAATACAAAACTGAGAGGAGAATTAAGCTGCAAGGAACAAAAATTTGATGTTTCCTTTTGGCAAAAATTGTGTTTCTACCAGATTTCATTGGTTACTACGAAATATACTCAAAGAATATCATACACTTTTAAATTCATAAAACAGTCATAGGATGAAACTTGTTTTTAACCTTTATTAGAAACCCGCAAACTATAAATCTTATGTATAAATGTAATTACGCAAAACCTAACACTGAACTACTGGATGTAGATTAAAATCTCAAAAGGTTATTTAAATGCCTCTGATTTATAACTGCGTTACAAGCTGGCTGTGTTACTGAAACACCGCATTAGCCAGTTCACTGGCTGCATTCAAACTGTTTACTAAGTTAGTTTGTTTCTATAAATAGAGCTCATCAGCGTTGAAAGAGAGGAAACAGTGGTCCCTCTGTCCCTGCAGTGATTTCCCTGTTGTTTAAACAGCAGGAGAGTTTGGGGACTTGAACTCAGACTAATTAGCTAATTCATCATCCCTGAAGGGAACAACATGTGATTCAATCTAGTCATCAACATCCACTTTTCTATAAATCAAACCCTGTCGGGAATCTTTCAGGATCTCCCACATGATTACAGTTAACTCAGGGAAACAACCACCCAGTATGGGAAGTCGACATCAATAATGGGAAAATACATGTAAGGACAGCAGCAGTAAACAGCTATTGCAAGTATAACTATAAATACATGAAGCAGTGATGAAATACAACCTAGTAAATAATAAAAAGGATGTTTTCAATGTGGGCCAGTTTAACTAGGAACCACAGGGAAGTTTTCCAGGTTGCTCCGGTCTGTCTACATTGCTCAGTTTGGATGCAGAAACAAACTTCATTATCACTGCAGAGCCACGTCTGTTTCAGATCATCAATTACATTTAGTACATAAAACGAAAACATATTCAAGTTTCAACCTTTGGTTTGTCGTCTTTCAAATATTTGCAATAGAATAAAGGCTTTAGATGATTTGCAAACCACCAACAATGATCTAATGAAGATTTTACCCAGCCTCCAAACTTCTATGGTATTGCAGTAGTACAATAAAAAGTAAATAAAACATTTAAAATCACCTACATTTGCTGCTTCTTAGAAGTTTTCTCATAATGGCTTTATTGTAATTTAACACATAAATTGTCCTGTACCAAGGTAAAGCTATAAATTCATCTCTTAAAACCTGTGGTGTATTTACAGTGTAATTTTGTTACTTTCCCCTCCGGTAAATAAACGTCTTGAAGAGATATCTCACTTCTGTTATAGTGTGATTTAAGTTGTTCGTTCTAGCGGTACAGTCTAGTCACCAATGATTACAGATAATGGGTTCTTGCAAAGGTTGGCACTGTAATAAACTGCAAATTCTCTGACAAGGAGAGCCCCCTAGTGTTTATATTTAGACACAGTTTAGTATTTCAGACCCACTCTTCTTACACCAACTTCTATAAATTGTCATTTAGGTCAAGTTTTCATACCGAAGGATGAGGTACACAGCCGGCTAAACTACATAGCTACTGGGAACATATAATATCTTTACATTAATGTCATGCACGGACCAAAACAGCTGTAACCACATCGTGTAAAGCTCTAGGAATGCTCTTAAAGGTAACCAAATATCATAAAACACATCCTTAGCACACACGCATGGTGAGTACGATACCTGTGCAACACAACATAGCGAAAGGAAGAACGGCTCTTATAAGAAGACGTATTTGCGTCATAGCGCATGAGTTTCTGTTGTTGTCATGGTTACTAACTAACAAACTGCTCTGAGGAGGTAATGATCCGTTTTGCTAGCCGCTAAAAATCTGATTTCTATCGAAAAAATCGAGTATTTTATGCCTTTTTTCAGTCTCCTTTGAATAACATTGATTAAATGACTGTTGCTGGTAAAAACAAAAGGACATAAATAAAACACGACCTCTTTTTCCCTGGTAAGTGACATTCTGTGTCATGTTTTAAAGTTTTAAATCAGAAATCTTGTTAGCAGTACTATAGCTGCTTACAGAGAACCAGTAAACAAAGTGTTTATACCTTTTACCTCTGCATTTCAAAGTAACCAGTGCCACAGTTACTTCCTAAAAATGGCCAGTGTTTTATTGTCTATGTTAAGTAGACACATTAACTCAACTTAGAGTTTTCCTTATGATTATTAACTAATCATTCCATATTCCCCATCATTAATATGACAGCTGTTAGCATCTTGTTAGTAACTTAAAGGTTAGTATAGCCTTTTACTGTAACATTTAATATCTCTGAAATATCATAGGCAGCACTACAGGAGAAAACCTTGAACAAAGTAGTTAAAATGGACTTCATGAGATGACTTTATGAAGTTGTTTATTCATCACGTAAGCTTCATAATAATGCAACCATTTGTGGAGTAAATTCAACCAATGAATTCTTGACTTTTGAGACATTAAGTCATACTGGTTTTACTACTACTTTTATCTCAGGACGATCATAAAGCCAGTTGTAAACATTGACATGCCTTTCCAATACCGCAGCAATTAGTTGTAGTTATACAATAATCTATATAATCTCTATATCAAATCTTAATCTGCACTCAGCAGGAGTAACTGAAAACTGACTAGAAAAACAATTTGTCAGCATGTGTATTTCACCTCAGGGTTTGAAGTATCGCTATAAAAATATTATGTATCATCGCTGTCACTCTTTACCTTGAGCGATCGGGTTACCTTAACTGAACCAGCACGAGGACAGGTCATATAAGGTAGACGGGGAGAGTTTAGAGAAGGAGAAAGAGAGGCAGGAATAGATAAGATAAAATGTGTAGGTATGCATACACTGCTATTTAAAATGATTACGTCTTCATCTTGACTGTCAGTATTGAAATAATTTCTCTATTTAAAGGGGAGATGCAACATGATCTCACCTCATTCCTTTAGTTTAAAAGTTACATGATGTCTTGTGAGCCCTTAATCATCTGATATGAGCGGTCTTATCAGAAAAGGGATGGTCAAGATGACAAAATGAAGATGACAAAATTACAGATTTAGATTTAAAAATATACAAATACTGTTTCTTTTTCAGAAATTACATCATTGTTTACATGTTTGCACTCAATGGACTTGTGCATATATTTTACCACATGCACATCCTTGCAGTATGAGCTATCAAAGTATTTATTTACTGTATGTTGGTCCTTTCTTGCAAAGACAAACAGAAAGTAGTTTTTAAATGTGGTTCAAGATTTAAACCTCAATATTTAAAAATAAAGATACTGGGAGAATTAGGAGACAGTGATTTTTATTTCCACATTGAGACTAGTGGAAGCAGCTGAGAAAAAGGTGCAGTAGTTTAGCCTGAACTATAATAATTTCACTAAAATCTGTACTAGTTTAATAATATAGCTCAGAGTTTTCAAGAGGAAAAACAAGATCCTAGAGTCCAAGTACAAAGAGTACACCATGCACAAGGTTATCCAGTGATCTGATCCCAAAAGAATAAACCAGTTTATGAGACAACACATCAAAGAAGCTGTGTCATTAACAGGCCCATGCTGGAGAAGATAAATTATCTTTTTTTTTCTCGCTGTGTTTTGGTCAGAGATACACAATGACTTATCTTCACAGTGTGCAGGCTGTCTAACTGGCAAAACATACAGAAGGCTATAAAAAGAAGACTCCAAACATATCAGGCATGAGGTTTCAATATAGACACACCTCCTCAGTTAGTAGTTAGGTCTTCCATTGAGTGACCTTTGGGTGAGTTATTTTGTGGTTGGTGTAGTAATCCTGAAAAGGGGTGTAACTTATACTCTTAATTAAGTCTTCTTGCTTCACATCATCATGAGGCAGTGATGGAAAGTACATTAACCACATTCAAGGAATGCAACATTTGTTCAACCAAAGCTCCAAAACCAAAAGAGTCTCTTTGTACTCTCATAGACAGTAAAGAAAAGCAAAAAAAACTCTAGAGTGTAAATGCAAGAACCATCAAGTTTAGGATTTTGGCTTAAAAAATGGACAAATTAATCATTAGCTATTTTTAACAGAGGATTCATTTCTCTTAGATTACTCTGTTACCAGACTAAATATGGCAGCTCCCTAAAAAGCAGTCCTCAGTTCAGTTTTGAGGTAAAGAACAAGTTAATTATATTTTTATTCACACTTACGTTCGACTTACTGTAAGTTAAATAAATGAACACTTTTTACTCCTGTCACAGTATCAATCAAATCAAAATCAAATCAAATTTTATTTATATAGCGCCAACAGTCGCCATTCACAACAGTCGCCATCCCAAGACGCTTTTTAAAGAACAAGAGCAGGTCTAGACCACGCTCATTGTTTGATAAATTATCAAGACCCCACCTAAGATGAGATTTGTCCCATCTCATCTAACACGAGTGACAGTGGCAAGGAAAAACTTCCTTTGAACAGGCAGAAACCTTGAGCAGGACAAGACCCATGCCAGACAGCCACCGAGCCGCTGCTGGGTTAGGGAGGAATACAGAGAGATAAGGGGAGAGAGGGAGAGAAGTGGAGAGAGGGCAGGGGAAGAGAGGAGAACAAGACAGAGGGAAGAAGAGAGAGAATAAGTAAGGGAGAGGGAGAGGGAGAGGGAGAGGGAGAGGGAGAGGGAGGGAGAGAGAGAGAGACAGGGGACAGCAGCAACATTAAAACAACAGCAACAACAACAACAACAGCTCATGTAATGGAGAAACAAAATGAATTCAGTTTACAGAGTTAGGAAATGAGTAATTATGGACTATGTTAAACTAATTCAATGTGATTACAGTCTGATTACAGTATCAATGTTGTTTCACAAAGTGAATCTCATGTTTCAAGCATCTGAAACTGCTATCTAAAGTATTTTTTTTTTTCTGTCCCCAGGTGCAAAGACAGGTTGAGGACCAAACTACTTTATTCTCCTCAAAACAAGGTTTCTGTGGTCTGCAACTCTGTAAACATGAGCCTCAATAACTTCAATGAAAGTTGGTCAGTTCTGTCCGGGGCTCAGAGAAGTGTCTCACCTGTTATTTTTTATGATACCCAAAACAACAAATCCAGTCAGAGGCCTAAACACGGCATCTCTGAAGGGCGTGGCTGCTTCTCAAAGCAGGTGATCCAAAAGCAGCTCCGCAAAGACTATATCGCAGCTGCGGAGGAAAAACTAACAAAGCATCCTCTAATGACATACCCATACTACAAAGATCACATGACTCCAGAGGTAGGTGGAAACAGCAATTATCTGTTCTTTTGAGGTGTAATCTGCCTATTCCTGAAGCCTGTATTCTAAGAGAGCCAGATGACTAAGTGAGGTGTTAGCTAATCATAATACGTCATATGACTCTTATTAATATAGTTCTTTTTGTTCTCAAGTTGTTTCATAAGGTGGCATCAATTTTGGACCCAGACATGTGCGTAATTGACGCCTCTGGACTCTCTACGCCCACGGAGCACCATGTGGCAGAGGAAAAAGACCAAATTTGCAGATAGCCAAGAAAAGCAGACAAGGGAATAACTCCAACAGTATGCAAGTATGCAGACAGACTTAATGGTAGTATTGACACAATTTAAGTTACTTAAATACCAGACTGTTGAAAATCACCAGATGAATGACCTTGTCTACATTCCTGCATCATCTTATTGCTGTTCTGACGTAGACAAGCAAAATTCCAGAAAATGATCAAAAATGAACAGAAATGCTTCCAAGAAAAGCCAAACTGTTATGAAAACTGATATGAAAATTAAAAGATCACAAGTGGTTTTTTTCTCTCCGGGAAGAGCCAGTTAAGAAATCAAAGGCATAAAGGACACATAAAAGTTCATGATTTGTTGCAGTTGTTACAGAAGGACTAATATTATGTCATCATAAAAATAGAAAGAAGTTGTGCTTAATCTTTGAAGGAGGATTAGACAAAGTCACTGAATCTGTAAGTGGCCTTTTTGGATCAGCATCTTTTCTTTTTGTCACGGCTGAGGTCACCAACAAGTCTCTCTTGCTTCAACAGACAGTCCAGACTCTTCAATCAAAGTACAAGAGGAGTAAAAAAATAGAATAATTCCTCATGCTTAAGCTCACAAATGCAAGGAAAAGATCTGCATCTATGTAAATATCTGCAGGACACTGAATCCCACAACACTGAAGAAAGCTGACACAGATACAGGCAAGACCAAGGCAACCTACCCAAGAAACCTGTATGTAGACCGTGTTTGAAACTAAGTGATACAATCATGATGACCATCTGCTGTCTAACCTCAAGACAACTCATGTCTTCTTTTCTCAAGTCAACATGTGGAGCAGTTGGTTTGTTGACAGGATGAGGATTGGAAGCAGATGTATGTAAATGTAGCAGTCAGAAGTTATGTAATCCACTATGGACTGAAGGTTTTAAAGAGTATGGGGGGATCAAAACACCAGAGTGTGGGTCCACAGCCTTCGTATACAGGGAGTGCTTTTCACAATCGCACAGTAAAAACACGATAAATACGGAAGAATAAAAGGCCAGTTTTCCCACAGCTACTCTATGTCTCACTGATATTTTTGCAGCCAAAAACAGGAACATGGGTGATTCAGCTCTGTGTGTAAGAGGGGAGAGGTAACGTTTATCGTCATGTAAATGACATCTAAACGTGACTTAAACAGCTGACACAGATAAGGATGTTTCAGTAATGTTAACGTCATCTCTGTATTGAGCAACTGCTTTGTGAGCTGGATTATTTCCAATAAATAAAGAGTCATATACCTTTTTTTAAATTTTATTTTGAATAAATTACAAAACTACACATGATCTTTGATTTATACAAAACAAGTCTCTACAAACTTCATTTGAGGAGTCCAATAGATAAAAACAGAGGTTCCTGAAAAAAACAAAACAGATCAGTTAGTAACATTTTTTTAACTTAGTGGCAAAAAAGCAGCATAAATGTATCCTGTTAACATCTCCAACTTCAGCAGGTTTGGGGAAGTGCTAAAACTAGTGAATTATTAAAGTCAACCAATTGAAACTACCAGTATTTGACCTTTGTGTGAATATCATTCAGATTTGTCTCTCCGTTAACAAACAGCATGAAGTTGTAATATAAAGATGACATCTTGAAGAAAAACCCACAAAGACCCAGTCTGTGTAAATATCAGACTGTAACTGAGATCCCTCTTCATGTAGGATATTTCAGCTGAATGTATTCTCAAACAAAAGTGTTAGACGTCTCTCTCTGTGACAGTATGAGCTGTATGTGCTGTATGTGTGAACAGCTTACTGATAAGAGGAGCCAGCCTCAGGTCTGTTGTATTGTTCTCTGTCGGTCACTGGTGGCTGTTCGGGTCAGAGGTCAGGAGAGTGTGGACGGGTGACCTGCGGCCCAGTGAGAGGAACTGTAGGGAGGAACTGAACCTGCCTGCAGCTGCTGGAATCGAAATAGCATAGCATGGAGTCATAATGTAAATGTCAGATACACAAATATAGAGATTGGCAAAGATTCAGGAGTTGATGTTGCTGATTTTATTTAATTCTGCAGCTAAAAACTCAAATTCCCTCAGTGGTTTAGGTTTCAACTCCAATTTTCTTGAGTTATGGTTCATTTTCTTACTGTACACAGGCTACTAGCACTTTAACAATTTCCTTTGAGAATTTGCTGAATTGAGTGATCTGCATGTTGAGCTTCACATGTTTACGATAATTTCTTCAAATTGCCTTCCCAACAGCTAAGATCGCAAAATATAACTTTTAATTAAAGAACACAAAGATGAAAAGTAAGTCATCTGATTTGAGAGGCTGGATGTTTCTTTCTTTGTGGTATTTAAATGAGCTTTTTTTAACACCTTGCCTGGGGACTGACAGCTGAAAAAAATCTGTAGACTGATTCTGGCAACTTTCAACTTTGTGTATTTGTCAAAATAAACAATTGTTATTAAAGAAACCTAACTAAATAAAGGGTCATTTCTGTTGTTCAATCAAATAACTGTTAAAGCGCTGATGATTTATATCAGATGAACTCTTCCTTCCTAAAATGAGGATTAGGGAACTCGTACATAATTGGGTAAAAGGTAAATTTATTGTTGTAAAACACTCACTGTCAGTGTGGGGTTTGTTGTGGATCATTTTTCCATTCAGCTCAGCCATCCTCCGGATATGTGGCTCGCTGTGTGCAGAAAGTGTTTGCACAAGCACAAGACAAGCATTACACGACACATGAGTCTGAAGCACATAGTCTGTGGCGCCTTGAATGTTGCATGAGGGGTAAAAAGGGTCACGTGGGACAATGCAGTGATTATCCCACAGGCGCAAGAAATGCATGTCATGTTTAAAGGATGCAAACAAAACACATCAACATAGAAAGGGCGGGGATTCACTTCCTACCTGCCGCAGGTTTTTCTTCTGAATCTTGAGGCAGCTTTCACCTCTTTGTCCTTGTCACTTCTGTGTGGGGATGTTAAAATAAACGTACGGTTTAACAATTATTCAGGATCATTTAAATCCATCAGACATATTTTGAAAGCTGCAGGGTTGTCTGTTTGTTTTACAGAATTTCCCACTAAAAGCAGTGAAACATTATTCTCACCCCCCCCCCCCCCCCCCATTTTCCTTCTCACTTAGTAGCATCACATGATTTTCAGGTGTGACCTAAGCTAGTCTGAGCACCAAGCTAATCCCCATGATGTGTGGGAACGTACGATGAGGTTGAGTGCTCTCTCGCTGGTGCCGACCTCCTTCTGAGGAAGCTGCTGCGGCCGGAGGCGTGTTCTGTGTGTGGTCTGTGGTTCTCCGAAAGCACTCCTTGAAGCTCTTTGACGAGAGACCTGAACTCCTTGGCAGGGCTCTCTTTCTGCTGTTTCAGGGAGGAGAGACAGGGAGGTGTCAATGCATGCTGCGGTAATGTCAGAATTACATACAGTATACCTGGAATAGCAATGCAGACAAAATCATTTGTTAGAACGAGCAACAAGACTTTTTTTAATGTGAAGGCAAACAAAACAGTCTGTTGCTACTGTGATGAGATGATCAACAGTCAGGTTTCTCTCTCTTTGCCACAGGAATGTAACGATGAGCATGTTTTGGATTTAAAGGCTGTGCAGCTGTGCTGAGCTCGGCCAAATAAACAATGATTCACACATGTGGTTTATTGGCCTGGGCTGTAGGAGATAGACATGGGTTTTACTGAGAAATGCTGACTTTACCGTTATGTGAGTGTTGAAAGCGTGCTGGGAAGAGGGTGGGGCAGTGAGTGCAGATGGGGACGGGGAGTCCAGGTCAGGTGGAGGTGCATATGGAGCTGTCAAATTTTGACCTTGAAGCTCCTGAGGATGAGACAAAAACTGATTATAGCTCATCATTTGTACTCAGTTCTCTTTTGAAGTTAAAAACCACAGAGGAAGTTGGATTAGATAAAGACATTCACATTACTATCAAACATGCAATATAAAGTGATAAACCTTTTTCCCTACTATCAAATACACTCTTTATATCCTCCAGTTTTACCTTCAGGTCCAGGGCGTGTTGGAGTTTCAGGCGGAAAAATTCCTGCTCCTTCAGCTGGATGAAGTCTTGACAGTCTGCAAAGCTCTCAGACATCTTTCAGGGGATACGAAACATGAAACGAAGAAAAAACGCAAAGAGAACATGATGGATATGACTCTTTTGTTTTCTTACAGAGAGGGGGGTCACTATCACAACAAACTCCCATTAATACTGAAGATAAAAGCCCATTTCTCTAAACAGCAGATACCATTTCGCAACAGTTTCATGAACAGTGTAAATGGAACTCACCTTGTGGAGGATTGCCTCCACCTTGTCAATCCGCTCCCTCAATTGCTTGTCTTTGGAGCGAAGAGCCTCCACCTCTCTGCGGAGTTGTCTCTTCTCCTCCCTGATGAAGCTAAGTTCTTGGAGCTGGTGCTGGTGCTCCAGGCTCTGTTGGCGCTTCCCCTTGAATGAAACCGGGGAGAGGATGGTATGCGGACATAAAAATGGTTATGAGTTTATCTTGTTTTCAGGAATGTTTTAGGTTATTTGTGAAAAGTTACATTCGTTTGCAAGACATGACAGCTCTACACAAAGATCCTTTTTGTACCTGATGCAGCTTCTCAATCGTTTCTTCTAAATGTTGGATTTTGCTCTGCAGAGAGTCGATCTGCTCCCTCCTGGCGGTGACTTTCTTCTGCATCTCCATGGCTACCTGGAGACCTGCAGCACAAAAACGAACCCAAGAGCCAAAGAGAAAGAGAGAGAGAGAGAGAGGGCAGGAAGGTTATCAGTTTAGAGAGAACATGCACAAGAAGATAAACCACAGAGCTTTGATTTTGGAGAGGCTTCTTCATATAATTGACAAATGTGTACACAGATTACATCTCAAAGACTGGAATGTAGCAGAGGAGGATCATTTTGCACAGGTTGAATGTAAATCAAAAGAATTTTCCAACATATTTCTTGGTTCATGAGATCTTTTAATTAAAAAAAGGCATAGATCTGACCATGTTCATCAGCTCCTTCCAGGGTCCTCAGGGTGCTTCTGACCTGGTCCAGCTCTTTATGGGAGTTCCTAAGCTGACCCTGAAGCTTCAGCACCACACCCTTGTGCTCCTCGCTCGTATAGATGTGGAGCTGTTGCAGCTGCTGGTGCTCCTCTGAAATCATGCCCAAATAAACACATACATTAAAACCTGCGGCAAGAAACACACACTTAAGCACACACACTACAATGGAAGGGCTTGGTTGACTGTGAAAACATAGCGAACATGGTTCTTTGTTTTCTTAACTCAGCAGGACAAAAGAGATCATTTGCTTTGGCAGAAAACCGTGAGAGCTGAACTCTTTCCAGAAACAGCCCTCTGTTACCCCAGGTGAATGAAAGGGCCCAATTGTATAATAATGCTCAAAGTCTTTGGGTTCATGAAGGATAGAAGATTTTGAAATGATCGTAATCTCACTGTAAAATATTCAGAAGAAGTCCAAGATAGGATATTTACCACAACGTTTATCTTAGTATTATAAACTACAAAAGCACTCTGAGAGCGCAGACCTCCGCCAAGCAGCTCATGTCCCCCCTTATATTGTGATTCACACCAAAACTTTTACTGTTACGTGTTTTTTATTAACTTTTATTTGTGTTTAAACTGGTATGTTCACTGTTCATAATGTTCCTAAAACAACAAAGCTCATATTAGATACATAAATGCATGATTTATTATGCAATATTTGTAAGCGTACACTTCCTTGTATCTTCATTGGTTATCTTTCAGCATTGAAAATTCCAACGACACCCTTATTTTTGTGTGTTCTGGATCACAGTATCCGGAATTTTGTCTGGATCAGGATCAACCTTTGACACCTCATAAAACTCATTGAGATCATTTTGTGTAATTTTTTACTAAAGACTCTGGCCATTTTAATAGAGTTAAAAGCAAAAATTCCAAAATTTCCCTATCTCACAATGATAAAGAATCCTTCAAAAAATTCCTGGATCCAGAAGGCAATCTGGATCACCACCAAAATGTAATGGGATCCTCCTGGGGCTGAGACGCACCTCTGGTGAAAATTTCAGGTCAATCCGTCTGTAACTTTCTCCGTAAAGTTGCTAACAGACAAACAAGCTAACAAACAAACAAACAAACAAACCAACGCTACCAAAAACATAATCTCCTTGGCGGAGGTAATAAGTTTCTCTAATCTAGGGCTGGAAAAAGTTTATCTTGATATATATATTTTTTATATCAGTTGATATCAATATATATCACGATATAAAAAAATAGAATTTAACAGTGCTTACTGGTAGCGTGTCTTTTGCAATACAATAAGCTAACTGCATCTGTGAGGTCTCTGTGTCTCTTTGACGCTAGAGAAAGCGGAATGGTTGGCTGTTTGGCCTGCACATGCATCGTGGGCTCCTTGCTCCACTCAGACTTTGGAACCTTTTGCATTGTGCGTGTTCTGCTGCGTGGCGCTGCTTCAGGTGGTGAGAAAGATTTGAGGTATTCCCCGACTTTGCTAGAACTTGTACTCGACATAATTTGCAGTGCACATTACTCTGCCTCATGTCGACCTCAAAAAAACAAAACACCTCCACGCCACCGACATTTTCGTTGTCGACAATGTCATCATCTGTCAGCTTCATGTGTTTAAGTGCTATGGTTGCGTGTAGCTGCAGCCTGTTACTACGCAGTTGTTTGCTACTTGGTTCTAATTCAGCACGATTGGTTCAGTGCAGCGCAACCCGGAGCAACTCCCCTTTTCATTGGCTATTCGTATAGTCGACCAAAACAAGGCAGAATGCTGACTATCAAAAAGCATATTGACCATGTTTTATATTGATATTGAGGGAAATTAATTTTTGATATACATCGTTTTATCGCCCAGCCCTACCCTAACCCTAAATTTTATTTTTCTAGACATGACACTTGTGTGTATCATGATGATGTTTAAATTTCACCTCATTTACCTTGAAAATTCATCATAACATAACCACAGGACACCTTGTTTGGATGCTGAACTACCCTTTTTTCTTCAACCCTCCTCACAAGCAACTAATCACAAATATTTTTCATTGTGTGTTATGATACCTGTAAGCTTGTAATAAATGTTTTATTCAGAAATGTTGTTCATTAATGGATGTTTTTATGTGCTCCAGTGATTGGACTTAAATATGGGACAGTGTGGGGTATAATGTCATGGAACCCCGGAGACTCGATAGGGGTGATGTTATTGGAGCCATTTTGATATCTGAGGCAGGGAACAGAGCAAAGAATGATGGGCAATGCATGGGGCATTAGTCTCTGTAGGAACCTAATTCCCTCCACCTTGATCCTGAAAACATATCATTTCACACCATGACAGATCTGCAAATGTATTGAGACACTTTTGATCTCCCTATGTCATGGTATCGATGGTACTGTGATATCCCTATCATTCATTATTAAATGACAAATGCAGTTTGTACCAGTGATCGATTAAATGTCTCCTGGATCCGGACTAAAGCTGAACTCACCAGTCAGATTGAGGAACTGCATCTGCAGGACTGCCAGCTGAGAGGAGAGCTGCTGTTTTTTCAGAGTTTCCTCCTGAAGGTGCTGACTCTGTTCTTCCACTGAGACCCGTAGTCGCCGTCTCTCCTGTTCAGCAGCAGCCAGGTCAGACTTGTTCATCTCTAACTCAACCTAAACAGGAAGGAGGGAAGACGATGACTGACTGATAGAAATAATCTAAGTGAGGTATTTGAGTGTGTGTCTGTGATCTATCATATGTAATTGAAGCGGGTTTCTCTAACCCTGAGCTGCTCAATCTCCTGCTTGTGCTGGTTCAGCTGGTTGCTGAGAAGGCTGTTCTCCTGGTGAAGATTGTTGATGGCGTGGCTGTGCTGCTCTGACATCTGAATGCTACTTTCCATTTTCGACCTCAAAACCTCTAGCATCCTCTCTCGATCATCCAGCTGCAGCCTCACAGTCTGTCCTTCTGCCTGCAGGATCTGGCACTGTGTCTGAGCCACCTCTAGCCAGGCAAGATACTGGAAAATCATTATACTTCAGTCCATTTGTCCAGAACTGAGATTTTATCACTGTGCAGGTTCATAGATAATCTAAATGGCGTGATTCTTAATATCTTTAAAACATGATCTCATCTGAGGTTTACTACCTGCTCGGCTTCTTGTTGCCTGGAATGGAGGTCAGTGGTTTTCTTCTCCAGGAGTTCCTGGACTTCCCTCCCCTCCCGAGCCCTCTGCTCCAGTAAGGCCTCTAGGCAGGTTTTTTCCTCCTTTCCTTGCCTGAGCTGCTCCCTGGCCTCCTCCAGCTGTCCTCTCAAGACCTTCACCTCGTCTTGGAGCTCACACTGCTGCTGCTCACCGCACCTCTAAAGGATAAAGCAGGCAGCACAATGGGATGATTATATTCACACAGACCTACAGATAATAAACTTTTGACAGTGTGAAGAAATAAAACCTACATCACGAGTGAGAAACTAGCTCCATATTTCATCTTCTATTATTCTTGGAAGGCTGGCATGCTCGGAGTTTAGGTGAATCTTTCTGAACATGTACACCTGGTTCTACACACTCACATAAAATCTGAGCCATGGGGTAAAATTCCACCAAAGAGAACATGGACCACAGACTTAAGAACAAAGACTTCATCCACTTCATAGCAAGAGCTACTTTTTGATTAAAAGAGACTTGTATCTATCTGTTGGAGATGTGCAGATCCCCGTTAACCATCAGCACCAACATCTAATCATTCCAGTATATCACATTTTTTATTTTGACAACTTTATTATGTTTAAATATTCACAAGGTCAGCTAAGAAACATTTTTGACTTGATTCATTCAGCTGCCTTCCACTGATACGAGACAAAGCACAGGCCAAATTAAAAACAACCCGCATACCTATTGGTTTAGAAACACAAAGGTCAGCCGCAGTATTCAGAGTGTACAGTGATACTATCCCACATTATACTTCTGCCTCATTAAACTTGATCTTACACCAAAACATGACAATCAATATTTATGACCTGCCCCTGAACACTCACCCTAAACAGGCGAGTTAGACTGTTATGTACACATCATAGGTCATGATGGGCAAATAATAAGTTAAAGAGACAGCACTTGTTATGCAATAATATGGCCAAAGTCTTAGACACAAAACTGTTTCCCTCTGATTCAGATAAAATGAAAAGAGACAGTAAACCAGGGAGAGTAGGAGCTTCTACCTATGCCTGGCAATCCTCTCCCCCACCAGTCTCTTAAGCTGTTTAACCAGCAGATTACATACCCCCAGCTACACACACTTCAAGCATAACTTTGAAATGGATCATTAAGCTTAACTTCTCTTCAACTGTGTTTGCAGCGTTACCACACATCTGACAAGGGACTTTGGCCAAAAAATAGAAAAATACTAGTTTCACATCATGGTTTGCTGCAGCACCTTAAGTTGGCAGATTTGGGAATGAAGCTCCTCCACATGTTGTAAAGATTTCTCTCTCTCTCTTTGGATGTCCACCAGCTGGGACTGAGCCTGAATAAGCTGCTGCTCCAGACAACACACCTACAAATGTCATAAATCACAGTTCACACAGCCTTAGAATAAAATCTGCTTTCATTCTTGCATGGAAAGTATAAAGACAGAACAACTTTACCTGATGGCTAAATATTAAATTTTACTAGCTGCAGTGTATCACTGCTTGTAGTATTTTCTATATTGTTATGCTCCATTCTTCCTTACCTTATCTTTATGGCTGTGGAGGGTTGACTCAAGTTCAAGAACCTGACACAGGTGCAGTGATGTCTGTCTCTCTGCAAGCTCCCTGTATACAGAAGTTATAAACATATTTCATTGACATACATTACTGTAGAAAATTGAACATTGTCTGATCTATATGGTACATGGTAGAAAACTCACTTTAACGTTTCCAGTTTGGTACTAAGACTGCTGCTGTCGTTTTTTGACGAGCTCAGTTTTTCAGTCAACAGCACCACCTCCTGGCCAAGACATGCGATCAGGTCTTCAATCCTAAAAGAGAAAAGAGAGGAGTGTTAAATATCTCTATTATTTGGACATATCCTTCAATCATTTCAAATGTTTTAGGGATAAAGGGTTGAGTATGGCAGGAAAAGTGTTTAAAAGTGTTTGACCTACATGACTGTGCCATGAAAACAAATGCATTTTAACTCTTCAAATGAGACTGCCTTGGACCTTCTTCTTGATCTCCTATGACTCTGTGGCAGTTGGTTAGCAGGTGAAACCTCATGAAAGCTTAATATCTTCAAATCCTCTTTTGAAAACTATAAACTCAACAACTGGTTAAATTATAAGTGAAATAAAATATCCTATGTTGCCATTTATATAAATGGTTGACTTAAAGTATATTTAATTTCAATTAATGAAAGATGGTTACTTTTTTAACAAAGGTAAAGATGGTTAAGTCTAACTAAGAATATCAAAACATACACCGTGATGTAATGACATGACATCTCAACAGTAAACAGTAAAAAAAGATAAGTTAATACAAGATAAACAGCAGAGAAAATCAGCTGAGACTTTACAATAAACTGAACCAGTTAACCAACTTACAAATTAGTGACTGACTTGTTCTGTAATTGTTGCAGCTCTTCAACAACTTACCTTTCGTTTGGCTCGTTAGCTCCTCTGCGTTCCTCACTCATTGGATGTTCTTGTGACTACCAAAAAACAGAAGAAAATAGACATAAAGGGAGGAAGAGCGTACCTCTAATGTAGTAAAAATGATCAGTAACTGGTTTACCATAAAAGGTTTCTCCTGTAGCTTGTTTTTCCCATTGTTTGACTCCTCCATTAACTCAGTAACCTGATTTAACTGACTTGAAATAACGACCATATCAGAACTTGTGGTGATGTCTTGTCCATCTTTATTGTGAGATAATGTGGCGTGCGGCATCTCCTTTACATTTCTTTCCAGAGTCTCTACTTCCTTGTTAAGCGACAGCGTCTCTTCATCTGTCTGCTGCAGCTTCTGGTCCCCCGCCCTCTTGATGTTTTGGAGCTCCTCCAGCATGCACAGCATCTTCTCCATCTGAACAACATGTGTCCTCGAATCCTTTAATCTACAAATAATGAGACCCATGGGTCAAAGTGATTTTGAATACTTTCTTAATAGTGGTCGATGTCATCAGTTTGTTCACCTGAGGTCAGACATGATGTCCTTTTCCATCTGAACTTTATGCAGTTCAGTCTTCAGGTTCACAGTGGCTTTGTCCAAACTGGATGTCTTGTGTTCACATTGATCAGGAATCTGTTTTTGAGAGGGTGAAATGAAAATCAATTTAGCTATTCAAACTGCACAAATGAAACATATTCATGTCTCAGGTGTGAGCAGAACCTTGCTGAGCTGCAGGTCAGACAGCTGTTGCAGACACTCATCTATTTCTTTTTCAAATACCTCCCCTCTTGAAGAACTGGTACCACTTTGAGCCCTAGTCTGGCTTACCCAATACATGCCACAGGCCAGGGGAGAAGTCTTTGGTGGGTGAGGTGAAGGAGTGGGGGAATCCTTAGATGAGTCATCTGTCAGTAGAGGAAATGAACACACTGAGAATGATTATAATAAATATCAAGAAAGACTTGTGATATATGCTCTCCTGCTTATACATCTGTGCACTTAGTTTCAATATCTCCTGAATTACAGTCATGAAACTTCAGTTTTACATGCTTGGGTAGTATCACAAAGTGCCATTACAGTTTAAGAAATTCAGATAAATGCAGCTTGTACTTACAATCATCAAAGTTGTGATTGTGGGAGCTTTTTCCAGGGTAGCCCTGGCTGCCATGTGTGCAGGCAAACCTCTCCAAAGTAAGTTTGGTAGCATTTTCTACCTCTTCCTGAAGCCTCTGTGTTTCCTTGGTGCGCCTGTCAAGCTCTGCGCTGTGGAGGAAACAAGTGTAAGTCATAGAGATGCTGCAGCACAATAAAGCAGTCTCCTTTTAAATATCAAATACAGAGAAAAGAAGCACGGTCTTAGAGATCCACTTCATTAACATCCATGAAGGGGGAAAATACACCTTTCCTTCGGTGGTTGAGAACTGCCACTGCTGCAAATAAAAAAGAATGCAAAAAAAGAAGCCACAATGGAAGTTATCAATGCGAAAAAAAGAAACCGAAGACAAATAAAAAAAGAAATGGTGCTGATAAAAAAAAAAGACAACAGAAATTAATGACGCAAAACAAAATGGCAATGGAAAAAAAAGGTTACTTACTGTGAAAATAAAAGGATGCATATGAAAAACAGCCCCAACGGAAGTGAGCTGCCGGGGATAATAATGATGATGCGGCAGTGTTTTACGATCTAGGCACAGAAGACAACAGCGAAAATATGAGCAAAGCAGTAAGTGTAAAGGTTATTGTTTAATTTCGCTTCGTGTGCTTTTCAGTGTGTCATTTGGTTAGGCCATGTTGCGCCTGAGTCGATATAAATTTGAACTGAAACTAACACTACACGGGCATCCTCCAGTTCAACTACATATTGACTCAGGCACTACATGGCCTAAGAAAATGACACATTGAAAAGTACACATAGCGAAATTAAACAGTAACCATTACACTTACTTCTTTGCTCATCTTCTCGCTGTCGTCTTCTGTGCCTAAATCGTAAAACACCCGTGCATCATCATTACTGGTCCCCAACAGCTCAATTCCATTGAGGCTTTTTTTATTTGCACCCTTTTATTTTTACAGTAAGTAACTTTTTCTTTTTGCATCGTCACTTTTGCATTGTTATCTTACGTTGTGGCTTTTTTTTATCTGCACCGTTTCTTTTATAATTTGCTGCGGGCTTCAGTTTCTTTCTTTCTTTTTTTTGCACTGGGTACTTCTGTTGTTGTTGTTTTTAAGCATTCTTGTTTATTTACAGCAGTGGCGCTTCTCGGCCACCGTACCTTTCTATATAAATGCACTTAAGATCAGCAACACCTAATGCAGCTTTAATACAATGAGATAGACAGGTTGATACCTCAGTTCATCCAGTGTCAAGCTGCTAAATTTCAGCTGTGGGCAGGCATCGTTGGCCTCTGTAAGGAAAGTTGAACAAATAGAAAGTAAATGAAGCAAAAATGAATGAGTATTCGCTTTGCAGTAGAAGCTGTCTGAAAAGAAACTATCTCCTCTTTGGCTAACAGTAGTCTATCTTCTTACCGGTGATTCCTGCCGTTGCTCCAGACAGCTTTGAGGTGCTTGGCGGAGATTCAGGCTGTAAAACGTTGGCACCGTTATCTTTAAAAAGCCTAAAACTCTGGAGCACAGAGGGCTGAAACTCCGCTGACATGTCTGCTCACACATAAACAAACTGTGAATGAGTAACAAAGTGAGCTAGCGAAATCAGCTAGCTAACAGGTTGTCGTTAAACGCTCAATCCGATCACCATGGAAACAGCATCCGTTGCTTGAGGTCTTACATATATACCGCGAGGTGCCATCAGTAGTTTGGTGAATATTGGCGATAACCGTTCATCTAAGGTAGGCTAACTAGTTTGGCGGATTTGGTCAGGAGTTTAAAATAGCAAAAGCAAAAGAAACATTAGCGCCAACAATTTTAAACATCCGCCTTTTCCCACTGTTTTAATGACGTGAAACTCACACACCTCGCGTGGTGCATGATGGTCTTCGTAGTTCATAAACTGGTCAACCGTAAATTTGTTTGTTCAGGGCGGACCCCGTTTTCAGCGGGGATCAGGGAATTTGTTTTGAACATTTTCCGCCCATTAGCTGCAGTCAAAATGGAAACATGAAGAAGTGAATGGTGTTGATAAGTTATAACATTTGTTACACGGCACGGTGGCAGCTCAAGGGTGAGGTAAGAGCCCAATTTGTTGATGCGCTAGCAGACCGTTAGCAAAAAGAGCTAACCTTGACGTAGATCGGGTTTTATCTCAGCTTTATGACTTTGACTAATGTTGTGAAACTGAATCTGGTCTACTGACTGAAAGAAGGTCAAGAGCATAAACTAACATAAAAACCTCTTCAGTGTTGTTCCATAACATGTCTTCCCTTTTTTTAGTATTTGACCCAGTTTCTGTTTCCTAATTGATAATGTCTTGTTTCCCAAACTAGGGTGAACATTGTTTTGAATTTGGACCTATTTAATCATATTGTGTATTAAACTAATAGTTCATTATTAAGAATAACATAAAGTTGAAACGACAGTTCAATTCTCAGTAATCTGATAGGGGATTCTTAGTGTTTTGGGTGGTGGGACTGTCGCCCAGTGATACCTGACACCCAGTAGGTGTGGTTTGGGAGGAGACAACTTTCATATGCCCCCTTCTGCTTAGTCTGAAGGACAATACCCTGTTTTGTCTTTGTTTTGGAGTTGTTCATCTTCTCTTGTTTTGCTATAAAGAACTACTGAATTATGCTTTTTTCCAGGATGAGGGATCTTCTTGCCATTGACAGCTTGCTCTTGAAAGAGCTGAAGTCATGTTGTGCAAAGGAGCACACATTTCTTCCCAGAGAGGCTGGCCTAAAGCTGATGGAAGCAGCCTCCACAGAGGTAACCCACTGACCTACTTTTACATTTTTGGCTGTCTGTTCAGGCTTATGTGCAGGATAACAATGCATGCTATTTCCAGCGATCCCCATCTAATATTTAATGATGTACTTCTAGAACCACAGTGGAGTGTCCGCAAAATGCAGAGACACCAGAGTGGAAGAGCTGTGGGGCCTCACCAGTTTCTTTGGCTACAGCACTCAAACCTTTGTTCAAGCTGTCAGTTTGCTGGATAGATTTCTCACGATCATGAAGGTAAGAACTGTGCGTGGGTCAATGACGTATAAGGTTTTTAAACATGCCAATTTTAAAATAGCAAAAATAAGAATATATTTTGCTAAAGTTCAAATACTAAGGATGTTGTGTGTACAAAAATTAATGTTGAATTTTTAAATTACACAATTTTAGTTACCACATGATATTTTGACACTTTGAAGTTCATAAAAATTACAAATAAGACCTAATTTTTGAAAAGTTGAAGTGACTACATATATAAGAGAGACATTTTTTGTGCATTTAAACCTTTTTTAACTTAAAAAAAGCTGGACAGAATATTTAGGCATCATGTCATTGAACAGCATATGATTTAATTTTTATTTTACAGAAGCGAATCTCTTTTTCAAGGCAGGGCTTGCAAAATAACAAACTAATTGTTGCAAGTGAAACATTAATCTAGATATTTTTTATGTGTACACCAGTCTTTATCTCCACATGTTTTGGTATCAGGTTTTAACCACTAGAAAGAAGAAAACATGACCCCGAATCATGAGGTGTTGACTCACACGTATTACTTTGGTGTTACATTCTCAGGTGCAGCCCAAACACTTGCCCTGCATTGGCGTCTGCTGCCTTCACATTGCAGCTAAAATGGTCGAGGAAGACAGCAATGTCTCACCCACTCATGAGCTCATTCGCATCAGCCAAAGCAAGTTCACTGTGTCAGACCTGTGTCGCATGGAGAAGATCATCTCAGAGAAGATTAGCATGGAGCTTGAACCAGTGACCGCCTTAACCTTCCTCCACCTCTACTACTCGGCCTTCACATCCCAGTCTGCTGGAAGGTAAATACTTAATTCACTTTTGGTCTCTTAAATTGTCTAAGCAGATGCGTCGCCCCAGTTTGCATGAAGTTGGGTCGAATAGATTGTGCATTGTGAGGTTTGTACTGGCGGATCACTTTGGGATGCCTTCTCTTTTAAGGGAAGAGATCCCAAGCATTGGGAGACTGGAAGCCCAGCTAAAAGCCTGCTTATGCCGGCTTGTTTTCTCTAAGGCAAAAGTAAGGATTGTTCTCAGGTGACAATATCACGGCATTGCAGCATGACCTTTCAAACGGAGGACTAATTCAGCTGCTGTTTTTCTCTTTTGCAGCCGTCGGTGCTGGCACTGTCCCTCTTTGCTCAGGAGTTTGAAACCCTCCAGTCCATGGCCTTGTTGAAGATTGTCCAGCAACTCCAAAGACATCTAAAGGTGAAGATGTCTAATCTTAAACTGACATAATCCAGCTTGTTTAAGGGCAGCTAAGTAACCTTTCAGATAAAATACAAAGGTTCAATATCTTTTGCGTTCAGTCCCTGCAGTACCTACATTTCTTTCTTGTGTTGAAATCAACATGAGGGTGTTACCATATGCACACATTAGAAAAAGAACTATTGACATGTTGATGACAGCATATTTGCGAGCTATTTCTCTCAACAGCCTGTCAGATGTTTCCTGTTTGTTGTCTTCACAGATCGGTGACAGCGAGCTGCTCCACTGGAAGGAACTTGTGGCCAAGTGCATGACTAAATACTGCTCAAGTGAATGTAACAAACCAGACAATAAAAAGCTGGTTTGGATCGTGTCCAGGAGGACCGCACAGAATCTTCAAGCTAATCATTTCAGCGTGCCCGGCCTGCCAACCATTCCTGAAGGAAGTTGGGATGAGAGTGAGAGGTTAATACTCCAGCTTTTCCAATTTCTTTATGCTGGACTTGTAAATTTACTAAAAATAAAGAGATGCAGTGGTCAGATATTACCTGAATTACCATTCATGAACTTAGTTTAAAACGTAAAGCCATCAGTCATTTAAAAGTGGGTGATATTTTCAGGGTAGAAAAGTATCTGTTTATGGTAAATGTTGAATATTTAAAGTTAATGTTTCAAAAATAAAAAGAAATGGAGACAGTTGGGTTTGTGTTCACTGGTTTAGCACTGGTGTGGCTTACTGCAAGTTTTGTTAGATGTTTGAAGAAAAGATAACTCTTAACATGGCTGCAATCTCTGGAAACAAGAAGGCATAACCGAGTTGGAAATGATTTAATTTATCAGATCAGAAATTTCCACATTTCGTTAGGGCTTGCAATCTTTCTTAGATAAGGGAAACAGATACATTGCAGTCATGAAATAAAATTAAGTTTGAATAAAAATGACTCCAGAGATCTAGTTTATGTGTTACAAAAGAACAGTTGTCTGATTTGGTCCATAGTTATCTTACAAAAACCCTGCAGCTTTTACTTACAGTGTCACTCAAAAAGGTGCTTATCTGGCTCTAAATTTAAATGTAAGAAAAATGCTAGTTATCCAAATGCTAAAAGAAACCCAGACTGATTGAACAATATTAGTTCTGTGCATTAATAACCTTCTCCTCTTCCCCAGTGAGGACTCCTGTGAGGACATGAGCTGTGGGGAGGACAGTCCATGGGGCTCACCAGGAAGTGACGGTGAAGGATCCTTCTTCCCCTCTGCCTTTCTGAGCTGCAGAAAGTGATGAGTCTTTGTTGTGCAGTAGCTTACAGATGTGTGTTTTCTCCTGAATTGTTAGTGGTTCAAGGTGGTCACCATGTTTCAAAGCAGACCTGTGTGTTTCACTTTTTGTGCCATGTGCAGCACAGGTACGCCAAATGGGAGGTTTGGGTCATTAAGTGCCTGTGTTGATTCTGTTTACTGTCTATTCCTTTACAAAAACATATCCTAGTAATGCAAAACTGAAAATTGCAATATCTTGGCAGCTTGACAGCAACGCATCTGAATGTCTTTTTCCAAAAAATGTTCTCTTTATGTTAGTTTGTGTCCGAGTTCGGCACATTCCAGGAAAACAGTGAAGCACAAGAAAGAACTAATGGATGTCAGTCATGAGGTACACTCACTGTTGAAAACAGCTAACATACTACCAGACTTTTTTTAATACCAGTTTTTTATACTCTAAGCCATTCGTATTCACAGTATTCTGCAAATGTGTATCATTCATAAATCTGATGTGACATTGTAGTGGTAAATACCAGACTGTATATGCATGGAAACATTGAAATATGTGACGATGAATGGAAATTCATGTGTACCAAGATAAGCTTAATGTACAAAAAAAAGTATGAAAAAATGTACATAACTTGTAAAAAAGACGAAAAAAAAACTTATGTTTTGTGAAATCAAAATTCTGTGTGTTGTATTTGGATATAATGTGTTATATGTTGGAAGGATCAAAAGTAAGCCTTTCAATTAAAAATCAAACTTTTATCTACATTTGCTCTTTTTTTATTGTGTCATTTAATTTGGTTGTACTGGGGTGTGATCAGCCTATAGTTGATTTTACATAGCTGTGTAAAAACTCACATTTAATTGCAAAACATTAAACCAGGTCAGTTAGAGTACAAAAAAAGCTTACACAATGAGACTTATTTATTTTGACTTGTATATACCACATCAACACTTTTATCAAAACACTGCTCCCAAAAATTCTGAAAAAAAAATCCCATAAATTGTCACGAATGAGCATCTATTCAATCTTTTGGCATGAGGTAGTCATTGCACATTGATGATAATGATAAGCTGCAAAATTGAACGTCGGCCTAGATTGGAAAGGCATGACTGGCAAATAACCCTTGTATGAACCCTGTCTCACATTAGTTTTTTTGTACGCTTAATATCCAAGGAGAACAGTGAAACTCCACATCTGCTGATTCAAAATCTGGATCACTGGAAAGGGAATTAAGAGTCCTCTGGGGGTCTAGAAATTTCTCCCACAGAAGAAAACAATATTAAACATGCAGATTCTCTTGAAAACATACTGTCAAGAACTGACTACAAATCCTGCTGTTTTTTTTAATTCACTAACTTCTAACAAAACAGCCTTGTTTGGCGCTGTCATAAGATACACACCCTAAAATGGTTAGATTTTTGCACAACTTAACACAACAGAATTGGTCAAATGGAACATGAAAATTGATCAGAAGCCATAATTAAGTCTCACAACGTTATGGAAAACAATAACAGGTGCAGTTTTTATTTTCAAAGTGAGGGTTTTGCAGTGGAGTCAGAGTAGTACTTTTGCTTAATGAATCAGAACATTGGAGTAAACCCATTTTTTTCCTTATGTGTTTTGAAAATGAAATGACCCGAGTAAAGATTAAGTACTCTGCTGGAGTGGTGTTCATTTTAAAGACCAGAGGGCACATGTCAGCGGATTTGCCTGTCTATTCATCACATCTTTGCCTCATCACTCTATTTCTGTCCCATTCAATTCCCTATTGCACAAGCCTTTCTTTATGCTGGGAGCTGCAGAGAAGCTTGGCTCACTGTGCATGTGTATGTGTGTGTGTGTGTGTGTGTGTGTGTGTGTGTGTGTGTGTGTGTGTGTGTGTGTGTGTGTGTGTGTGTGTAATAGAGAGGGGGCGGAGGAGCTGGTGATGCTGCTGGTGGTGTTGGTGGTGGTGCATGTGGACGGAGGTTGTCTGTTTGCTTGCTTGAATGTGTTGACACGCATTTCTGCTCCATCTCCTTGATTAAACCGGCAGCCTGGAGGGGAGTCGCAGCCGAGTGTGAAGCAGCAGTCAGACGGAGGAATGAGATCGGACCGAGCCGTGGCATCTCCACCATGCAGCCGACCACCACCAGCCGTCCATTTTACACGATTATATGAGCCCATGAGCGCCGGTTTGTCAGCGTCTTGCAGACGGGCAGCAGCAGTGTGCAGTCCCGGCGATGACAACATAGGCCAACGCCTCGCCGCAGCTCTATACAGGGAATGAAAACGCTGCCAAGATGGTCCGCATCGCCAAGGCCCTGGGTTTGGTTATTCTGTGCGTCGCTGTGCTCATACTGTCCCTCATCAGCTACGTGTCCCTGAGGAAAGACAGCCTCTTTACTTCCTCCAAATACTACATGGGAGGCCCGAGGATAATGTTTCATGCTGGATTTCGGTGAGTAATAATGTATAAAACAGATTATAGGTAGCTATTTCGACGCAGAGAAGTGATGTAAATGTAAACATCCTGGCCTAGAGTAAAAGATTCACTCATCAGCATACATTCAATTTGGGGCCAAACGCTTCCTGTCAATCGAAGAGTGAGCTGTCCAGGGTGCTGATACTGTTCCCATGGGCACTTCACGGTGTGATAAAACCCTCAACACTGGAAACCCACCTTTTCCACGATAGTCAACCCTCTTAACCCTTTTAGTAAATTCACCAACCCCATCGTTTTTCCCACCTGTTATGTTCTCATTGGTGGTACAAAGTGGAAATTGCAAAAAGGTCAATTTTTTATTACATGATACGGACAAACTTGTTGAAACATTCTCAGTTACACTTGGAGTTAAGCTTACATTTTCCTTTCTGGTCATTTACTTTAACCATATGTACGACAGTCTTACACGTTTTACAATAAACAGTTAAAACCGTTTATCTGCTGTCTATGTTGCTAACTGTTTTAACAGCTATTGTATGTGTCTTACGCGCTAACAAATTATCAGCCATTATTATTATTAGCTTTGCTTTGAATAATAAATAAGTCTGGCAAAAAAAAAAAAAAATCTTATTTACTGGTCCCAACAAATACAGTTCATACTGTACTTAACTGTGCTATTTAGTTAATGCTACAAACTTGCTGCTTTTAGCTAGCTGTTAAAATAGGCTAATTTGCCTGCTGATTTAAGCTAACCACTCAAAGAGATTTTAAACCCTAAGTTTTAAACCTCGTTCAAATTTCTCTAAATAACTTAATCTGTCAGCAAACCATTTCAAGTTTTTAATTCAGCTACTTGTTTTTACTATTAATCCTATCTCTCAAGCTCTCTTTTAACTAACTTCTGACCCAAAACATGTCCCCAAGTTCAGTTGATTGAACCATTTCCATATATTTTTTTCAATATTTAAATATCTAGTACAAGTATATTCATGATTCTTGTTAGGAGTTGTAAACTAGTGTCAAAGAAATTAAAATAAATACAATGGCCTCTTAATACTTTGCAAAAGCAATCAAGACTATTATCATTTTAAATTGGAATTGTATTTACCCATTGTTTTTAACCATAGACAATACTGGATACAGCAAAGGAGATGAAATGGAGTTTCACATTATATTTTGTAACTGTTTCTGACAGGTCCCAGTTTGCCATGAATTTTCTGGACCCCTCCTTCATCCCATTAACTAATGCCCTGAATGAGGAGCTCCAAGGAAAACCATCTAAATGGAAGTTCAACAAGACAGCGTTTTATCAGCAAAGGTGAGAGATTTTATTTCTTGCTTCTTACCCTTCTTTGCAAAGGTATCCCATATCTGAGTCTGTTTACCCCACAGGAAAACATCATAGGCTGTTGTGTTGCTCCATTAGAGCTTAAAGACGAGATTCTAAGTGGCAGGGTTGTACGAGTGAACGTTTATGGTTCCTAATGTCTTTATAAATTGATGGAGAATGGGGGTTTAATCTGTTATCCCTATGGCTAAAATATGTGATTTTATACCTTTAATTCAATTGGGATTAAATTTAATTTAATGGGGATTAATCTAACCGTTTATGTTGGGTATTTTTAGCGAGTTGTTCAAATAAGAAATCTCATTGTGATTTCTCAGCTTGCAAAATGTTGATTTTCCGTTCAGGAGTCTTAACCCGAAAAATGATGAATGGCAAGTAAAGAAGATAAAAGCAGGATGTGTTTGTAATCACACATTAACAACCCGGGGCTGTCATATGTTTTGAATTTAAGGGTTCAAACGGACATCTATGTCATCACCGATTACTTTTTGGATCACAAGTCAAATATTCTTTTGGTCTTTTCAAAATCAGCTACACAGTGAGGCATTACTTGGCACTGATGCACCATGTCTTGCGGCTGAATCACATGTTTTTGTAATGATGCTGGTGTCTTGTGAAATCGATGTTGTTAATCTTTAGACCCATTAACTGACATATCCTGCATATATGCGTTCTTATTTTCAGGAAAGATATCTTCAACTACATCGACATTCCTAAAAACTTCTCCCTCACCAAGGATAGTGTGCGTGTGGGCCAGCTGATGCATTTTGATTACTCCAGCCACAAATATGTCTTCTCCATTAGCAACAATTTCAAATCCCTGCTTCCAGACGTCTCTCCTATCCACAACAAGCATTACAGCATCTGCTCTGTGGTGGGAAACAGCGGCATCCTGACAGGCAGCCACTGCGGCCCAGAGATCGACCAGGCCGATTTTGTCTTCCGCTGCAACTTTGCCCCCACAGAGGTGTACTCCAAGGATGTGGGCAAGAAGACTAACCTGACCACCTTTAATCCAAGCATCCTGGAGAGATACTACAACAACCTACTGACCATTCAAGACAGGAATAACTTCTTCCTCAACCTGAAGAAGTTGGAGGGAGCCATCCTGTGGATCCCCGCCTTCTTCCTCCATACCTCAGCCACAGTAACCAGGACCCTGGTGGACTTCTTTGTGGAGCACAAAGGTCAACTAAAAGTCGAACTGGCCTGGCCAGGAAACATCATGCATGATGTCAACAAGTAAGGGAGCTGTTTTGATTGTTAGCTCAGATAAGGTTGTTTAAAAAATAACTAACTCATGGATATGATCAGGGTTGCACCACACTGAGTAACTTTGGCAAACTTTGGAGTTTACACACGGCTGCTTACTGTGAGGAGTTTTTAATGTCTTGTGATAATGTTCAGTTTAAAACTGATGCCTCTATACTTGCAGAGGCAAAAACAGACCATCTGCAAAGAGATTGAATTTTGTGTATCTAGTTATTTTTATATCCATGAAAGCAGGTGGTGATACAACTTTTACATTTCAGCTTGCAGACCAAAAAGCTTTTGCTTACATTTTCCCTTGTAGAACCTTACAGTTAAGATTATGCTCCTCAGCTGTAACAAAGTAAGGGGTAGATTTTCTGAAAACAGGTAAACAGATAATAGCTTCATTCTCAAGGATGGCAAAATTGACCCAAGATGAAGCTTCACGGCTGCATAATTCACTTTTCTTACTTTTTTTTCTTGAAATGATCCTCATACTGTCGTCCAACATTTTATGCTATCTTGTTTTGTGTAACCTCACAGATTTAATGTTCAAAATACAGTTACCTTTTTTGTTGACTATTTGCAGGCAGTCCAAACAAACTCTAATCATAAAATGTAGAAACTGTAATCTTCTGGGATGTTGCAACATTTTTCCATATCCAGCAGATAGAGCAGCATCCTCACGGATACCTCGTTGTGATGGATGCATGTTTGATAACTCACTCTCTTTTTAGTTTTGTTTTTGGGCGCTACTACTTGACAGTATTTATTTTTTTTGGCAACTAAATGCGTCAGCTCCAGACAAAACAGTAATAAGAGCAAAACAGTTTAGATGAGAGCCAGAAAAAAAGAAACACAACCTGCTGCAAGACACTAAAAGCCCTGTAGTGCTGAGAGGAACTGCAGATTTTGGTGGTACTGACATAACCATGTTCTTATCTCTTATTTAATCAGTGTCTTCTTTTAAAATGTTGATTGTTGGAACTTTTAAAAGATTAACTAGAGCATATAAGAGATAAATAACTAAGCAGGGGTTATTTGTGGGTCTGGGTGTAATATTGTTAAAATGATGCACACAGTCACACATGTGAACTAACAGGGAAATAAATAAATAAAGGACAGGTAGGATACATCATAGAGACAATGGTATCATGGTTGGGTGGATGCTGCAGGATTAATCATGGTTTTCTGACTAAGAGCTGTTTTGGATGTGTTTTGATGGCTGTTGTGACTTTATCCCTCACAGATATTGGAAAACTAAAAACCTCTCCCCTAAACGCCTCAGCACGGGAATCCTCATGTACACACTGGCGTCCGCCATGTGTGATGAGATCCACCTTTATGGCTTCTGGCCTTTTGGCTGGGACCCTAACACGGGCAAGGATCTGCCTTACCACTACTATGACAAGAAAGGGACCAAATTCACCACAAAATGGCAGGAGACCCACCAGCTGCCCAGCGAGTTCAAGCTTCTCTACAAGCTGCACCGAGAGGGTGTGATCAAACTCAGCCTGACGCACTGCTCTTAGGCAGACAGTGAGCCCTGGGTGGTTGAAAAGGTGACTCCAGAGACGGTGACATAGATTCATTCGCTCTGCTTAAACTTCTGTTGTTGCCCACAATGCATGATTAGAGTTAAGTGAATTTTTGACACCTCCACTCCACAAACACACTCACATCTGACTGTAATTTCATATGAAGATGTCAGCTCACCTGGGATGTACGTCACAGATGCATCACAGCATTGCTCGCCATTTAGTATGTTGTATGTTGTCTTCAATATCACAATTAGGACTTTTATGCTGCTCATATGCTCACATTGATCTCCTCACACGGCTGATGGCCATGGCTCAACGGCGCAAACTGAACAAATGTCTATTTTAACTGGAGTCTGTCGGGGATTGAGCTGTAGAAACACCAACAGTTAAATCTTACAGTTCTGTTTGAGATGGTATTGATTGACTAACCGCCTTTCACAACAGTATACTGATTCTGTACACTGAAACCACTGCCTAGTCTCAGGGACAGAGTTAGATCAGTGTTTTTTTGTAATCAGATTCAATGCCTCAAGAGAGGTTCCTGTTTTCAGGCCTTTTTTTCCCCCCTGAGGTGTCAGACAATCTGCACTACTCTGTAAGATGGTATTTGTTTACAAGGCTGTACTCTCTCTCTCTCTCTCTCTTTCTCTCTCTCTCTCTCTCTCTCTCTCTCTCTAAATATAATTATAAATACTTTTGTGTCTTTTAATCTCTGCAGACAGTGTGACTGTCCACAAATTTTGCAGAGACTCCTCAGATTTTTGGAATAATAACCAACATTCCAACAATAAGCCATAAATTCATAAAGAAACAATGTGTCGTGATAACGTTGCTGAATTCAAGGAAGTGTAATCAGCCTACATTAGGTTCTGAGGCTGTAGGACATAGGAAACAAGAGACTACAAGTCTATAGGCATACTAACAGCTTCACTCATGTCACAATGCTGCAACAGCATGCAACACTTGGAAAACCCTTGATGCTGTTTACAAACTCTAAACAACTATTCCTGAGGTATTTTCAGAGTCTTTCGGATTTTTTAACCATCGTGATCAAAGATGTTTAATTCCATTTATGATAAAGAAACAGACTTTGAAAAAAAAAATCAACGTTTCATTGGTTTAAGTAAGAAAACAATAAAAAATTAACATCTGATCATAAAATTTATCTTTGGCTGCACAAATAAACAAATAGATCTTATAGTGACAGTTGAGGAACCCATTGCTTGGTTGTGAGCAAGTTTTTGCACCGGTGTGTGAAAAAATCGAGGCAAAGTTAAAAAATTTCTGTTCCTAGTAAAGGAATAGGACCTGGTCAAATTCAACAATTTGAAAAAAACAAGAATATTTTTGCCATAGGATTTTATTTCAAGATAACTAGCTTGTGGCCACGGCTTTACATCTGGATTTACATTAGAAGAGCATACGTCCTCTAAACCAGTGGTTCTCAAGTCCACACCTGATTCAAATGATCAGCTCGTTATCAAGCTCTGTAATGGCTTACTAACGAGCTGATCATTTGAATCAGGTGTGTTGGAGCAGGGAAACATCCAAAACATGCAGGACAGTGGGCCTCGAGGACTGGACTTGAGAACCACTGCTCTAAACTAACTCTCACATTTTAGCAAAGAAGCCTCTCAAAAAAACAGCCAAAGAAGCCTGTCTGGATTAAATACCTGAGCTGCATCAGTTCAAGCTTTTGCGTTTGCTGACTTAGTAAGGCCAACTTTTTAAAACTAAAATTCATAATGCTTAAATTTCTTTGTTTTAAACTTGCATAGATCAACAGGCTTGCTTAGCTTTGAGCCAAACTTGAAGTGGCCTAGTCATGCAGTTCGGTATAGTCTGCAAATGTCAGATTGAGTGAACCTTAGTGACATTATCAGATGATTTTCCTGGTTCTGATCTACAATATAAAATCTAAAATATATCCACATTTACACGGTCCAAATGTGCCAACAGAATCATATTTTTCTTTACCCTTAGAGGAGAACAGGTGGGAAGTTAGTTAGCTCTGCTAGCTTTGTCATTTGGTCACAGTGGCTGCGCAACAGTCAGAACTTTTTCTCTCCACATGAAAACAGGTTGTATAATTCAAAGTTTAACTAGCCACACTAGTTTTGTTATTTAGTAGGTTTACAGCATCACAGTTAGAAAAATGATAAATTTAGAAATGTAAGTTTATAAAGGGATTACTATATGTAGTTGATAAATATCTTTAATATAGCAAAGTGTAATTTTCAACCAAACCCAGGCAATGTTTGGATTTGTAAACAGCTGCAGGAGGATCATGTGACCAACACTCAGACGTTAGTGTTGATAAAAACATCTGGAAAAACAACATTTTGGACAGCGTTATACTAGTTTTCCACTTAAAAAATATTGAGTAGAGCTTTTCTTGATGGGGGAAATGTATTAATTTGTCATGTAACCATATCAACTCAAATATTTGTGACCGAAAACAAAGAAATAAACAACGTTATTAAATTAACTGCATCGTGTAAAAAGAGCATGATCCGTTTTAACAGCACTGCATGTGAGGCACTAACAAATCTTTAAGGCTAGTTTTTTACAACCTTTTTGATGATTATTTTGAGGGAAAATTTCATTTCCTTGCTATTGTTTGTATTCCTGGTGATGTTTTCCTTAAAGAGTATCACCAGTGTGTTTGTATGAGAGATGTTTAAAGGCTCAAAAAACAAACCTACTGCTATTCCACATGGGACCAAACCTCTACAGATCAACTTAAAAGCAAACTTTATTTTTTGGTAAATGTAAATAATCTTTAGGTTGAAAACACTCTACCCATTTATGCTGGACCGAAGCTGCAAAATCAATGTGGGGTTCAGGACTCGGCCCAAACACTGAAAGCCGGCCACATGACCATCTCATGACCCTGAAACATGTGCTTCTTGTTGCAAATTCTGGCTTAGACCCAGTTTAAATACACACAGCAATGCAGTCATCCACACTTACCAGAGTAGTACGTGCTTTTGTGCTCAGTCAGAATTAGTGTGGCAGGCATTTCCTCGCCATCCTGTCTACATACAAAGCATTTCTTCTTGTCTGTCTCCCCCGGGCAACTTCGTAAATTTAGGTTTCGTCTCCTCCGGCAACACTGAAGATTTTCTGGCCGTGAACTTTTGTGTTTCGCCTCCAAGTCACAGTGCAGTCACCACATCAGCCATGAAACACATGTCTGATTGAGAAGTGTTAATATCTGATCTTTAGGCCATTCATTTGATGTCATAGATGTGTTGTTTATGGATTATTTCTATAGTGTCTTCATTAGGAATGTTTTGTATTTACACCAAAGACCATTTGCTGAAAAGGAGATGTGTTCCTTTAGCTCCATACAGATTTATTAAGGATGTTAGAGGTTGGATGTTTACCAATAACAAATACTATTGTAGATGAAGTGTCATATCTTTTATCTGATGATGTTCATGTCGATTATCACTTGATGTGGCACAGTCATCATTTTTTTACTTTTCTGGTTTCAGCCAAACTATTTTGGTGGAATTTATTTGTGACTCCATGAATGTTTTCTTATAGTTTTATCTGTCTGAATAACCCACTGGTGACGATGAGTGTGATGGACATTTTGCTTCCTCAAAAACTACCTTATAATTTTCAAATGCAAAGTACAGAATGTGTGTAAACAGTTTAATGCTATCAAAGTCAGTCAGGATTGTAACTCCAACAGTTTTGCTTTTCTGTGCATTACACATAAATGACAAGACAGTGACATACATGACTTAACCATAAAGTGTTTTTATTCCAAATGCAGCGCCACACAGGAGTCGTTCCAACAACCCTTTAACATACTTGTACTTGTGTTCGATCTGCATGGCAACTATGTTCCATAATGCATAAAAAAGCTTGGCTGCTTATGTACATGTCATATAAAAGTCATAAATCATGTAAGGGACTTTGCTATCTTGGTTGTTCTAACAAAAACGATCGAACATATAAGAAATGTAACCATGTCTTTAATGTTTTTTGATTATAGTTCATGATAAATATATGTTATGTGCCTGCATATTCCTCCCATCAATGCCTAATGTGTCAAATAAAACAATATTTTTCTTTGTTTGACCCATTTGAAGATAATTTTCTACTTTTCTTGCTGCAAAAACAACTTTTAAAGCTTTCCAGTTTTTTTCAACTCACCATATATTCTGTGTCTACGTACAATCGTCACAGTTTTGCAGTCTTTCTCTCCTTCTTTTTCTACCTCAACAATATACAGGCTGTGAATAAATAACATAATAAACAGTACATATCAACATGAATTAGGTCAGATAATTAATGTATTACTTTTTTCTTTTATAAATGGGTCATATATAGTTTATGTTATAATCCTCTGACACCCCTGTGGAGCTCCGGAGCACAGGAGCATTTGGAAGACGCCGTATATTCAGGCCTCTGGTGAGGACATTAGCAGGCGCACCTTCTCCTTGGGGGCACCTGTTCCACTTCATGGCTGGTGACGGGGCTGCCATTGGGTTCAGAGCCTGGGCCGCCGTAACTGCTCTGCTCCATCCTCTTCATCACCAGGTCCAGCAGGGTGGTCACAGCGCGGTCTACATCAACACCCGTTACTGCGCTTGTCTCAAAGTAAGGAATCCTGAAAAGAGCAGAGAAACATAAACTGATATTTTAGTGATCGTAATGTTAGGATTAAGCAGCAGTTATTACTTCTGTCAGTCATGTAAAAACATATATTGGCACATATGAAATATCTGAAACCAGTATTTGATCTGGGAAGAATAAAGCTATAGCATTTAAAGGTGAACTCAGAGTTATAAAACACAAGTGTATCGTCTTCTTTGGGCTAAAGACACTCTCAGAGACCCTAAGATTGGCAACCTGAATGAAATCATTGAGCGGAGCAGGGCTGAAAACAGATCACCAGCACCATCCTGTGGTCGACTGAGTGAAGAAGAGTCTTATACAAGCATGTCTGCTTCGAACTTGGTCATTTTCTATGAACCCACAACATTGTGGTTACTTGATTTGAGAAAGAAGAACACTTTAGTAACATATAAATCATAACATTAAACCGCGAAATGTCAAACCTAATTTACAGTTGGGGTTTGAAGGAGCAAAGTTTTGGCCAACTTTGCAGAAAAAAAGTTGACTTAGTCATGCAATATTCTTGATTGCTGCTGATTAAATCTAAATAAAATTTTGCTGTATCTTTGCAGATAACCGTTTAAAAAAAACAGGACCTAAAATCACTCTTTATTAAGACACTTGATTGTGCTATCTTAATTGTTGAAAAAGCTGTTGATTGGTTTTGCTCCGGCTCAGATTTTCATCTGTGTCTGTTTCTCTGATATCAGAAAGCTGCTGAAATGTCTTAACGCTTTGATGAATGAACACAAAAGGTAAAGTGACTAGATGTGAGCAGTGCTGGTTATTAAACACATTGAGTATCCAACAGACATCAGTTCACATGTGAGGCCTCACCCGTATCTGTCTGCCAGATCTCTGGCTTGTCTGGCGTGAACATCCCTCACATCTCGGAGGTCTGCCTTAGTGCCCACTAACACAATGTCTGGACTTTCACAGTACGCGTTGGCCTGTAGCTGACCTGAACCAACACAGAGGAAATAATTTCAAACTGTGAAATACAAACATGCATGAGGAAACTTCAAAGAAAGATCAGAAACTCTTTTAGTCAAGGTGAACCCAGACTGTAACAGTGAGTCTCTGAGTCTCTGTACTGGGAGTAACAGGAGAAGGAGCATTGATCAAACAGCATTGATCTGAATCAAAGCGAGCTGCTGAGATGACACATACTCATCCAGTTCCTGACGTTGAGGAAACTTTGCTGATTGGTCAAGTCGAACATCAGCAGGAAGCCCATGGCATCTCTGAAGAAAGCTGTAGTGAGGCTGCGAAACCTAGAAACAGAAGAAAAACCTCTTTAATTGTCCCTCATTTAGATTTCCAGCAATGCTTGGCAACAGTTGGAGGAGTTTCCATGAACCTAAGAAAGATATTCAGAGTCCCCATAGGGTGAACCTTACCAACTTTGGGGACCCCCTGTCTTCTTTAAAGTCACTGGCTAAGACACCTGAACTTTTACTTGGAAAAAACTTTTTATTAGAATTTACAACGAGCTAATGTGTTGGTGAACAAATTTGTAATGACATTCAGTCTATCCAGAGAATAAATTCTGCCATCTATTGTGGTCAGCCAACTGTAGATCAACAGCCCCAACAAACCTTGAGTTTAAAACAGTCTCAAAGATTGTTCAGTGGAGTACCATGATATTTTGTACAGACATTCATGGTCCCCAGAGGATGAGTGCAGCTGACTTTGGTCATACTTGTCTTAACATATGTCATCAGGACATTGATCATTTAAAGCTCCTGTGAGGACTTTTTCTTACATTTATGAATTGGACTGAAATTGATTCTGATACTTCATGATATATAAAAACAAACGATACCATTCCTGACAAGACTGAGCATTTTTATTAAGTTTAGGCCAAAAACTCATTTTTGTAAAAAAATGACTTAGGTCATTATTTTAATAGGATATACAACATTTTTTAAAAGTCGAAACTCTTGTGAGGGGGTAGGCGTCAGCTGTTTGACTGTCAAAGGTCAGCACAATGAGGTGTTTGTTGCAGGAACAACTTGTGCATGTGTAGGACAAAAAAAGCAAAGTCTACTTTGTCCATAGGGGGCACCAAAGATGACACAAACAAAATGATCCTTACAGGAGCTTTAACTTTTTTATATACATATATATACAAAGGAACCATCTTTACAACTGTTGTGCAGTATGTTTGGACAAATAATTTAAAATAGCACAAGCAGATTGACTCTTAAAGTTTCACTTAAAAACATTCAAACTAAATTTCTTATTTTGCAGCACAATATTATTTAGACATTCATGCTCCCCAGGAAATAAATTAACCAACTGACTTTAATAATCCCAAAGCTGTTGAACGTCCCTTACTACGGTTTAAATTTTTGACAAAAAATCTCCAAAAATGTTGGCTGGATTGCTCTAATATTCTGTGTAGACCCAATCCCCAGAGGATGAACCCTATTGACCTGAGGTTATCTCTGTCATAGCTAACATCTTCAGCAGATTGGTGTTTTAATGTTTTACCTTCGCCTATGTCCCAGCACCTGCTGTACTGATTAGCAAATGTTTTAAATAAATATCTATGCTCCTCAGAAAATCCAAGGTTATTCCTCACTTTGCCGATTATTTCTGATTAAATGGCTAAATTAAAATTTCAAAACTGATCAATTTTGCTTCTAATGAGGTTGAGATTCCTAAAGATCCTCTAACTTTTCCTTTGGCACTATCATCAGGTTGATGTTTTAGTTTTTTCAACATCCATCAATTTAATTAATACAAGCATCTATGGTTTCTTAGCAAATGTTTGAAAGCTAACAAAGAAGTGTAACGTGTTAGCATTTATCTTAGCTTTGTAAACATGCCAGCATGACTTCCGGTCCTCTGATTTGTATTTGTGTTGTTAGTGTTTTTCATGTTCTTATGGTTCGTTTTTGTTTGTAGAAAAAAATACTAATCCCGAATAAAGGTCTCATGCTTCACCCTATTTATCCTCAAGGTCCCAAATTTGAAGGTGGTTGCTGGAGTTGAGTAACAGTATTCTTTGCTGCTGAGAATGGAAAACTTCAGTTTAAATCTGGAGCTGCACCAGGACATCTTAATGTCTTGTCTCACTCACAAAAATCCCCCCCAGGATAACAACGTCACACTGAGATAAAAAAAAAAAAGGCCTCTCAGTGATACAACAAACAATACATTCATACTCATGCTGTGTGGCCTACACTCAACATTCGGACAGATGTCAAACCAAAAACCCAAAAGCATGAAATCTTAAAGTCCTTTACACAAAAGTTTTGTGTTTACCTCTCTTGTCCCGCTGTGTCCCAAAGCTGAAGATGGACTTTAAAGTTCTTCTCAGTCGTCCCATCAACACCTGTCCCTGTGTACACCTGATCCAAACCACAAAGCATCATACAAAGATGACAAACCCAGGAGCATTTGAGGCCTATTTGCGTATATGCCTCCTCCTACACAGCCTAAATCACTTACCACTCTCTTTTCCCTGAAGTCAATCCCTACTGTGGTTGTAAACTTGCGGTTGAACTTGTTGTCGGTGTACCTGTAGAGGAATGTGGTCTTCCCCACCCCTGAGTCCCCCAGAGCCAACAGCTTGATCAGATAGTCATAGTCCCAATCAGCCATTGTGGAGCTGAGTGCTCAACCTGCCGCAGAGGTGGACCCAGAGGAAATTTCAAGATTTAAGAATGGATCATGAATCTTAAAGAAAAAGCATGCGAGTGAGTATGAAAAGGTAAATACTTATAGAGTGAATGGACTAGTAAAAGAAAAGTGAAGTAGTTCCACCTAAGCTGCATTCTCAGTCTGAGGTGCAGGATCATTACATGGGCTTTGCAGGACGTCATAACTCCCCCACTCATTAGGCCCTGATCAGAGAGGGACTAGCACATGACTTGAGCTGGCTTCCACATGAGTAGTCAAGAGTTTTATCAGACTCTGCTGAGCGGAAAAACAGCCTGTTTGGCAGACAGAACTCCTTTTATTGACTGAGAAGACTGCGGGTAGGCAGCTGAACGCTGCATGACGCCTCTCAGGTCAATGCAATGCTTTGGTTACACTTGCAGCTGGGGCTGAGCAGGCCAATAAAAGAAGCATGGAAAATTAGATTTGGTTATGAAAGCAGCAGTTGAGAAACCAGAATCTCTTAAGACCACTGTACGCTTTCTTTCCCAAATTTGAAATGGAGGAAATTTTTCCAGAAGCATTAACTCAGCCCCAGAATCTAGCACCACAGCAGTAATAGGATACAAGATAACGGCATCAAATGTGGAGTCATTCCCCATGTGCATGTTTAATGGTGTTGAGTTCTTTGCTAGCAGAATAAAGATGAAATGCTGAGTAATCCCCCCTTTAACCTGCAGCAGCCTTTCCCTTTATCTGACAAAACATTTCCATGGGAAACTAAACTATCAAACAGCCTTTTGTTGACTCCCTATCAACTACAGACTAGATAAGTTTCAAAAATAGCTCAAAAAATATCAAACACCTTACCACCTTATCTGCAGGAGGTGCCAACGTCCATTCAGAGATAGCCCGAGCTGTCCTGATTAAATAAAATAATCACTATCATGATGCGATGGCCCATCCTGAACCTTTCCCTCCTTCTTCCATGTGATTCAGGGAGGAGTTTCTCACCAGCAAGAACCAAGAAGGGCTGTGCTTACAGACTTTGTGTTTTCTGGTATTTCTCATGAGGGGGGAAAAGAAGTTCTTTAAAACTGGATTGTATCCGCCGCCGCCGCTGAATAATGTGTGCCTCTGTGGATTTGTGTGGAAACCGTCCAACCAGGCAACATGCTCCACTTCTTGAGGCTCAGAGAAATAATCCTGCTTCTTTAAACATTCTGAAAACAACATGAAAACAATGAACCTAAAGACTTATTTAGGTCTGCTTAGGGTTTTGGAGTTAGTTTCACCCAGTTTACTCTCTTTCTCAATGTACAAAGGGGAGATATGTGAAGGTCACTTAAGGTAAAGGGCGTATTTACTCATTCAGTGGTCCTCAAAGATTGATAAAATCAAGCTACTTTTCAATGTTTCTACCCAAAAAATGTGCACCAACCTACACTGATAAAGAATCTGCTAATAAACAGGACATGATGAGATTAACAAAATATTAATTTATTACTTAATCTTGTCATTGACAGTTGTCAGATGATGGGATGTCGGGCAGCAAGTGGACATTTTTCTATGATGCTGGAAGAGGAAAAATAGGAAAGGATGAGAGCGACTTTGACAAAGACCAAATTAACCAAACTGATCGCCACATGACCGAATCAGAGCCTCTACAAAACTGCCACAAGTCCTCGGTGGTCAGCAGGGATTTAATGGGTGGGGGATGTGGGGGTATGCCTTCTGCCTGCTTTTTTCAGCATGGAGCTCATTTAAAGGTGGGGAGTGAAGGGTCAGCTGTAAGGTCTAGCTCGACACAAGAGCTGCAAGAGCTCAAATTAAACACTGGTTTAATAGACAGGTGTCATGATAAAGTAGATGGGTAGACTTGTCAGGGTGCTCAGCTGAGTCCTGTGTACAGCTGGAAGCACCACTAGAACTGAACCCTTGATTGGAGGAAAACAACAGTGCTGACTTGGTCCAGAGGAGTCCATCATGTGCCATCAGATCAGGACCGCTAAATGAGAACACGGACTTCACACGAGCCAATGAGGAGCAGCTGTGGCTCAGCGGTGTAGTTGGTTGTCTCTCAACTTAGTGTTTCCATCCCGAGCCCTGGTGTCCACATGCCAAAGTGTCCCTGGGAAAAAAAACACTTAACCCCAAATTGCTCTGATGGCTGTGCCAGCACTGTGTGAATGGGATTAGTTACACTGAATGGACTATACACAGCAGCCTCTACCATCAGTGTGTGAATGTGGTGTGAATGAGTGAATGTGACATGCAATGTAAAAGCGCTTTAAGTAGTCGGAGGACTAGAGAGAGCTCTATATAAACACAGTCTATTTACCATTTACAACAACACTTATAGTTGGATTTAGTTCACTGTAATGCGCTTAATCACCTGATATTTTAGAGAGTCAGATAATATCTAATGGGTAACAATCATTTTCATGTCACCTTCTGTCCTTCACTCTTTCATAGCTTGTGTCGGGGTCTATTTAGATGAACAGTGCCCACAAACAGCCTCACCCAAATGTTCATTCCTAAAGCTTTATTGTCCTGATCTTCTATCTTGCTTCCTTCTTGCAAGTGTCACATGAGAAACAAACCGCTCAGAAATAAGAAATAAAAGACGTTCCTTGAGATGAACAATGTGAGAAAATAAAGGGTTTAACTGGGTTTAAAATACTTGAACAAGTTGTTTGTCTGACTGCTTTTTCCTGCAACTTTTTTGTCTTTCGTCATCGTGCTCTTCCCTCCTTTCCTAATTAAGGGCGTCTTCAGGAGCGGCTTCTGTTGCTTCCATTCAGCCATCAGCTCCCTCTGAACATCCACAGGAAGCTCAGAGAAGACCTTAGGGTCCACATTTCCTGGAAACTCACAGTCAGAAGATAGAGGGAGTGATAGTCTCTCTTCTTCCATGACGTTTTCTCCCGGTAATAAACTTTGGCCTGCAGGACTCTTGTGATTCATAGTGGTAGGCGAGTCAGATGGATCAAATTTGTCCACAGTGTCTTTTGTGTCCTTGACATTTTGGGTGACTGTAAATGAAAGTGAGGTCATGTTGTCTGTCGAGTGGGGGACTTCAGCTGCTGTAACTGAGCTTGCTGAAGTGTTGGTGGGATAGTTTTTGTCGGCAGTGGATAACAGCTCCTTCTGGATTTCCTCAGGGAGAAGCCTGAACACCTCAGGGTCAACATTTGGGGGCAATCGCTGTGTCATCATGCTATTTGTTACAGCACAGTTTGACCTCAATGTGCTGCAGCAAAGTTTCTGAGGCGGAGGTTCTTTCACAGCAACAACAGAGCTCTGTTTTCTTTTAAAGCCATGTAATGCTTGCCCAGGGCTGAAGGAGCTTTTCATAACCTCTGTCTTCTGTGAGGGATCTTTAGTAATGAACTGATGATCCACACTCAGATTACCCCCAGCTTGGAAGAAATCATCCTGTTGGAGGAGAAAAGACAAAGTCAAGGATTCAGAATTCTGGCACCCTATTTCAGAGAAAGGAAGATTGTGTGGAGGTTACATAAAGGCAAAGAGTGAAGGCAGACAAAATTTAATTTCTACTCAGAGTGAGGGCGCATTTAACAGCTTTTTTACTTTGAAAAAACTGGAAAAATATTTCTTATAACATTTAAAGACCTGCAGATGCTCTACTGCTAAACAAGTCAGGAGCAAACAGGCGTAGTTTTGTACTACCTGACTTTGTGATGAGATTTGGGTTTTTCCGGGGGATGTGCTGTGTGTAAAGAAAGACGTTATGGAGCCCTTCCCGCTGGCGGCAGCTCCTCTGGTCTGCAGGTTGCTGAAGCAAACGTTTATGAGGTTGAGGTGGAAGGCGGCGCTGCTTTCAACCATTTTGTGGAAGAGCTTCATGGCCATTGGGACCAGCTGGACCACAGCTTCATCACAGCAGCCTGCAGAAAGATTAAAGACAATCATGACTTAATGGCAGTAGGATATGAAAACAACACAAAGATAATTCAATACTCAAACAGGGCTGTAAAACAACCTAAAGAGGTTTGATACCAATTTTTAGGATTATGTAGATGTTATACATCTGGTCCTGGAAAATGAGATTTGTTGTGGTTCTGACTGCGTCAGTCATAAAGATAAAACATGATGTGACAGACTTGTTCCTTGTTCCTATTTTCATAGGTGAGGCTGAGCTTGTGCAGGATGGACATTAAAGAGTCCCTCTAGACTTACCAGAGCTGACTTTCTGTCCAATGTGGTTTGGGATTGGACACTGTCGACTTTCTCGGTTGAACCACTTGTTGGTCGCTGAGTGTTTACGAATGGTGAGCCGGAAGGTTTGAGGCTGCCTGCCATCTTTGTGCATCCTAATTATTTTAAACATACAATTAAAGTTCAATTCAGTGAATTCAGTCTAAAACACCACTGTAGAGATTTAAAGAGTGAGCCCTACTAATGAAAACAAAGAGGTGACTCAGAAAACAAGACATTTATCTTTGCATCAAATGTTGATCTCCGTTTGATGTTCTGTTTCTAAACCAGCTTTTTGCTGTATGGTAATAAAAAGGATCAAGTCACTCAATTATGGGCACCCAGGAGTTTAATTATTGTTGCTGTGTTGTTCTCAGACCTCAGATTTTTGCCAGTATCATATCATAGTGTGACAAACCTATTAAAGAAGTCCTTACCTCTCCACCAGACTGCCCAGGAGCTCTTGTATCTTTTCCAAAACTTCTTTGGTTGAAGCTATTTTCTTGAAGGAATCCTCATCACTGAGGGACTTTGACACATAAAGGAGAAAGAATATGTACAGTAAATAAATTCAAATACGTACAATAAATGAGATTTATCCAGTCCCTTGGTTGTCAGGCTTCAGTCAACATACCAGCTTTTATAGAGAGTATTTCTCCCAGAATAAAACAGCAGACATAGTTTTCTAGGGGTGGGGGTGATCTGTGGATTATCCAGAGTAATAATAGTACAATTTCTGGAAAGACAGACTCTTCTAAAATATTTCTGAAGCTGTATCATTTACTACTTTTCTTCTAATTTCAGTGTAAATGAAATATCAGAGACAGGTATACTGACAATAAAAGTATAGGCACAATAAATAGAGACATCAAATAAGATTCTTCTCTCTATTCATTGTGCGGTAATTTAAAAACCAACCAAAAGTCCCTTTTTGATGTGTAGAAATGTTTTCAGGATGTACCATCACAGTTCTACCATTGAGAGATACACACATACATCTTACTGCTGCTGTGTCTGAGCTCCCTATGAAGCCAAAAATGGAGACTGCACCTACATCTGACTGATCAGAGACAGTGTAAGAGGTTTTAAAAGTCAATGAGTGGCAGTTAACAACACTGTAAAACAGAGGAACTGAGAGCTCTGGCCCAGTCTAATCTTCCCCTTCACTCATTGTCAACACATAATGGCAATGACTCCACTCGTGTTTAAGTACAAACTGCAAATCTCAGGGAGATTCTTGCATACCTGAGGGGCCCCAGTTGGGGTAACAGGTGAGTCATCCACACCCAGGGATAGATTCTTCAAACGCTGAGCACAGGGAGCTCCAAACTCTCCTATCAGGTCATTTAAAGGGAAGAGCTGCAGGTCTGTCACACTGACCACTCCAAGGCCTTTAAGTCTCTTGGCAGTTTGGTGTCCCACCCCTAAAAACATAGACAGCAATCAAAGATGTACTGTCAGGGACACTCAACATGAATGAAACACTAAAACAGTTATCAAAAATCTTTACCTGGTACTTTACGGATGCTGCTCAGACAGCCCATGATGTCGCTGATGTTTTCAGGCAGGAGGGATGTTTGCTGATTAGGCTTGAAAGCACCTGACACCAGTTTTGCCAGTAGCTTACTTGTGGCAATACCAGCACAGCCAGTAAGGCCTAGTTTGCTGTAGGTGACCTCTCTTAGCTCAGCTGCAATTTGTGAACCTAAAGCCAACCTTGGGTGGTCACTGGCTTCAACATCAGCATCTTTATGGGAAAAGAATAGCAGAAATGTATCAATGTTCATACAAAACCTCCAAAAATCTTAAAGAGGATCTGAAAAATTGAACTTTTCATGCTCTGAAGAACTGAAAGTGGAATGCAAATGATTTACAAGTTTTGGCTCCCTCTCCTTTTTCACTACTCATTACTTGGTTTCTATGAGACAGATGTTAAATCCTACAGCAGCTGCACAGAAGAGGCACAAATGTGATTTACTTGGATGGTTGTAGACATGTCCTCTGAATGATATCCTCTCAGTCTCTGATGTTTGTGCAAGTCGTCTCTCTACCATCGATGTGATGTCCATGAAGTTTTCATCAAATCCAAGCCTCTCTACCAGTGGACAGTAGGACATCAGCAGCTCTACATGAAAGAAAAGACAAGGTAAAGAAGAGGATTAAACTAACAGTTAAGATTTTCTGCTAAAATATGATTTTGAAAAGGTGTGAAATGACACATGAGACGTAAACAGATCTATGATTTATGAATTATGTGCTGACAGAGAAATCAAAGGCAAAGACTGCAGACTTCAGATCTTAAGTTATGTTTCACAAGTGCGCCCCAGTGAGAGGTACTTCTTCTTACCTGTCATTTTGTAGGACATTTCTCTGTAGTGTGTCAGATCTTCTCCTTTAACCAGCACCAGCTGAGGGCATTTTTCTTTAGCAGCAGTCACAGACATCAGCTTAGTGACACCTTGCTCCCTTGCCACATAGTTACAGGTGACTATGATGTATTTCTGTTGAATGCCTGATGATAGGAGACACACTATATTAGACAACAAAAGTATCATAGCACAGATTCAAAAGCGATCTATTGTTGTAAATCTACCTAATGGGACTTGTCTCAGCGCTGGGTTTCTGATCATTTCCACCTGGGCATAGAAACAGTCCAGATCAAAATGCAGAATGACTCTGTGTGCAGGTGCTGGTCCTGAGGTCCAGTTAAGGCTTGAACCTGAAACTGTGATTACACAAAAACAATAACCACCTGTTATGTGCTCATAGCTGACAAATGGAGCCGTGTTTTTCAATAAATGACAAAAATTGAAACCCAAAGAAAGTTTCATTTTGGACAGTTTCCCATCCTACGCCCCCCAGTCCTCATATTTTACCAGAAGCACGAGCGGGGCTGAGAGGGGGTGAATCCACGAAACTGGTCCTCCACTCGTTTTCATCTTCCTCCATTTCATCCTCGCTGTTATCCATTTGTTTTTTGTTTTAAATAAACCTTAATGTTACGGAATATGTTGTTGTTGTTGAAGTTTCGGAAGGCAGAAGTGTGCCTAACAGCAACAAATCATTTTCGTGTGGTGATGAACGCTAAGATATTGCAGCACTGCCATCTGCCGACTTGGTGGTATTACTGCGACACACTGTGGTCCAATTTGTTTGACCTACCACAAGTGAAAATAACACTTAAATATTCTACTTTGGCAAAAGTGACGTAACATTGATTCAAAACTTTCTTTAGCAGAGGGTAAATCTGTGAAACTACTTAAGTACATGTACTTCAGTCAGTTCATAGAACCTACTTGCAATTAAAATGCACTTAATTTAAAATGTACCAGAAAGACTGAGTACTTTTTTACCCAGAGGAAACCTGGGTTGAATAATTTGCTATAATTCCCCCACAAACTATTGAAAAGCACACTTTTCCCTAGCTGTAATGTAACCAAGAGCAGTGAGAAATTTTTAAAGGGTTATAAAGAAAGGAAAATAAGTTAAGAAAGTGACACAGAGAAAAGATCCAAGGAAAGAATCTATTAGAAAAAAATCTGCACAAAAAAAGTGACATTGATTTTTGGTTATAACCTGATATAAGAGACTTAAAATAATTTTAAAAAGATGGTGAAGTGTTGAGAATTTTCGTCTTGTGAATATGGAAGTGAGAGATAGAACCAAGAGGTTGACACACAAATAATAGACAATTTTTTTGTCTTGAGCTGTAAAATCAGTAAAAACATTTTTATTTTTAATAATAATTACATTTTTGGTATAACCACTCAAGTCATTAACTGATTCTGCAGACAGTCTTATTATATCTAAGCCAGAAATAAGCATTTGTGATCAGAAAAAAAGCTGTAAATAGTGTTATCAAATTTTTTTGATTACCTTCTTGAACGAAGACACAAGAGATCAATGAACTTATAAAAAAAATCGTCTAAACTGTTTTTGATATTTTCATTTAAAATAAGGTTAAATAGTATTTTTTTTTTTTTTAATGCAAATGTACAAGTAGACCTACGTCAAAAAGTTGATTTAATTACCTAGAGTAAAATGTAGCCTAATTAGCTTGGTCTACTTCACCAACACAGCATTTTCTAAGGCTCTTACAGTTTTTTTGTCAGTATCTGTGCCATGAATGACGATATTTTCTCAAAAGATAAAAACATTCAGCAACAAAAATTAATTTCAAAAACACTTAAACGGCGGTGTGGTGCCACGAGCGGACTATTTAAACCAGAGTTGAACGTAGCTGACGTCACCTGTCAGTTGGAGCTCGCACCTGTTGGTCGACGGTTGAATTAACAAGCTAACACTTAACACGCTTCGGGAAAACGGCTTTTTGCTGATGTTTCCGTCGACTGGTCTATTTGCAGCTGTGAATTGTCCCTCCACGGGGCTTTGTGAGCGGCCTCACTGTTTCTACAGACATGACTTAGAATCTCAGGAAGAGTTCAGCGCTTCCTATAAATCGTCGATAGTTGACTTTTCAGGTTGGTAGCCCACTCGATCAACGCTAGCTCCGTTACTTAGGTTATTGGTTTCAGGTGTGCGCAGCCTTGCCTGTTTAAAGTTTTATGTGTCACATACTAAAAAAAAAAGAGTCAATTTGGGTATACCTTTAACGCTTAGCAACCACTACTCTAGAGCTGAATTTCTTCATAGACGCTTGTATTATTGTGCATTTGTTTGACTTAAAATATTGTCGTATCAGGCTATACGACGATAAGTACCGTCGTTACATTTTATTTCTAGTTGTGGGGAAATTAAGATTGCATCTTATTGGCAGTAAAGAAAATTGGATTGTTTAGATGTTCATAATATTGTGGTTTGTCGGTGTAACTACCAGCGAACTCAGCAGATGAAAATCTTGTCTAGTCTTGACATGTAAACGATCTCTACATTTAAGATGGCCACCCCACCAAATATTACATCTTTCATCTAATCTCACCCTGTATTGTTTACCACCTTATGACAAATACTGTTTTTTATTTTTCCATTGTTACTTTGCAACAGAGTCCAGAAATGACAATCCATACCTTGGCTGTGGAGCTTCAGTGAATAATGACACTAAAGATGCCTGTCTTCAGAGACTGGAGAAGATCAACGAGGAGATTGAAACTGTCAGACGCGAGGTAGAGTTGGAGCAAATACGATTGTCCCACTTCCAAACGGTACAGGTGGATCACCAAGACACGCTGCTTGGTCTTTCCATCTCAAAGACAGAGGCAGCGTGTAAAAACATTGTCAGAAGTTCAAGTGGTCAGGCTTCGTGTACAGAGTCAAAAAGAAAGAACCCCAAAGCAAGAAAATACGTGGTTGACAACTCAAAACCAAGGACAGATTTGGAGTATGACCCTCTGTCAAACTATTCTGCTGACTTGCGGTCGTACAGCTCATCAGGCAAAGAGCCAAAAGTTCAAGACAGAAAAGGTTTGAAGAGAACAAAAGACGCTGTTTGTAGCAACCAAAAGTGGACATACGACTATCGGTGTCCTCTTTCTCGATCACCATCTCCAGATCCACAAGGCGACTTTTATGAAGACAGTGAGTTGGTTATTGACATTTTTTCCTCACCTGACAAAAAGAGAAGAAAAGCTGAAGAATGCATTGATCTGGTTTCTGACAAACCCTTATCCCAGGAGGGAACAGAACTTAATGAACAGATTTTACTTGATTCTCCATCATTGCAACTTTCAAAAACAGACACTTTAAATGCTACATCCCTACCAGCATCAAGGCTTCAAGGAAATATAGCTCAAAGTAATTGCAGTGGTGAAATAAATCAAGGTCTGTCTAGCCTTTACCAGGACAAAGACTGTAAACTTGAATTGGTTGAAAGAAGTGTTGTTGATGTTACCAAAAGTTTAGAAGGTCCAGGCAGAGAGACACAGAAAGTTACAAATTTTCAGGCTGCTAAATCACTTGAAGAAAAAAGTCCCGACTCTGCAGGGTCTCCTGCATCCAAAGACCAGGTGAAGAAAATGAATTCACTGCAGGCTTGTGATTATCAGCCAAAGAATTTGCTTTTTTATGAAGATTCTGACGTCAACTCGAGCGTACAAAATAAGCAACATACAAAGCAAGGCCAGACAATGGAGCAGCCAGCTCATAGCAAAGTTACTGATATTTTTACCCCAAGCTGCTCTCTTTCACTGCTGCCAAACACACACAGAACTTCAAATGTAATGATTGGGCAGATACAAGGTAAAACTGCTGATCGTAATCCTCCCCCACCTGAAAGATACCCAGAGCTAGCAGAATCTGCTGCAGGCGGCAGCCAAGCTCAGGCCGGGCACAGTTTTTCAGCATCAGCTGAGCAACCCTCTGTCGAAGCCTCACGTGGAGAGATAATTATCATTGACTCTAGCTCTGACAATGAGGATGAGCTCAACTGTTCAGATGTAGAGTTATCAGACACTGACCCAATGGAGGAATGCTACAGGATCTTTATGGAGGAATACTGCGAGGATAAGGGAAGCGAAGAGCAGCCTGATGTTTCTGTAAGTATTTTGTTAAAAATCTTGCATTAAAGAGAGATTTCTTTACTATTAAGAGATGTTTACCTCATTATCAGGTGGGAACTGTGGAGGTGGAGAAACCAGCATTAAATGTTACGGCAGGGAAGAAGAGGGTGGCTCATGATCCCAAACATACAGAGGTACAAGCCACAAAATTATGTTTGCCTTGAGACTGCCAAGACAAAATAATCGTCATAATCTATTGTATTGTTATTTCTGATATCATTGTATTATCCAGCAGCCAGTGGGAAAGAGCAGACCTGAGCCTCAGGTTCTGGTTCCCTTGCGTGGACCTGGGGTATCAGGATTTGCCTCCCAGTCCTCCATCACTACGAAGATCCAGCTGGTACAGCAAAGAGCCTCGATTCTTACGGCCTCAGTCAAAGGGGGTCAGGCTTTTATTACCACCACGTGTCAGAGGAAGCCAGAAACCCACAGAGCACCTTCTTTGACTCAAATCCCTGAAAACCCACAGCATGTTCCCGTGCAAAGTGGTAAGTGTCCTTTGGTCAAAGTGGAAAGGGTATGTTAGGTTTTTGGGGTAATTATTATTATTGTTTTTAAAGGTCACATTTTTAATATATCTTATTTTGGATAAAAAAACACACCACTAAGCTCTAAGCGATGGATTCATTTTAACACAAAGTTATGTTTCAAGCTCAAGCTTTTGAGCTTTCTGGTGTAGAGATCTTTTTTTTCCTCATGGTTGTTTGTTTAAGATCCTGTATCCACCGTGGGATGTCTAAATTTAATTTACTAATTGAAGATTTTTGGCTGTGCTTGTAGTTGTCAAATTTTATGTAGACATAAATCTGTTATATTACACAGCATTTTTATGGTTTTGTGTACAAAACTTTAAGTGTATTTTGTACACTTCTTGTTTATATCACATGTAGCTTTGTGTCTGTTTTATCCTACAGCTCAAACAACATGCATACCTATAGGAACAGCTGTGGTAAATGTGGGAAACAACCTGCACTTGATCCTTCCTACTTCAGCCAGAGCTTTCACTCCCAGCCAAGGTTATTCTGTGTTAACTCCTTTGATGAAAGGGCACACAGGCCCTGTTACTGTGAAACAAACCTACCATACACCCTTACTCACCCCTGTGCAAAGGTCCAGGACGACAGCACCTGTGCTTATCCCTGCACAGGCACAGAAACCCTCTTTGAACTTTGCCTCTGCAGCAGCACATTCAGGTCCAGCATCTTCTGCTATTCAAGATTCTGTCCAGCCAACTGCTAAGGTAAGATTTTAAGAGTGGCTTGTGTAGGCGCCTATTCTCCAAAAATTAATTAAACCGTAACCTTTTTATCCCATCTGTTAATAATAAATTTATTCTTTCCAGCCAGTTTCTACAAAACGCAAGTTGAAGCAGCAGTGTGAGTCTTCCAAAGACAAAGTGCCCCATGACATCCGGCAGCGTTATGTCAACTTGTTCACAGAAGAGTTCCTCAAAACCTCAGCCAATGTCAATGATGCTTTTGAAAAGGTAAGGTTTTGCCACTCATTATTCCTCTCTGACTGACTGTCAGTCTTAATGTCAATTTCTGATCCCAATAATATTGACAGGCACTTGCGGAGGAGAAGACTGTGTATAATCGCAGTATGAACAAACTCAAATATCTCAGTGTTGCAGTAAATGCTTTGAAGAGACTGAAGAACCAAAGTGCTGTCGCTGCTAAAGGTGAGACTCCATTCAAGAATGGGGGTCTCATTTATGGAACAGTGTGAAGTATCCATGAAAACTGTATGGAAGCCAACGCCTGGAAATGGCTCACGCCAAAAATAATTCAGGTTTAAAAAATTGTGTGCACACACACTTTAACAAATTATTTCTGGTTTTAAATCATTATCCACATGGGAAAATATATGTTAAACCTTTATGATAGTTCAGCCTTCATGTTACAGATGTTTCAGGGTCAGAGTTTGCGTATGTGTGCGCACATTTTCCAGTCAAGTTTGTTTTCTATAGATCACAAACTTGCGTAGGCGGGCCACCCCGCTTTCTGGCCCTTTTTTCATTTACAGTGTTTATAAATGAGACCCCACTTGTGTTCTGTTTGAAATGTGCGAGTGATAAGGATGACAAAAAAAGGTTGACTCTTTAATCTTTTCAGATCAAAATATGGTCAACAGTCCAAAGCTTAAGGGCAACATTCCACTTAACCTCAAGAAGGTTAAAGAAAATGGTAAGAAATTGTTTCTGTAATATTTTTGTAACTTTTAATTTCAGGATGGCTTTAAGCATTTATTTTTCCAGTAGATGATATGCCTCTGTATGAGAGTTTAAAGGACTACGTTTTGACTGAGGAAAAGCTTATTGAGAACAACTATCCTGTCCGGGACCCGGAGAGACGTGGTTGTGCTGTACTTTTTGCTGAGCCTAAGAAAGGAACCAAAGACCGTAAGTATAATGTAGCACTGCAACTGTCTATGAGGCTCTTAGCCTCATATTTTGCCACTAGAGGGCGCACTTTGGCTGTAACGTGCGTATAGGGTTTCTTGTCTTGTCAGAGCTTATTCTATGGGAGATCATTTTCTTTTTCTCTGTTTTTGGTGAAGCTCTCAAAAGGATCTGCTGTCGATGTGGGGCTATGTACTCTGTTAACCAAACAGGCAAACACATCCGTCAGGAGGAGTGTAATTATCACTATGGGAAAGGAGTCAAGAATAGAGGTAAGCATACCACAGTTATTCTTCACAAACATCACAAATTTCTCAGTACTAGTTCTACAATGTAGATCTTAGAAAAGATCTTTTGTAAGCATTATTGGATACCAACAGTGCCTGGTGGAGTGGAAACCCGCTACAGCTGTTGTGAGGGAGTCATGGGAGCACCTGGTTGTCAGATGTTTAAGGTAGGAAAAGAAATAATTTTTCAGCCCGACTCTCTCCTGAGACTTTAAAATAAGAGCTTTCTTTTGTTATTATGCTGTTGTCTTTTGTTCAACAGCTGCATGTCCATGATTCCTTCAGCCTGGATGGGTTTGTGTCCACCTCTGAGGGAAGATCCTCGCAGAGGAGCTGTCCTGGGGTCTATTCCTTGGATTGTGAAATGGTTTCAGCTCTTTTATTGCCCTTATTTAAATTTTCCTTTTGAGCACCAAACTCCTGTCACACCCCAGCTGTTTGTGATGGTGTTCTTAGAACCCATACTTAAAACTAGTGTTAAATGTCAACAGAAACTTTGTGTACCACAAAGTAAATCTTACTAACCTATACCATACAAGATAACAGACGATACTGCTCTTAAGAAGGCAGAATAAATTATCCATATACACGCACAAATACACTTGTTGATGCAAATATGATTCACCCAGAGAATGTATTGCAATTCACAGTGCATGTTGTGTAAATTTTTGTCTTCCAAGTGTTATACCATCCATGGTTTGGAGCTGTCCAGAGTGACAGTGGTCAACTCCAGACTACAAGTCATTTATGACACCTTTGTCAGACCTGATGGTGAAGTCATTGACTATAACACCAGGTATGTAAAAGATGGGTGACTTTTTTTCTGCATTTTGAAAAGCTCTTTGAACACACTCAATCACCAGCTTTTTACCGGCAACGCTACACTGATGTGAATTTTTTCAACTGCTGTATCTTTGTATTTATGATCAGCTAACTACTCTGTTTATAGTCTTTTGTGTGACATTTGTCAAGGTTTTCAGGCATCAGTGGCGAAGATGTGAAGGACAACCTTACTTCCCTCAGAGAGGTGCAGGAGACTCTATTGAGCTTCATTAATGCTGAAACCATTCTGATTGGACACAGCCTGGAAAGAGACCTCTGTGCTCTGAAGGTGATTGCTTTGGTGTTTCCCAAATGGGCTCTATGCACTGATCCACTTCTTCCTGAACTTAAGGCTGCTCCTTGGACAACCTGATTAATCCAGATGTGTCTGAGTCGTCACAATGATCAGTCACACCTGGATTAATAATTCAAGACAGGAAATAAAGGAGCTGCCTAAAGTCAGGAAGTAGTGGAGCTGTGCATAGAGCCCATTTATTCCAAAAATTATTGCAAGCCTGATTAACCTATGATTTGAAGATAAAGCCCAGGAAGGTCAAAAAGCAGAAAAACAAGTGGATTTGATAAGGCAGTCACACTCAACGTTGCAAACATAGTTCTCCTGCAAAGGGGCTTTTAAATCTTTTAAAGGTGCTCAGCTGAAAGTAGGAACAACACTGACAACACTGCTGCAAATCTTGGTCATGTATGACTACTGACTTTTCAAGGCGATGAATTGGTGTGGCAACTCAAGTTTTTAAAATCAATTAAGAAATTAGCCCTGAATGGAAATGTATCAAAAGATGAGAAAGAGACATGAACACCATTTAAAGAATTTATTGTTAAAGTGGAAAGGTAGATGAACGTGGGAAAGAAGTTTGTAAAACCAGGTTACATGCTAGTTTCTTTTCTTTCTCCACCTGCACCTCTTTTTCTACACAAAGTAATGATCAACTTATTCAAAAGGCTACATCCAGTGATAAAATCTTTAGATATCTCTCCGTCTTACTATAGTTGCTTCACGGAGCAGTTGTGGACACAGCAGCAGTTTTCCCCCACCGTCTGGGCCCCCCTCACAAGCTCAGCCTCAACAAGCTCACTGCTGAATACCTCAGGAGGATCATCCAGCAGAGTGGTGGGTCATCATGGACAACTGCAGCCACCACATGTTTCATTGACACTTTCCTGTTTAAACTGCATGTTGTGTCAGATAAAATATGTATAATAATCAAAGTGCAACTTTTGAGAAATATGAACCAAAAACTATGTGTTTTATAATTACATTTCTTGAAAGATATGGTGTTAATGTTTTTCTCAGAGAGTGGCCATGACACTGCAGAAGATGCTGCTGCCTGCATGGAGCTTATCTTGTGGAAGGCCAAAGAAGATGGAAAACTGAAAAAATGATATAAATAAGACATAATAATCCTCATCCTGCTCTTAAATGGAAAAAAAGAAGCTGTCTTGAAATGTTGACTAATGTCTGTATTTACGTAAAGCTGTTGACTCTATTGTGATGAAAAAAAGGGCTGTTTATTTTTTGTTTGATGGAATCACTAATTTGTTAGAGGTATTTTATGTTAGATTTTTATTTTAGCCTATGAATGATCCATCATATAGTGACTTATGTGGTATCACTGTTAAGACCCCTGAAAGAGTGGGATGTCACCAGCTTTACAAGAATAAAAGAAATTAATGCACTCCCTTTGTGATTTTTTTTTTAACTCCCAACTTAAACCAGCCAATGAACATTCAGTATTTGATATCATCAAACATGGTGCAGGCGCAAATATGCAAATTGGTGTGCACCTGCTGGCAATTGGAGTGATTGCTTGTCAAACAAGTAAAATGGTCACATACTGCATATAACAAAGCAAATGTGTGTTTGTATTCATGTTAATGTCTTTACTTCTGATTTTATCTGAATCTGAGTTTAATGTCATAAAAAGGTCTTCTGGAAATGGCTGACAAATGCCAGACCCTGAAACAAAGTCATCAATTGTTTTGAAGAGGTTGTGATTACATTGCAAAATTAAGAACAGCTGGACAACCTGTAAACTAATATTTCATTGAGTTGAGGTTTTCCTGGCCAATTACTCAGCCTTTCTTTTTGTTGTGCTCTTTCTGCCACAGCACCTCCTGAAGCAGAAACTGCAGGTCTTGATGAACAGATACATTATGAAGAGGACGATGAAAAGGAAGAAAACCGCGACATCCAGACTGTGATACTGATACCAGGTGAGCTCATGGGCCTGGACCCTAAGGTGCTTGGCTCCTTTGTTTCTAATGGTGTACTCAATCCAGAATACGGCTTCATCCAGGGGGCTGATTGGTCTGTCGTGGTGGATTCTGGACAGTTGCATGGCACTCTCTTTGTACCTGTGAATGAAGTTTTACAGGAGTCAATAGCTGCGTTTGCATTGGCACAAATAATTGGAATAAATGCCCGATCGGAATAAAAATGCGTCATTTAAACATGTCGATCGGAGGATTGTGAGCCAATCGGAAAGAAATTGTATTCCGATCGAGAAGAGTCCATGTTAACACTTATTCCGATCGTGACTCTCTTTCCTAACTCGATCTTCACTCTTTTAGCCTTTGGCTTATTTGTTGAGTCCAGTACAGGAGGTTTCGTTATTAAAACACTGGCATAAAATACAACCGCAAGTGCCGAGTCTGCTCCTCCGGTAACATAACGGCGTAGATAGAGCGTAATGATGTCACATCTGCACGCAAAGTGCGTCCTTTGGCAGAACTGTAAAATAAGTACGCACAGGCGCCATCTAGTGACAACATTTATTATACTGAATTGGATGAAGTGAGCCACTACCGCATTTGTTGGTTTGTTGACAGCACAGGCGTAAATACGACTCTTCTTCTGCGGTTGTTTTAGCGAAATCAGACAACTCTGCGCATGTCCCAATGCCTCCAATCTGAATAAAGCTTGGTGCATGTAATCAAATAAAGAAATTTTGCCCACGTGACTAATGTTAGATTTTTGAACTGCAGTGTGCTGAGTTAAAAACCTGCTTATTTAAAGCACTTTACTTTAAATAAGCAGACAAAATAACCCTTAAACCCTGCTTATTTAAAGGGGTTTTTTAAAAGTTATTTTGGCTTCATGTTCTCCAGATTCTGGATTCAGTTTGAACCTCTTATCTTGTTAAGGTGTTAGCCTCTATGTAAGTGTACATGTCTGTCTTCAGGCACTCTATCTTGCCTATCTGACCACTGACCCATCATCTGAAATTGGGTTGTGCAGATGCATGCTCCAGCCTTTAGTGTTTGCAGTGATTCAAATGCTTAAAATATTTTCTGTTTGACTGATTATTTACACTGACTTTATTGAACTGGTGCATACTTCGTAGTAAAGAAAAAAAGTAGGCCTAATTATTATTTTGCAAGTTTTGCACATCCTCCACAGCACTTTACCTACTCACACTAATGCAAAGTCTTTATTCCTCACTTTCAATCAGAACAGTTATTAAACATTGGATTTATTTTTATTTCTTTCACTGCCTCTACTTTAATAACATTTAATAGTTTATCTCATATTTTACTGTTACTCTTTCTTTTTAATTAAAATTTATAATATTTATTGACATATCTTCTGGATGTGTTAAATGGAAGGAAGAGGTTTACGGTGGTCATCTGTTATTGCATGATGTCCATAAACCCTGAAGCTTTAAACCATAGCTGAAAATTACACACAATATACTGATCATACTTTTATGGTTGTATTAGTATAAGGTATATGAGGTTGAGTTGCCTTGAATCAAAGTTTAAAAAAGGGAAAATAAACTGAATTTTTTTGTTACATGTGTTTTCAAACTCAGACAAGAAGACTAGTTTATGGGAGAAAAGACCATCCAGTGTTTTTGCAGTGCCTTTGACCTTGCAATCTGGCTGTAATGAACTCTGTCCTACTGTGTTACGCTTTACTGCAACTCATGAAGAGCTATTGGCTGGTGTTCTATAAATCTGAACTTCTCATTGAAGGGAAGGGAGGAATTTATCAGAGAGGTTAGTAAACCTACGATTTCTCATTGATCACAGCGTTGACTGCATCCCTTAAATCTTCTGTTGTCATGAAGTTCATGTTTAAGACTCTTGCAGCTCCCTTTGCTTCAACATGGACAAGGTTGTCCGGCTGGTCAGCAAACATAGGGAGGCCCAACATGGGGACACCATGGTAGATGGCCTCATAAATCCCGTTTGTGCCCCCATGGGTGATGAAAGCTCTGGTCTTGGGGTGACCTAAAAGGATAAAAGTGATGCAATCCATGTGACTTTTTTCTTCTTCTGAATCTGGATGATTTCAATTTCATTTTTTTTCACAAAATCTTTTCATTGTTTGACAGAACACTGAGGAAACAACTTTTTTGTGTTTTTGTGCTGCAAATATTATAAGCAAGTAAAACAATTGACTGGTAAAAATTGAAGTTTTTCTTTAGAAAACACAGCTTACACGTACAGGACAAAATCAGCAAAGACAAAGAATGCTTCACTCTGTCCACAGGGGTAACAAAATCAACACAAATTTCCTCAAAGGAGCTTTAAGTGTCCTTTAACAACAGTGTCAGGCGTTTGTCAAGTTTACTTAAAATAGCTAAATCAACACCAAACAAGCCTTGACGCTTAGACTGTGATGGATCTTTTGGCGTACGATTTTATGATACCATATGTCAAAGTTCAATGCCAACAACATATTTCCGACCAAATTTGGTACCAATATCTCTCTGTGCTGTGCCCTCTACAGCTTCAGGAGTTTGTATTTTCAAACTAAAGGGTGATAAATGTATTGTGAGTATGCTGTTTTTACTGAAAAGAGAAATGATTAGGAGTAGTGTCAAAGGTCTGCTCAGTAGCTCCTGTAATGTTTTTCATACCCAGGAGATCATTCTGAGGAATCCAATCATATATCCTGGTGTTAGCACCCAGGGTAGCTGGTTTTTCTCCGCTGTATCTCCACAGAATCTACAAACAGAGACACTTGAGTTCTTACACAGGTATCATGATATAATGATGGAAAGCAGAGTGTACAATAATGCATGTGAAAAATACATTTGATCCAATGTAGTCTGCACAGTGACTTAATAGTGATAACCCCCTATATTGAATCAGATGTTAAATTTTTTTTTTGTTCTCCTTTGCCATATGACATGGTTATATATTTTTATTGCTTTTAATGGCACAGCATTTGATACTGTGAAACTATCTCACTCAGAGGTTAAGCAGTCAAAGGGCAGCCCTGATTATGAAGAGCACTTGCGCACTAGCTCAAGCTTTGACTTAGACAAAACTATGTTGTTTGGCTTACACATGTAGGTGGCTTATACAGTTCTGCTATGACACAGACAAACATCCATCAGAGGTAACATTTTGTTAATGCAAAATATCACCTTATACTGCAGTTTCATGCATCAACTCATTTTACATGCAACGATATTTGAAAGCCATAAGATATGTGCTGTGCACCTATATTTGCAGGGAGAGATGCTTGCAACTGCTTTGTTTTGAGGCTGTGCTTTTAAAATTTGGTGATGTAAGTGTTTTGCAGTTGGGACATGGATTGTTACCTGACCTTCTGTGGGATTTGAGCCAGAGCTGAGGCTATCATGTTTCCTCTCTCCGTTGTTATATTCTTGATGAACGATCCCAAAGTGAAGACCACAATGCCAGCATCTCCAGAGCTTTGCACAAACTCTTCTATATCCTGCATGATCAAAACATTAATCCAATGTGAGCCCCATTTAAACTCTTTTTTTCTTCTTTGATGCAATTAATGGTTATAGAAAAACAACAACAAAAAAACAAACATTTTGGCTGTGGAGAAAGCCCTACCTCTGGCAAGGGTTTAGCTGGTCTGCCATGGATCCCACCAACGAATATGAAGTTGGGGAGGAAGGGACGAGGAAAATCAAAATCCCAGTATGTCCGAATCAACCAGATATCTGCTCTACCCATCATTTCACAGGCATTTATTGGCGTTCCTTTTACCAAAGCATAAAATAATTGTAAAGCAGCAATCAGTTGCAAAGTGTCAGTGTTAAAGATGTCATAGCTCCTGACTGGTATCACAAAATCAAAAGTAAGTACATTTTTGCATTTCAACAAAACCATTACACTTCGTGTGATCTGTCAAACTGTTATTGAGACATACTTCTTGTGTGAGTTGCTCACCTTTGATTTCAGAGTAATACCTGTTGAGTTCCTTCCAATAAACGTCATATATGGTGATATCTTGCAGTGCATAAAAAATGAAGTTCCATACTCTCTCAAAGAAGTCCATCTTGTCAGTCAGTTTGCTCATAGCACCCGGGACAAAAGACGGTGGAGCCGGTAGCTGAGCGCAATATCTCTCCCAGTTATGGACTAGGGAAAAGCGCAAGGAGAAGACCAGGGGGATGTCCAAAATTTCTGCCAATAGGTCACTACCTGGATAAATGGGATCCGAAAACAGGAGGTCATATTTTCCTTCCTTCAGCCTCTTCATGACTTTTTCTGACTTCAGCACTCCGTCCAGGAGCTTCAAAGAAAACTGTAAATCAAGCTTCATCAAATCCATGTATTTGATGTACATCTGCAGGTAGCCCAAATGATCAATCTCATACATGGAAAAGTAAAGGTACTCCTCAAAAAACTTAGTCGCCTCCTCCAATGAGAAGGAGACATTGAAGGGCTCATAGCCAAAGCGTGAAGGCTCACTAACATTCATGAACATCGAAGAGCTCGGCACCAGAACTGTAACCTTGTGTCCTTTGTCGACCAGAGTTTCCAGCACAGGTTTTAGGTTAATCCAGTGGCTGCCTTCGGTGTACCACACCAAAATGTTCTCTCCATTTGCACCCCAGGCTGCAAAAAGTAGCAGCAACACGGACAAAGAGAGATGCTCCTGGTTCTTCATAGTGCCTGTGTCAATCTGACAGCGTGCTGGATGTTGGTCTTATGTAAAAGCTACTCCCAGGAAATCATTAACTATCAAAGCTGAACTCTGGTTCGTGGCTCTTGCTGCTGTGTGGGCATGCAGGCTCCTCCCAAAGCACAAGGTTACAGGTGTAAGATAACTGTTTATGGTCAGGATAAAAAGCTAAGACTGACTTCTAACCCATACTGCAAGTCTAAAATCTGAGAGGACATTCAAGATCACTGTTTACACCGCTTACTGCACACCTGTGTATTTTGATTAAGTTAGTTGGGAAACAGTTGCTGTGCAGAAAAAGTCTGATTTTGGCCCAAGAAAAAAAAAACCTCAGAGTGAAGTAAGCTTATGTTGTTTTCTTGTACACCATATACTGCACACATCACCAGATGGCACAATTAGACTGGATTTCAGCAGGAAAGGATTTGTTGTCTGTAATTGAGACTGTACATACGTGGACCAATTTGACAGATGCATTCCTAAGTAGAGGTATTAGCACATACATGTAGGCCCTGCAGCTCTTGTTTGGGTTTCCTCCAGATGTATGGGTCTCAATCCAGCCTACCTATTGAGAAAACTCATTTGACTGCATTTATTTTGCAGTTGGTGTCACTCTCAATTTTGCCCCTCACTTGTGAGCAACTACTACTACTTCAACCTGCAGAGCCAAAGCCTTAAATTGAAAAGTAGAGCTTCAGATGGTTCCTGTTAACCTAACTGCTGATGTGTCACTCAAGAGAGATTAGTTAAAGTAGACACCAGACATGTTTCAATATTGGTTTTATTGAAATTTAAATTGGATACAGCAAAATATTGCAATGTCAGCCTTCATGGTACAGCATTAATTCCTCAACCCCTCACATTTATACTTTAAAGTGATTGAAAATGACTTTTTTTCTTCTTTTAATTCCTGTGATTACCATGACCTCCCAGTCTCTAGATGGTACTGTTTAAAACATGTTTCAATAAGTTTGAATAGAAAATGTAAAATAAGTTGAGTTCTTAGTCCTATCTAAAAATGTCCAGGAAAGAGTCAAAACTGTGATGTTTTTCAAATGTGCAGGTGGAGTGCAAATGAATGTGCATTTACGAGGAGTCAAAACAGTAAATCAGATATGAAACATGGTCATTGTTCACACAGAGGTCAATACTTTTACCTCAACTTTCAGTCAAGCCTGACTGACGTGACTAAACAAAAATACTTTCGATTGTCAACTTCAGCAATGGAGGAGTCTCACAGCATTAACTGATTTCTTTAAAAATGTCTCTTCAACTTGTTTTAATTCTAGAGCCAAGAAGAAATCAGGAATTCGAGGTTTATTTTCAGGCTTACTCTGAACCACTGTGAACTGATGGATTTTCACCCATGAATCAGTCATTAGTTGTCACTCACTCAGCCTTTCTCTTTTTTGTTCTCTTCCTGCCACAGCACCTCCTGAAGCAGAAACTGCACGTCTTAATGGACAGAAATATCATGAAGAGGACGATGAAAAGAAGGGACACCATGACATCAAGACTGTGATACTGATACCAGGTGAGCTCATGGGACTGGACCCTTAGGTGCTTGGCTCCTTTGTTTCTCATGGTGTACTCAATCCAGAATACGGCTTCATCCAGAGCTTTGATTGGTCTGTCCTTGTGGATGCTGGACAGCTGCATGGCGCTCTCCTTGTACCTGTGAATGAAGTTATACAGGACTAGTCAAACTCTACCATACTGTGTTAGATTTAGACCTTCAAAAGAGTTTCATAAATTTGCTTCTGAGTTATCATTGATAGTGAGGAAGGAGCTCATGGAAGGAGAACCAAAAACAAACCAATAGCACACTTACGATTTATCATTGATGACAGCATTGAGCGCATCTCTGAAGCTCTCAGGTGTCATGAAGTTCAGCTCAGCCACGACTGCAGCTCCTTTGTCCTTCATATGGACCAGGTTGTCAGGCTGGTCACCAAACAGGGGGATGCCCAACATGGGAACTCCGTGGTAGATGGCCTCATAAATCCCGTTCGTACCACCATGGGTGATGAAAGCTCTGGTCTTGGGGTGGCCTGATGGAGTAATCAGAATTGTGCATTGGATAAATACTCAGACGTGTTGCTTATTTTTGCAGTGTCATGCCAACCTCTTTTGATTCTGACCATCAGCTGTCTGCTCTCAGAGCCAAACTATGACCCTAGAAATGTCCCAAACACTGCTTGGACTTGTGCTATAGGAAGTTCTGCCTTTTATTGAGTTACAAGCTCAACCCAGTACTTGTTGTACAAAAGTCCTCCAACATCATATTTCACAGTTTGGATGATGCAGGTGGTATGTGTGACTAGACACCTGAGTCAGGGCCCAAAAATGTATGTATTGTTAAATCAGAGCTGAGACTCACAGCATGAGTCTCTTAGCCACGTTTTTTTGTTGGGAATTTTTGGTCCGTCTTCCCTTAGAAAGACTACAATTTGGTTGCTCTACCATCCTATTCTTAAACACCTCCTTCATTAATGCACTTTTTCTCAGTTAAATTAAAGATAATTAAATATCTGTCAAAAAGTCACAGCAAATAGTCTGTGTTCCTATTAAAAGTGATTCTTTTGTTTCTCATAGGTTAGCAGAATTTTCCTAAAATTTACTTTTATTTTTTTGAGGGTTCTGTCATCATATGTTTTACTTCAAAAAGGAAAATTCTAAGTTATTCAAAAGTAAATGCCATGTATGTTTCCCTCAGAAGCCTGTTCAGCTGACTTTATGAACGTTTTTTGCTCACCCAAAAGATCATTCTGAGGGATCCAGTTAAAGATTCTGGTGTTGGGACCCAGAGTTTCTGGTTTTTCTCCGCTGTACCTCCACAGGACCTTTAAACACAAATAAACACTTTTACAGTGGAAGTAATAATACCACAATTCATATCATATCTTTTTGGAATGGGTGACTTTTGGTGTTAAACTCTTGTAGGTGTTTGTGGAACTTTACCTAACACCGAGCTGGCATGATAAACGATATATATTAGAAATGAAGACACTGTTTGCCCAACTTTGGAGAAACTCTCCTTTATATTTGTCCATTTCCATTTTCCTATCTCGATGAGAAGAAAATGCACAGTCATTCCATCTTTATGACCTATTACCTATAGAGTTTGTTTTACTGCTGACTTCTCACCTCGTCTCATAATCTGATTAACTTTCACCTCAGCAGACTGGCAAGGCTCACTTCAATGCCACATTGTAAAAACAAAGACTTTACCTCCTTAATTTTCAGAGGAATCACATTTTGTTACCTTAATTTGGCAGTTTTGTCACTTTACGTGATACTGCAACACCTTTGCAAATAGCCGTGCATGTAAAGATATCTGACTGTCGCCTCTTAAAAAAGTGCTCAATTAATAAGTTGCATTTTTGGAACAACAAGCCTGATTGGTATCCGCTGGTAACAGGCAGTCGATTGACAGAAACCTACACACAGCAACAGATTATCAAAATCATGCTCAAATTAATGACAGTTGCCACATATAGCTGCACTCTGACCTTTTGTGGGATCTCAGCAAGGACTGAGGCTATCATGTTCCCCTTCTCTCTGGTGATGTTCTTGACCATTGACCCCAACGTGAAGACCACAATGCCGTCATCTCCAGAGCTCTGTGCAAACTCTTCCATGTCCTGCAAGAAAGTAATGTCATCTCTGCATACCCAGCTCTTTTTGTCCTTTCTCAGCACTTTAATGGGGAGTATAACCAAACACCAACAGGCCTTTGATAGTATGAAATCCCTACCTTTGGCAAAGCCTTGGCCGGTCTGCAGTGGATCCCTCCAACATACTTGAAATTTGGGAGGAAAGGACGAGGGAAATCAAAATCCCAGTAGGTTCGCATCAACCAGATGTCTGCCCTGCCCATCAATTCACAGGCACTGGTGGGGGTTCCTGTGTAATACAAAAGTAAAAGATGACTTAGGCATGAAAAATACTTAGGATGAGAAAATATATTGAAACTGGGACTTCCAATTTGGCACAGCTGCTCACTGGTCCTTGTGTGATTTTCTCACCTCTGTATTTGGTGTAGTATTCATCAACTGCGCTCCATAAAGTGTTGGCTATCATGGCATCCTGCATCTTGTAAAACAGAAAGTTCCACACTCTCTCAAAGAAGTCCATCTTGTCTGTCAGTTTGCTCATGGCGGCCGGGACGAACGAAGGTGGAGCTGGTATCTGACCACAATGTCTCTCCCAGTTATTGGCCATGGAAAAACGCAGAGTGAAAACCAGAGGGACCCCCAACATATCTGCTACCAACTCACTCCCTGGAAAGATGGGGTCAGAGAAGAGGAGGTCATAATTTCCCTCCTTCAGCCTCTGCATGACAGTATCTGATTTTAGCAATCCATCTAAAAACCTCAGAGAGAAATCCAGGTTAACCTGAATCAGCTCCATGAATCTGTTGTAGATCTGCAGGTAATTCATGTGGTCGACCTCATATATAGAAAAGTAAAATAAATCTTCCATTAACCTCTCAATTTGCTCTGTTGTGACAGAGACATTAAAAGGCTCGTAGCCAAAGCGTGAAGGCTCGCTGATGTTCATGAACAGAGAAGAGCTCGGCACTAAAACTGTAACCTTGTGTCCCTTGTCAATCAGTGCCTCCAGCACAGGTTTCAGGTTAATCCAGTGGCTGCCTTCGGTGTACCACACCAAAATGTTTCCTCCATGTGCACCCCAGGCTGCAAAAAGTAGCAGCAGGACAGAAACAGAGAGACGCTGCTCCGGCTCCATGGTGCCTGCCTGTTAGCAGAGTCTGCTGTTCCCTGATCTGATCTGATACAACGCTACGCCTGAAAAAACAATTATTAACTCATAACAGCTGAACTCTAGCTTATTGCTCCTCTTTGTCCTGCGAGGCACAGTATATCACTGACCCAACCCCAGAGAGCGGTTAGAGATTAGAGATACTGGCTGTAAAGTTAACAATCAGTCCTTCAAATCAATAAATACTCTGACCTGTACCATGAATTCACAAACAGGATGTCAAGCCAGACTTCAGCTCCTGATGCTTTTAAGAGGAGAAGAGGTGGAGTGAAATGATACAAAGGCAGAAAACTTTCAGCTCAGTGGACTGGGAAACACTTGCGCAACATGAGGAAGCTGAGAGTATGTGTGTGCGTTTGGAAGAATTGCCCTGCATACCACTTATATGAGGGGATGCATTTGGGATTTTCAGAGTGGAGGGTATTTTTCTCACTTTAAGTTGTGATGTTGACACATTTTATTTTGAGGGCACTTATTAAAGTAATTAATTTACTCACTAACCTAAAACTGCTATTTGGATGAACTTTGAAGGGGTATTGTTTTTACTGCAAGAAAAGATGGTACCAATGCCTTTGGTGCTCTTTATCACTTTTTAAAGCCTCAGGTTATCACCTCAAGGTTACCTCAAGGATTAGTGAAACACCTCCACACCTGCTAAATGACTTGGCTATGGAGTTTTTACATGTAGCCTCATGTGGTGACTTAAAGGTGTGAGACCAGCATTAAGCCTTTAGTGGGGTTTGAATGAGTAACACCCCCCTGGACAGGAATCTCCTTACGAGAGCTGTATGAGCCAAATATATTGATGTGATCACATAAAATGAGTTGCAGTTCACTTTGTATGCCTTAGGTGTCGCTGTCCTGTTATCTGGGGCTCTGGAATAAAGGTAGCCAAGTCACTGTTGTGTGCAGGTGATTGACCCGGAATGGCAAAAGGTTTTTGACCGCTGTGGCGCTAAATGCCAGTGTTTTTGACAAATATTGTAAGAGCTAAGTCTAGACTTTAAGCCACTGAGACGCTTGACCCACAGTAACCTGGTTGATGCGCCGTGCTACTGGTTTCTTACACTACTGTGAGTTTTTGTTGATCAGTGAAAGTCCGAACGCTGTTCCTCAGCTGCAGCAAACAAAAGTTTATTGTGATGAACATTACCAAAATCCATTTTTCAACTGATATCGAGCAACACTGAACAAAGAAAAATGCTGGTATTTAGCACCACAGCGGTCAAAAACATTTTGCCCTTCCAGGTCAATCACCTGCCCACAACAGTGACTTGGCTACCTTTATTCCTGAGCCCCAGATAACAGGACAGCGACACCTAAGGCATACAAAGTGAACTGCAACTCATTTTAGGTGATCACGTCGACGTATTTGGCTCCTACAAAAGCTTTAAATTAATTATTAATATTCTGAATATTGTGGGCCCAAAGCTTCTCTCAAATGTTGTGTCTGAGCTGCCATCCACCCTCACAGACACTGTTGCTCTCCTGAATGGCTGCTGTTCTAAAGCTACTTTAACATGCATGTTTGCCAAGACTGGCATTAACCCCACAAAGCAGACCCCTGTTCTTGTTTCAGAGATGTATCTGCTGACAGGAGAAGCCAGCAGCTGATTTCAGGAACTGGCTGGGGTCAACAGGATCACCTTAAAGTGAACACTGGGGAGGCGTGGTTTGTCGATCACGCCTTTGGGTAGCAGTGATGTTGAGGCTGTATAGTTCTTGGGAAATGTCACCTCCAACTGTTAGGGCGTCCAAATCTTACCTCTGGGTTCTTAGGCGCCCTCATTAACATTGTAGATTCCTTTTGACGCCTGATTCAGGAGCGTCTGGAAAAACAAAAAGCATTTGAATATTGAGTTCAATGGCCTGTTGAGGGAGTCAGAGGCCATTCAGAGTGTGTAAGTGTGTGCCGTGTTGTTTTCAGACCTCCATGGGTGCTACAAAGTGTGTGTGTGAGAATCTATAAGCAGGCATATCAGAATTTTTCATGCAGAATTGCAGAATCATTGAGTCTCATTATGCATCTTAGGCTTGTATTTAATTTTCTTTGGAGTTTAGCCACCCTTTCCTCTTTACATTCCTGCTGCTTCCTCTCCCTCCGTTTGTCTTCCTCGCTCTGTCTCCCCGCCACAGGGTAAGGGTTACAGCGTATTGCTTTTTGAAGTAGATATTTGCATAATCAGATTAGGATGCGTGATTGTCAGTGGGCTCCCCCATCAGAGGGTGCTCCAGAGGAGAGAGGGTGCTGTCCAGCCAAACAATGCATGACTCCCCTCCTCTCTCACCCTCTAACTAGCCTGCACCTGCATCCCACCCACCCATCCGGGCCGCAGGTTGGCCTCGATGGCAGTACGCGCTTGGACTTGCAGCCGAGGAGGGGTGAGAGAGAACGAGAGGAAAGGCAAAGGAGGAGGAGGGGGGTTGGAGTGCATGACGGGAGTGGGAGGGCAGGGGTTGAGCTGAGATATTTAAACATGCAGAGTGTGAATTGGCTTTAAGGGGATAAAGAGCTCAGGGCCTATCGGTTGGCACCCAACTCCAGAAATTCTTTTTCATGGGCGCCTCAGCCGGGAGAGCGAGGGGCTGCCTGCACTGATCTGGCCCATTGTGATAACAGATTCAGACAGTGTGCTAGACGCTGATAAGGAAATGTGCTCTCAATAGACGATTACCCACATACTTGGTGGAGAATAGTCAATCAGGAAAATATACTTGGTGGTGGGAATGAGAAGCGTACAGATTTGTTTTTATTTTCAATGCAGGGTTTCATAATCCTGCAGAAAAGTTAAGGTCGGGGTAATGCTCGTCTTGTGATTGGGCGATTTTTGTAAACAAGTTGTATCAGCAAAACGCACTTTATAGCATAAGCACAAAAAACTGTCACATGCCTCCCTGTGCAGGTTCATATGATGATTAAATAGGATATCTGGGATTCTGAATAACATACCATGAACAGTTTTTAGGTAGGGCTTATCATCTAGCAGCTATTAATAACAGCAGAAGCTTTATTTTGGTGCTTCTTCAGTAAACCATGAAATTGTTCAATTCACTGTAAAATTGCACAAGAGGTAAATACCTCCCAAATGTATCTGTGGGAGAGACAGACTGCCAACATCCAGTTGTTGTCACTCCTAACGTGCACTTTGATTTATTTGGTACTTTTGCAGGATTACAAAGAGTCACCTGTCAGTTTCCCACAGGCCTCCAGTCAGTGTGTCCAGCTGCCCTCTGCTCCGTTTACACACCATTAGCTCGAGTTTAACAGCCGGGGTGAAAGGGCCTGAAACCAACACAGTGTTTACTTTTCAGCTCAGTCAGTTGCAGCCTTTTGCCTCAAAACGCAGCACATTTGCTACAGTCACAATAGACAATAAGGCGTGTAAATGTCTGACCTCACTGCAAGAGACATGTACGGAAACGAGAGCAAACTAAAACACTTCTAATATAATAAACCCAAAATGAAACAATCAGCAACTATCCTGATAACTAATTTAGAATTCAATTGCTTTAGCGGGCGACAGAATTATTCCAGCAGCTTTTTTTTTCTATGTGAGGATTAGAGAAGGCTACTTAGAAAATTATAATGAGTATATTTTACTATATCCCACGATTTCATGGATTCAACAGATTTGATTGATCAATTAAACAATCCTAGCCTGGACAGTTATTAGCAAGACATTAAATTAAGATTATTTTTAACAGCAGGCTTTGTTAGATTTTAATTTATTTATTTATTTGTGTGTGTGTGTGTGTGTGTTTGGCATTTTCATAATAAGCATACATCAAACTACTCCTTCACTTTTGTACAACACTGAGGTGGATTTAGTCTTTTATATGTTCATGACCCGATGAATGAAATCACCCTCGGCGCCTGTCTGATGTTTTAACTCCACGGCTATCAGATACCCCGTGTGGCAACAAAGTGACATTTTCCTGGCCTAACTCCCTCTGAATGTTGGTCATCTGGCCTGTGTTTGACTCGAGAGTGACCTCCAACCCCCAGGGTCACAAGTGAAGCTTTCGCTTTCAGCACTCCTCTGGTCAGCGGACGAAGAGCAGAGGTCACCTCTGTGTCCACACGGTCATCACAGGACGGGTGGACGAATACTTTTGGGCTTATTGAGCATGAACAAAGCGGCAGCATCGCCACTCTTCACCTCAGTTTAGCTGTGCGTTACATTGTAAAAAATAATGTGATTTGAATCTTAGTGTTCTGCCATGATCCCTGACAGTCAATATCACTAAAATTAATTAGATGTAGTTATTGTCTTTTTATACTTAGTTAAAAAAAAATCTTTAATCTATTTTATGATATTTTACTGACAAATTATATAACAAGCTGCAGAAATTGCAAAAGTTCTTTTTCTGTTCTGCAATATTTCACAACCTGTTAATTCTGTCAGCAGACTCCTTGCTTTCTTCTGGCACCACATTAGCAGAGAAGTAAGATACGGTGGATAATTTAATAAGAAATCATTTATTAAATAAATAAGTCAAATAAATAACATACTGTATTTTCACAAACAGACCAAATAACTTACAAAAGAGGTATCAGGAGAAATAAGCACACTCTTCACAGAGGACAATCAATTCATAGTCTTTGGCTAAATGACATGCTTGTTTTACAAAAACTCAAATAAAAGCACATTGAAGTAAGACGACGTGGGTGTGGTGGAGCATGAAATTACTGAAAGAGGATTGTCAGTTTTGCTGAGAGTATCACAAATTGGTCATCAGCAAATACTGAGCATTGTTACTTTTTCATGGGGTGAGGAAGTTTTCGATCCTTTGAAGGAGTATAACCTTGTTCATAAAAAAAAAGGTCAAATTCAGTCTTCCAGGGACAAGAAAAAAAAAAAGCACGTCGATTCAGAGAAAAAGTGCCCTCGGCTTCTTGAGACGATTGCAGTTTGGAGAATTAGCTTTGCCATTATCTATTCAAATGCTTTGCTGAATCTATCACTTGAAATGAGAAATTCCTTAATCCCCTCCATTTTCCTCATCGGCAAAAACACCCCTCACTGCAAAACTAATTTAGTTCCAGGCAGCCAGCAACAAGGAGAATTAAAATGAAGACATGAAGGGAATATAGTACAGCCAGGTTTTACACATCCATGCAAAATACAGATGAGGTTTCATGGCGAATCGTATTTTAACACTGATCAGCGGGGGAGACCTTGCCCACAAATCCTGCCATGTTTGGGGTCCACAATATTCACACAATACCGCAGCCTCTGCTTGAAAACACAAGTGACATTCTGGTGACAAACGCAGGGACAGACATGAGTCTTGAGAAAGGAGGAGATCAGTCTTTAAACCCAGAAAGAGGGTCAGGAAGTCCACTCTGGAGTTCGTTTTTTTGTGTTTATTGGCCATGGTTCTACCAGGCCTCTGAGCTGTCACAGCTGGATCCAGGTGAGGGGACCTCTGTGTCACTGGTCATGGCCCAGGGGTGAGGAGGAGAGTGCAGCTGCTCCATGTTCCCTCTGAGGAAGGTGAGCAGAGCGGTGGGAGAGTGGCTGGCCGGCTGACCGCTCTGGCTCTCCAGCAGCTGCACCAGGAAGTTGATGTAGCGCATGGCCAGGCGCAGGATCTCGTTCTTGCTCAGCTTCTTCTCTGGAGGGTGGGTGGGGATGAGCTTGCGCAGCTCGGCGAAGGCGGTGTTGACGTTGTGCTGCCGCCAACGCTCCCTCGTGTTGGTGAAAACCTTTCTGGTCATGATGCTGAGGAGCTGACACCTGCAAGGAAGAGACAACATAACATTTATGAGCACATTGACAATTCTTTGTTTTGAACCAAAAATATGTTGTTTTCAGGCTTTAGATTTGCCATACATGATTGTAAACCAAAAACTTCTGTTTTTTGGACTGGAGAGGCAACCTTGACACTTTGACAACTATGAGATTAAACACAAAGATTCTTCTGTCTTGTGATGGAGTGACTGAACACAGTGTGTATATTAAAGGAGAACTGGTCTATTTGTGCAGATTTCTGCCAAAATTACAGATCAGTACTGACTGGAAAATTTCACAAGAACATCTCCAAGATATTTCCTTTTCCCTGATTTTAATCCTTCAATATTTGAGCTTTTTTGGCTCTTCATTTTTGAGCAGCTTCCAACCTTTCTGCAGATAATTTACAGAGTGCCATATTCCAGTCGCACAAGTATTTTGTTTTTTTATCTCAACATTTTTAATCTAAAGGTGAAAGCTTATTCATAATTAATAGCGAGTAGAACTGCAGGTGTACAATGCCACAGCTTTATGTCTCTAAATGCAAAAAATTTACATCATAAGTATTAAATTATTGAATATTTTTGAACTAATAAAGCTGAGATTTTAAATGCTACACAAAGGGATTACAGTGAAGTATTACAACATGTATTATAAAAAGCACAAACTTCTAGAAACCACAATTTTCCATCATTGAGAGTTAACTTGAATCACATGCAAAATCTAGTTGAAATGTAAATTATTTATTTGCCAGTTATGTATAGTTGCAAGCTAAATATAAATAATATCTCCTAGCATGACATATCAGACATTTACCTAAATAAACTGAAACCCTGTGGCCTCAAGGAGAGAAAAAAACATCCTTCTACTAACAGCAATTTTCTCACCTGTACGTGTGCAGAAATGTGCAAAAAATCTCAATCTCAGTGTCTTCCTCTGCTTGTTATCAGCTGTCCAGAGGTCCGGCGTCAATGTCCACTCAGTAATGTCTTCTCATGCACGCTTTAAGATCCTTATGAGCAAGAGAGGGAAGGAAAGAGTGAAAGAGAGAGAGAGAGTATAAGGGGGGAGGGATGGGGAACAGAGAGAGAGAGAGAGTAGGGGTAAGACTGCTGCATGCTCGCATCCCACATTTTATAGCAGGCTGGATCTATTGTGTGACGTGTGCTGTCGTGGAGCCTCAGTGTCATTGTGTGAGGTTGGTGTTAAATGAGGGGTGTTTTGTTAAAACATACACACTCACACATCCCTCCCCTGTCAACCTGGCAGGTGGCTTTATGGTTATAGAGCCACAAATGATCGCTTTTAAAGATTTTCATAGGTGCAAAACTTGGGGCGCCTCAGAACTGAACGGCCTTTTAAGTGACTATTTGCGCTGCTTTTATGATTCATTGCGTGTTTAATCCCTGAAGGTTCACTGTAAAGGTGGCAAATAAATTCTCATTGAAGTGAAACTGAGACGTTCATGTCTCTGATCCCTCTCTTACTGCTGTGGACACTTGTTCCTTTCTCTTTCTGCAACATTAGGCGTGGACAGCCCACTGTCCCCTCCAGCGTGAAAAAGACCTTGATATCACTGCGATTGAGTTCAGCCTGATTGGGCCACAAAAGGTAAAAATACCATATCCAGATTGACAGTTCAACAATACATGTTTTGTTATGACTATGGTAATCTTGTTGAGCCATTCCAAAGGGCCACACATAAATTACAGAGGAAACAGGGTGAACACAGCGCCCTAACTCACCTCTCTGCTACCACTCCTCTCGCCCCTTTCTCCCCCTCTTCTCTGCCTCCCACTTTCAACCTACATTCAGTTAAAAAAACAAGTCTAGTTTTACCAATTGTCACTGCTCTTTTTACACCCTTCAAGTGTTGTTTCAAAGACGCAGCCTTCCATAAAAGTCTCTGTGTGGAGTAGGAATTTACATAATCCGATTAGGGGCTGGGATTAGCTCCGGGCCTGGAGAACGGGCCCGATGGGGGCCGGTTTTCTGAATCGGCCATTCATGGGCCCTGCTGCACGGCCAAGAGGCTGCACCTGCAGGCCAAGCACCGCTGCGCTCTGGCTCCATCCAGCCTCCACTAGTGGCTGATGGTCTGCAGACACACCCGCTCGCTGCAGGATATCATGAACAGACAGTAAACTTTCATCACACCTACAAGGCAGAGTGAAGATTATACCTGACTGCTTGTTACTTATCTGTGAAACAGGTCGGACCTGTAGGCAGACTGAAGAGACTGGAAGCCACCTGTAGAATTAATTAGCCTGTAATTAGACCAATGATCATAGACTCAGCCTTACAGTATAAGAAAAAATGTGTGGTCAGGATTGCTGCTTCACGCTTTGACATTAAATTAATACTTTTTTAGATCCTAACAAAGAAAAGGTGATACAGAACAAACAGGAACAAACAAAATCTCAACTTTAAAAGCTCTTTTGCATGTCTTGCCAAGACCCTTTATCATTTGATTTTTCCCTCGCCAACTATGACTCCTTGATTTTTCATCTCCAGGCCAAATTTTCTTTGACCTGTATTCACCCATCTACCTCATTTCATCTCCCTCCTCACTGTTTGTGTGATACGTTGCCGTAAACATCAGATTTGAAGCAAATCCACAAAACAGAATAATAAAAATTTATCAAAAGTGGGTAAAAAGGTCTTTGCTGCTGCTCTCCCCGCCTTGTCTTTTATGTATGCACATTAAACAAAGTGAAAGTTTGTGCTCTTCCTGCTGCAGGATTTGGCATCCCACTAAAGTACCTGGAAGGACAGGAACCTCTCAGGACAGAGATTTATCTCCAAACATATGAAAGTGGTCCTGACTGGAGTAGAATAGCAATTTTTAAAATACTAACGAATTTAAATCTGACACAAACGAAAAAATCATATTAGTTTTGAAACTAGGAGGATTTTAACTGTGAAACAGGATAAAATCAGTACCAACCAAGCAAACAAGTTTTATAATTTCCATGTAGTTTTGTAGATGGATGTCAGAGGAGGAAGTAAACAACAGATTCAGCTGTCAAGTCTTTTTTTATTTTATTTTATCATATGAAAGTTCCCTTTAGAGCCCACGTTCCTGCATGTTTTGGATGTTTCCCTGCTCCAACACACCTGATTCAAATGATCAGCTCGTTATTAAGCCATTACAGAGCTTGATAACGAGCTGATCATTTGAATCAGGTGTGTTGGAGCAGGGAAACATCCAAAACATGCAGGACAGTGGGCCTCGAGGACTGGACTTGAGAACCACTGGTCTATTGTGACAGTTTTGACAATTCAAATTAAGCAGGATTTAAACAAGAGATGACTGATCAGTTTCTAGCACCTATTTTAAGCAAAAATAAATCTTTTAGTAATTTTATAACAGAAAATGACGGATAATTACCTAATGTTTTTTTTTTTTTTTTTGTACAGATTTGAATTATTTATTTGTTGCAGCTTTGGATCATCACGGTAGTTGAATACTATCTTTGTCCCATGTTGTACTTAAAAAGCTGGTAATTGTTGTGTTGGTGGTTAAAAAGCAGACACTTCATTTGAACAGTAACCTTGTGACTTTGCCGTCAGATCAGCCCCTTCCAATGCTGGTTTTGTTGCTTATTTCAGGATTTAGTCCAAACACTGTTTGTTGGTATCTGCTGTAAGTCAGCTCAGGTCTGTCTAAGTACACAAATCGGGTCAGAGAAAATCCCGGCTCTGTTGTATTTGCAGAGGAGAAGCACACAGGTGACACAGTAAAGTGCTGCTGTGATTACAGATAACAGCTGTGTGACCTTTCCAGCTACAGCCAGATCTAAAAGATGGCTGCAGTTGAAACAGCCTGTTAATTCCCACAGTATCTCTCCTCGTCTATTCAGTTCAGAGCTTAAGTATAGTCAGGGGGTAATTACTGCACCATTACGTTGCTGTTTACTTAACCTTAATACAGGGATTCCTTTTACCATCCTGCAACCACTGCTTTTGTTCCAGAGCCATAAAAAACAAAACAGTGAATCTGCGTCTTTGTTCGTCCACTGCTGAGGCCAGAAAGACCAGAAAGAGTGAAAAGAGAGAGAGAGAGAGGTTTTTAAAAAATGTCTGGGTATTGATGGTGGCCAGTCAGTGCTGGATGTGTCTGTCCAAAGACGGATGGGGGGTGGGGGGGTGTTGGAGTCGATGTCCCTGGGGGTCGTCTTTGTCTGGGGATCATTCCTGGGGGAGCTGGCTTCACTCTGCTGGCTCGTGAAGATAAGCACTCTCTCCACATGCTGAGAGACGATGATAAGGGGATTGCTTCACTAAATGAAAAAAAAAAAGAAATAGCCCCACCATTGGAGCTGCTAAAATGAGAGGTGTTATCAGTTTAGCTGGGAAAAGACCCTCGATCCTGACTCCTCCAGCCATAAATCACAGTCTGTTTTTCACCACTGAGCATGCTCCATGTGGGAGGGGGACCAAAACAAAGCTAAATGTGCACATGGTTGTAATCTTAGTGCTTTTTATTACTCATGGGCAGAACATAAAGACACATAATAAATTGTTTATAACACATTTTAATGTAGTAGTGAGCAGAAACCTTTATATATTTAGAGAAATGTCCAGAGTTGTCCTTGTCGTACAGGGGAAGGACTCTTAAAAACCAGAGCTAATCAACAATCGTTCTGAATTTTTATTACAGAAATCGGTCTAAACCTCACAAATAAATCCAAGTATAAGATTTCACTGTTGAGGGTTTTTTAATTACTAAAACTATGAGATGATAATCCTGGTAAAAATGTGTTTTTTAATTCAGAGTTTATGTGCTCAACCACAATTTAATTTTTTTTCCTGCAAGAAAAGGAAAACAAGGAATGGTCTAAATACTCCTTGTTCAATATTCAAACTACATTCAAAGCTGGAAATATACTAGGAATGGTGTCTTAGCAGCCAAATTTAGATATTATTTAATCTGAATTAAAACGCAAAAGTTAAACAGGTGTAATGCAATAAATAACAGGAGCGTAACAAACTTTGAGTGTATAACTCACTCAGCCAGAACACAGCAACTAAACATTCAATTTTAAAATAATTTTAGTCTCGTCTGTCCATCACTTCTGCCAGGAACCTTCTCGTAGCTTAACCGTCCCTTCTTCAGTGGTGTCAACACTGCAAGAGACACAACATTTATTTTTCATATATTTTAACCTCACAAGAGCAAAAATTATTCCTGTTATCCAAATTTATAAGAGGTCTTTCAATTGTTGCTTTTCCAGTGAGCGCTTAAGGTGGATGTGTAAAAACCACACTTCTGAATCAGGAAAAATGCCGCCAGAGACCTCAAAACGGGATCCAAAAACCAGTGATGGATGTCAGGGTGTCTTGGTTCACTTGTTTTACTCAGACTGTCCTCAAAACAGTAAAATACCAGAGAGAGACTAAATCGCTCACCTGCCCCAGGCAAATCTGCCACCTCTCCACTCCTCTTCCTCTCTCGCCCTAACCAGCATTTAGAGCCGTAGTTTGTTGACACTGTTGTTGTCTCTCCACTGTTGCTGGAGCAGATGTCACTGCTTTGGCTTCGACCCCACATCATAACCCCTGCAGGAGGGCTCATACTGTATGACGTGGTGCAGATGGCTGGATGCTGGAGGCCGCTGTAGACTGAGGAGTATGTGATCATGGAAGTGGAGGCTGGTTGCTGGAATGGGCTGTAGCCTAACATAGAGTCCAGTTTAAAAGGACTTTCAGGCTTTGTCGGAGTCCACTCATCGTTTAATCTTTCTATAACTCTCCCCACTGCTCCAGCTCTGCCTTTCCAGCCATAAAATTCCACCTCCCTATCGACTCTGCACTCCTCTTCCCAGGGGTCTCTGCTGGGCCAGCTTCTCTGGAGGTGAACTTCAGGGCTGCCAAAGGAGGTGCTCAGGTCAAGCTGGAAATCTTTGTTTCCATTAGGAGCCATAAAGTCTGAATCTGGTTCACAGAAGCTCTGATCTGCTGCAAACACGAAGCTTGTGTCACTGAAGGAAAGTTCAAGTTGAGGGTTGATGGGTGTTTCTGGTAGTGGCTCAGTGGTTATGTGCTCAGTGGCAGTGATGGTCCAAAGGCTGTCTGAGGGTCTGGTTCGTTGGTTTGTCTCAAAGTTGGCTGTCTGAGCGTCTGGGTGGTTTGGGGCAGTGGTTGTCGTATACAGGGAGGAGGTGTCGCTGAACAGCTGAAATCAGAAAGATTCGATCCAAATCGAAATACATACCAGAACAAAAACAACACAAGCAAAGATCTAGACAAGAGGAAACAAGATCAGTAAGACCAACAAGTGCTTCAAGTCCATTTGGACACAGGTACTGCCACGTAGTGTAAAAGGCCGTGCACAACAGTGAATAGGATTTATTTATTTTTTTAAATAAGGAACATCAACAAAGAAGCAATTATTCAATGTAACGACCTGTCGTTACCATCAAATAACTTTTCATCACCACAAAATTACCAAGTGCTGGGTCACTTAAGTGCTGAACCTAAAATTCCCAGAGTAGACCAGGACAGTGCAAGTCAACTGTAGCTGTAAGACTCATTCAACCACTGAGGACAACAGTGGAGAATAGATAAGTGCACTGTGTTCTCTAAAGAGCTGGGTCTTATGCTGTTTTTTGAAAGGAAAGAGGGACTCTGTGTATCGAATGGAGTTGGGTAATTCATTCCACCATTTAGAGACAACAGAAGAGAAGAGTCGGGCTAGTAATGATTTATGTTTAAGATGTTTTAACTGCAAAGATACAGAAAAGAGCTGAATGAGGACAGAAATGTCAACATCCTGTTTATTGAGTGAGATCTTAATTAGGTAGGGAGTAATTTGTCATAAAGAATAAAAAAACTATTTATTAATCATAAATTGGAAGATCTTTTCTTACCTTCAGGACTTTTTGTGGCACTTCAGGAAGCAGCTCCTGCAGCTGAGAAAGGGAGGCCCCCAGGAGCCACCGAAAAGACGGTGCTCGTCTCAGCATTAACTGACTAACCAGAGGGTTAACACATGGGAACTGGCACAAACATTTCTCCTCCTGAGGAAAAGAAAATCTAATGTTAAAGCACAGGAGTGAAAAGCTGAAGTTGGGGCCACAGCAGGAACTTATCTTTAGGCAAAGATCAATCTTCATGATAAATCACCTCTGAGGGGATCACAGCCAGCCAGTCTCTGTCCAGGTAGTCGACAGGGTCTCTGTCACCGGCCATCAGGCTGTGGAAGCAGATCTGACTGATCCATTTAGCCACCTCCACCACCTCGGACACAATCAGCACCTGACAGACACAGTGGGAGACTGAACTTGTGAACGACTTACGTCCCTTACTTTGTCTTTTAAGATATTTTCAAAACAGGGACAGTTGAAGGCAGATGATTAAATCATATTTGCCTTTTACCTTCACGTCCAGATCCTCTGACTTCATGCTAAACAACACCAGAGAGGAATACACCAACACCAAGTTATTAAAGGCTTCACTGGAAAATCTGCGTGGAAAGAAACACTTGAGGTGAGCATGTGTATGTAGAATCTATGTTGTTACATGCCCTGGGTGTTTGTGCTGTTTTCTCTCTCTCCCTGCAGGTTTTCTCCACTGCAGTAGAGGTGTGGCTGATCTGCTGATGAGTAGCAGACTATATAAAGGAAGATATGGCTGTGGTCTCTCTCTCATTCGCTCCTCTGGCAGCGATCCTGTGTGGACCTGTTTGAACGAGTGTGTGACTCTGGTATGGTTCAGTGGCTGGACTGAGCAGGCCTCCAGTGGCAGTGGAGCCTGAAGTGCATTTGCTGTTTTCCTTTGCTACCTTAGCTTACTATTTTTGTCGTATCAGTGTTTTTCTCGGCTTATTGCTTGTTTTAAGTTGGTTGTTTAACCTCAGAGAATAAACATTTCTGTTTGATTAATTACCCTGAATGCCGTTACTTAACCTTGGTTCTTTTTTGTTACTATTGTTACCACCATCATCCCCTTACACATCTTTTGGTATGTAACATATGTCATCTGCATTTTCGTATTCAACTGCATTAGTGTGTTTACATGAATGAGGGTGAGAACTGACCCTCCTCCTTGGAGGTCTGGGCAGTACAGGATGAGCCAACAGCAGTTGTATTGCAGAGACAGAGCCGTGAGTCTCATCACAACCCGCTCACTGGCACGCTCCTGACACAGTTCTTCCTCCTTCTGCACACATACAAAAAACACACACATGGGCACTGAGTTGCAGGAGCTGAGTTATGTTAAAGTCATTGCAGCGTACCTATGCAATACCTAAGAAGCTGAGTGGAGGGAGATAAAAATATGGAGTTCTTTGCTGCATGTGTGTGTGTTGTTGATGCCTGTTTGTGTCCCTTAAAGGATGCTGCTGAACGTGCTTTTATCTCCTCTTACCTGAACAATGATGGCCGTGCTTTCATTCACTGTAATCACAGCGTACTGATGGGTTCCTCCAAGCATCTGCAAGGAGGGGCAGTGGCTCCTCTCCAGCACAGTTATATTAAACCTACAACACACACACACACACACACACACACACACACACACACACACACACACACACACACACACACACACACACACACACACACACACACACACACACACACCTTCTGAACACCATATGGTATTTAAGCGATAAGTTATCACTGGCTTGTTGTGGTGGAAACACATTTTTATAAAGCTGACTTACGCTTAAAATGCTTTCTGAACAAATGTACTTCTGTGAGAGTGGGCAGACAGCCTTTGCAGCGTTTTTAACGAACCAATGAATCGCCATAGCAACCCAGACCAAGGCAGTGGTGGTTACATTGAGTTTTATCAGCCTTGTTATGTTTGGAGACTGAAGTTCAAATCAAAGTTTTTAGCTTTTCTTAAACACAAAAAAAACAAACAAATGACTTCATAAAAACTAGAACTTTTGGGGTAAATTTGAAGGTCCATTCACTTTTTCTTTGCTGTATTATAATCATTTTTATTTGCCTCAAGTGCGCAGACTCAAGCAAAATCTGTGATCCAAGTTGTTTGCCAAAAGGCACACTAAGTCTGTGTTGATAAGTTTGTATTTTAATGTCACTCACTGCAGCATTTGTCTCATTCAAGCTCTACAAACTATTTGTAAACTGGACTTGAGACCATACCCTGACTCGAGTGTCTGGAGCAGCAGCGGACAGTTCAGAAGCCCCTCGGTCACAAATAACACATATGGCACTTTGTCCTCCAGGCACCATGAGACCTCTCCAGGCTCTGTTTGGAGGAAGAGACACATTTGGTAAACAACAATCCAACAACACACACTCAACTTCAACTGCTATACCTAATATTATCATTATTATCTCTATTCCCATCTCTATTATCTCTATTATAAACTTCTTTATTACAAATGCTACTATTAGACATGTTAACTCTATCTGCCATAAATTAAGATCAGTCTACCATCATAAATTGGATTTCTTTGAATGTAAACATACTATTTTGACTGTTATTATTGAGACCATAACCAAAAGTTTTTACGAGCTGCAGCTGTTGTTGTTTTAGTTATCTGTATCCATCTCTTTCTTTCTGCATCTCACTTTATCTTCTTTTCAATCCCGACACAGTCTCAGCTGATGACTGTCTAACATGAGTCTGGTTCTGCTTGAGGTTTCTGCCTGTTGAAAGGAAGTTTTTTCTTGCCACTTGAGCTTGTTAAATGGTGCAAAGTTTTTCTCTTATGTAGGAATGAGATGGCATGAGTACAGTCTAGATCTGCTCTATTTGAAGAGCACCTTGACATAACCTTTGTTGTAAACTAGCGCAACATAAATAAAGGCTGACTGAATAATGTGTATTTACTGGCAGCTCACCATTGTGGGAGATGATTGTATTGAATGTGAGGTGATTGACCCCCCTCTCTCTGCACACTGTTGCCCATGGTGACTGGCCAGGGTGGTCATACTCCACGACAAGGGAGAAACACTTCCAGGGGAAATCAGGGCCCACATGCTGCTCACACACCAACACGCACACACTGTCACGCACGCTGGTGGGACAGGATGGGAGTGTGATTAGACTTTGTTAAGTGTAGCGTAGCAGCTTGAAATATTTCCTTTGACACAGTGAACTGCACACCATGTACTCTCTTACAATAAAAACGCACACAGCTTTGACAATAGGGTTCAGTGGTAGAATATATAAAGATGATAAAACAATTTTCTGTTTTATCAGCTTTTTGTATTTTAACAGATCTCCTAGAAAATGCCAAATTATATTTAAGGTCTGTTGTAAATAAGTTTAAACCTTAATCTCCAAATATTGTTCAATTATTCAACACTTTTTTTTCTTCTGAACCAATTTTTAGAATTTGATCTGATTCATGAGCTTTCACCTGATCAGATAACTTTGAGTTACTATTATGAAAAGTAAACTGTGTGTAAAAATTCATCATAAACAGCTCCAGTTTCACCTGCTGATGACAACGGCACCATTGAGCTTCTTCTTGTCCTTCTCGGGATAAACTGCAGTGACAGCCCCACCTGAGACAGAAATTAAATACAGATGTAGATATTTGACACAAACATAATCAGGAATTACTCTCAGTTGTCCAATTAATATTACAAACGTGTTTCACATTAATTTAGTCAGACAAATTGTGTTTTTATTTTTATTTTTTTAATTTTATCTTTTTATATAAGCTTGTGGTGAAATCTCTCTTTTTTACTCCAAAATTCTGATTGAGGCTTTATATATTGATTCCATCACACTTGATAGACTGAGTCAGTTATGAGTTAAATACAAAACTGATTGTTTAAAAACTCGAATCAAACTTTAGGCATTTTTGTGTTGATTTGGTGCATAAAAAACAGGAATCTCAATCTAATAAATATTAGTTCTGACTGCTGGGATGAGTCAAACAGAACAAGAGCAGCTCACCGGTCACTTGGCTCAGACTACTGATGATTGCAGATGTGTTTTCTTCCGAGTCAACTGATAACATGACAAGAATCTAAAGAAAACAAATCAACCAGGGGAAAAAATCACACAAATTAAAATGATGGATGGAGTATCCAGACCTGAGATTACAGCTGAATGAAAAGTTATAAACATAATCCAAAAATACTCAGAAATGGCACTGTGTGTATGTTTTTTTATTTATTTCTAAAACTGACTTTTTCCATGATTTTCTGTCCTTTCCTGCAGAGCAGCCATTCAGCCAGCTCCTGCTGCAGCTCCAGCAGTTTGAAGTTCGGCTCCTGGTTCTTGTGACTGAGGTGGAGAATGATCTGCAGCCTCTTCACCAGCTGCTGCAGGCTCTGCTCTGAACAGGCCTCAGCTGCCTGGGTTAGGTAGCCTTCAGTTCACACACACATACAAAAAAAAACACCACCAATGACTCAAAGTAGGACTCTGTCAACAATTATTCACATGATTGCAAAGATTACAAACTACTACAAGCTCAGTAAGCAACCTTGAAAAACTAGATTCTTCAGTTTCATAAGTGATAGAGTCTTAGAACATATCCTGATAAGTGTACTGGTTTATTTGCATGATATAGGTCTGTCTTTACCTGATGAAATGTTCTTACAGTAGTGAAGTAGTAAGTCAAATCATATAAAAGCATTTTTAAGTCACGAAATTTGTATATAAAAGGTTTCAAAGCCAGCTATACTGACCACACGCAGTGCTAAGATCACACTTCAGCAGCAGCTCCTTGAACGTCACCAGCACATGAAGCAGAGTCACCTGATTGAATAGCAGGTCCTGATCTACATACAACACAAAACCAGCAGCATAAATGCATTCAAGTAATGCTGTTAGTAGCAGAATATTTAGTTATATGATTGCACATGTTGGTTTCTGCATGATGAAATGACATTTTGTACCTCTGACCAGCTCTGTGCTTTGTGCCTGTGCCCTGCTGAGTGCCTTCTCCTGCTGCCTGAGGAGGAAGTGTGTTTGGTCAGGGGCCAGGCAGCTGAAGTCTTCCCCTGCTGAGGTTCTGAGCCCAAGCTGTCTGGCTGAGCTCAGACATGGCTGAGCAAAAGCCAGCAGCTCTAAGTAGGCACGCTGCTGGCTGTCTGTAAGTAAGAAAGGGAGCGTAGATGATATCAGGATTTGCCGTTTTTTTCTCCTCCTTTGTAAACACTCTCACAGTGTTTTTTATACCCGTAGCTTGGACTTGTACGACTCTGCTCTCCTGACTTAAGGTTTGGCCTGTCAGCTGAGAGGGTGTGTGCTGCTCTCTGGTAGCGTTTCCTAACACAGCACCGCTTATGTACATCGGCCTTCTATCTGATATCTTCACCTCATCTGGAGGAGGCTGCAGCTGAGGCTGTGTCTGTTCTTGTGTCTTTTGCCCTGGAAAAACAAAAACCGTGCAAGATTACAGAGTGTACATGAAAGTACATGAAAGAGAGAAAGAATCCATCGTAACCACACCACATATGACTTAAACTGCAGATCAGTTCAGCCTGTTACTGTATATTTTTGTGTTTTTGTTGTGTGTTTACTGAGCCCTCTAATTTAAGTCTGTTTTTATTGGTATTGTATTTGTAAGGTGACCTTGAGTATCTTAAAGGAGTCCTTATATGAAAGTTTTTTTTAAAATCAGAATTACTGAGCACAACAAGACAAAAAAAACCTGAAAAGGTCATCAAGCAAAAGGCAGCAGGTCTGCAGTGAGTATTTCTTTAGCTGATTTACAGATTTTGCTGTTTGTGCTTATTTTGTAACTTTATAATATTTTAAAATGAATAATTCTTAATATACTGATTTCTTTAGTGAGTATTGAATTGGCACTAATTATTTGAGCTCTGTGTTATTTATCATTTTTATAAGAAATATGTACTGTAAATCTATGAAAAGCTGAATGCATTTTAAATACAGTGGATAAAAAACTGTGTAAAGCCGATGTCCCCTGCCCTTTTATTGCCACAGGATGGCGCCAGTGTTCAAAAAAACCTTCATGTTCCAACTTCAATGGTGGTCAAGTCCACATTTCTGTTTTACCTGAGAGCAAATAACTTCTATATAAACATAAAAAAACAGCTGAAAAATGCTTAACGTACTATTTTCAGATCTATTTCTACTGCTCAAGCTAAAGCTGATAAACATCAATTTGACTAAAATGTCACTTGACAACCACTTCCAAGCTAATACAGCCCATGCACAAGAAATAAATATCTTTCTTTTGTACACAGTTAAAAGCAGCAAATTAATAAAAGGTTACAGTGAGCATTTAAGGATGATGGTCAAGATGTTAACTGCATGATGTTTTAATTTGAACCATTTCATCTATTGGAACAATGATCTACCTGGAGACTGATGGCTGGCTGGGTTCAGAGCTTCTGCAGCAGGTGGATCTGTCTGCTGGGATCTCAGCATTATGAAGGTGGACAGGGGGTCCAGGTCCTTCTCTGATCTTGTACACTGAGGACCTCTGTGATCACTCCTGATGTCAAGTCTGGAGGATGCAGCCTGCTGAGGATTGTGGGTGCTTTGCCTGGTCTGAGAATTTTCTCTACCTGCTGTTATGCTGCTCTGATTTGCAGAAGACACGATAGAAACTGCTGGAATCTTCTGAGGTAAAACTTTGTCTTCAATGCCGTTCACAGCAGCAGAAATGGCTCTCTTGGTGTTTGTGGTGAAAGAGGGCAACAGAAAGGATCTCTGGGATGTGCTGGAAGATGTCGCTCTTTGGGGAAGCTTGCCATCTGCAGTAACTTTAGGAGGAGCAGTTTCAGATTTCCTCAGGGGAGGTGACTGAGTTTTGCTCACAGGAGTCATCAGGATAGGTGTGTCTGTGACTGAAATCAGAGGAGATTAGATTCGTTCAAAACTTCAATGTTGCTTAAACTTTAATATTTGAAAAAAAAAAAGTGATGCATAGCTGAAACAAACGTTCACAAATCACAAACCGTCAAAAAAAGAAAAGGGATGGATTTTGGAAGATTTTAGCTCTAGGCTGGGGAATATCTTTGAAACAGTTAGCTCCAGACAGTTGTGGAAGAATGATTAGTTTTATTTATGACCCAGAGTCTGTCACTTCAATACGGAGGGGGGCAATGGACAAAAAGTAAAGTTGATAAATTAACATTTCTATCATCTCACAAATAAGAAAGTCACATTCTTACACTCCACATGTTCACATGGCAGCTTTTGGAAGTCTTCCATATGCTCCTCCTGCTCTTTTGGGGAAAACTCAGTCTCTATGCTCTCTGTAAAGTCATGGTTGCTGCATAAATTCATCCTCATCTCTGACTGCAGTTTGTGAGCAAAACCAACTTTTTGATTCTCCAGATTGACAACTTTCAAGGCTTCGCACAAGGGCTGGAAGTCAACAGCAGTTTCATTACTCTGAGGCTCTGCAAGAAAATAAATGAAATTTGTTTTACTGAACAGACTTTATGGATGTAATTTTAGTGATAGTCTCAAAAACTAGCAAGGGTTTACCAGCGACATAAGCATTTGAAATTAAAACATATGCCAAACATTGATTCCCAAAAGTTAAAATTCATAGAATGAAATTGGAGTTTATTTCGAACATATAAAAAAAGTAATAATAAAAAAGTAAAAAATACAACAACAAATGATTATCCATGTACAAAAAAGAAGGGAAAGAAGTCGAAACTTATCGAGTCCCACCCATTCTCCTACACAAAAAAATTACATATATATCATAATATTATATAATAATATTAATAATCATAATAATAATAGCAATTAAAAATCACCATAATGAAAATAACAAAATCTATGTTCAAAAATGTGGTTCATAGAAACAACCAAAAGCCCAAGGATTCCAAAAAAAAAGTTTTCAGTTATCTGCAAGTTGCACTCTTTACCACTGCAGGACCCACAGCTATTGAAGTCATGAAATTATAACAACATAAGCATCAAGATTCAAAACTCCTGAATCAGATGACGGCTTTTTGAACTTTACAAGCATATCTTTTTGTTAGAGGGGTAATACAAATGAAATGTCATGACTCTAAACTCCAGACAACCAGTGACCTCTAGTGGCCAGCAGAGCTTATAATTGTTATGTTTTGCAGAGGGAGCAGACGAAACTGTGCAAAAGGAAAAAAAACAACAGAATTTTAAAATAATTTTGTGGACTACATTATACTTGGGAGTAGTTTTCATGAGGAGGAAAAACAGCTCCTGGTCCTTGATGTTGTTTAGGGATTTAACTGCTACACTGAAACATCACTTATTATAAATACAGTGTGAATGTTGAGCTTTGGAATAAAGTAATAATAAAAAAAACCTTTAAAACTGGAACCATGGAGTTACCTGCCAACAATAAGCTCACCACCGGCGCTGGATGTTTTTCTGCTTTCCACAGTGCAGTCTCCATCTCCTTCTGAGCTGTCACTGACACCAAAGAACTACAAAACAATTATAATGAAATAACACTTTCTTATGTGGGGTAACATTAAAATGACCCCACAGACGTCTCCTTTCCTGCAGCTGGAACAGATAAGACTCCATGTTGTTACATACAAATCAACAAACAAAATATTTTTATTTTGTTAAATAAACTTAACCTTCTCTGGATGAGTGTTTCATAAGTTATCATTACTAACCGTCTGCAGAGCGGGGACAGCTCCTCTCTCTGAGGTTCACATGTGAACGCACATATTTGGGTTTGATTGGTTTGATCAGGGGTCAAGGCCAGAGTTACATCCAGCTCCAGATCGGTAGGAAGCATCAAACGTCCTTAAAAGAAGATGACGTTTAAGCAACAAACCCACATGTATTTGTAAAGTAAGCTTTAACTTTCACTTCTAGATTAGTCCGACAATCACTGGGCGAGGTAACAATCCACAAATGCTATATCTGAATCTTATAACATGGCAGATAATAGTGATAATATCCCTTTAATTTACTCTCTCTTTCACATTTTTTGGGATACTCTAAGATGCTCTACTCTTGTATTTCTAATGCTTATAACACTGTTTTTCAGTACTACCATTACTGAGAGATAGGACTTGATAAAAAAAAAAAAAACTTGTTGATGAAATAAGAATATTTAAGTGTGAAAATTGACAATAATGAACACAATGAAAAAACAAGCTTTACCTGAACCAACCTGAACATTTGGTTATTGCTATTATTCAGTGTCATAAACGTCCAATGAGATGCAGTTTATTACACTGCAATCATTGTGGAAATCAAAACTTAAGTTTGAGAGAAATTCAGAGTGATTCAGTATTTTTCCTACTTCACCTAAATAACTGCATCCTATATTTTCCCTTCAGCAGATACAGTTTTAGACCAAATCCTAACATGATCAACTAACAAAATACTTTTATGCTCACAATCTGCAACTTTTACCTTTCAGCTCTGACTCCAGCAGGTCTCCATTAATGCTGCTCTTTTTGTTGGACTCTTTTGGCATCTCATATTGAGAAATGTCCACTGATACTGGTGCATCTGTCCAAAAAGCTGAAAAAATATTTGACTGGAATCTATGAGTTTACTTTTTGTGATTTTTTTTAGAACCTGTAATTTTGTTTTTACCTTTCTTGAGCACCTCCAGGATTGAGGGGAGCTCATGAAGCTGCTCAGGAAGGACATTCATACGACCACAAATGTTTGAAAAGTTGGAGCAGTTTTCTTGGCTCAGATTCAAAGTGTCAACTACAAGTGGCAACAGTAGGGACTACAGAAAAATGAATATATATGTATAGTTACATGTAATAGTAATAATGAGTTAAAAAAATGCAATGCTTAAATCATTACTGGTGTCCAGCTACCTCTTCTTGGATTAGTGACTCTTTCCCAAACTCCTCCTGGATGTTTGCACATGCCTGAATATCACTAGTATTCATATTAGGCGGTTTTTCATAAGATGCACAGTATCTAAAAGAAACATGACCCAACATGTTTAAACAAAACACAAAGTAGCATTAAAGACAAATATGCCTTTAAAGTGCTGTTGAGTAAGCATGAGGATGTAACAATCACCTGAATATGGCTTCCTCAGATATGGTCTGTCCCGCTGAGCTCAGCAGAGGGTCAGCCACAGGAAGAGTTCTCAGCCGGGACAGTTTGGCTTTCAGTGTGGGTAAATGTCTTTTAAAATGTGGCAGGTAATCAACACCCAGGAGCTCTTCGGGCAGGAGAAGATCTTTGACACGATGACATATTTTGTGAGACACAGAATCACAGTCTCAATTCTTTACGAAGAATGAAGAAATTTCTACATGAAAGGGGGGTTTAGTTACCTTTATCTTTTTCAGGTTTTGTATCATCCACAGAGCACCTATTAAATGACTCCTGGCACGGATCATTAATCTGTGACTCTTGTGGACAAACCAACTTGTCCTGATCAATCAGCGAATCAGGATTAGAGCTTGGTACCACCTCCAAGTCCTTTTTGACCTCACTCAGAGTCTCACTGAATCTGGAATCAAACAAAACTTTTTAGAGACACTAACTAAATTAACTCAATTAAATTCTGATTAAATATTACAACGTCAGTCCACAGAACCTTTCTAGTGAATTAATGGGTTTTATTTTTCCTCTCAGGTCATCCAGCACAGACACACTGACAGAGAGCTTGCAGGCAGAGATCACCTGTCCTGCAACAAAGAAGGTAAACGGAGAACACATATATTTATGTTTAAGTACTGTATATGAATGCAACCTTGGACAGGTCTGTAGTTTTTTGTACTATATAATGGGCCTCTTGTAACAGTTTTTTTCCTTGTGAACAAAAAGTCAATATTATTCCTTTTTCTTTCAAATGATGGAGTTTGTTAAAGAGCCGAGCAGAGACTAGGTCATTACAGTGACAGCACAAAAGTGACTTTGACTTTTTACCTCTGGTCCATGGTGTCCTATATGTGACATCAGGAAGTTTAGCACTGTGAGGATACAAGTCTCTGCTCCCAGCGCAGAATGGAGTTGGTAATGACAGCAAGTTCATCATTATCTTATGACTGGTGTTGGCCTGAAACAAAGACAGGTCAGTAAAGCTTCATTATTTACTCATGAGATATAATTAACCAGCATGAACTCACCTCAAAAACATAGTCCAGAGCTTTGTATCTGTTTGCTGAGAATATTTGACCGGAGAAACAGCTGTCCTGTTCTGACCTGTCAACATCATTTTAGAGTGATTGTAGAGGACCAAAAAGACTATATGTAAATACACAGTAATCAAAAAAATGATATACTTAGGTGTCTTACATGCACTTTAACACTTTGTATGAATCAAAATATCAAAATACGCTTAATATTTTTTTCTTAACTGTTTAAGGGAAACGACAGCTCGATACATCAAAGTCAAATGAGCTAACTTACAATAAGCTAGCATGACAGCTCAATTTTAGCACTTTTCGACTGTAAGTCAAATTGAGTGAAGCTCTAACTTAACATATCTACATGCAAACGTTAAGCTGCGATGATAAGCTTTAAACTTACATAATAATCCAGTTATTTTAAGTGTTTTGGAGAAGGGCAAGTTAGACCGGGATGTGAAGGGTCGTTAACTCTGTTCCCCCTCTATGATAACTGAAGTTTGGGTTTAATAGCCACGCATGCGCTTTGAGGCGTTCAGGTGCATCACCGGCTTCATGAAGTGAAACTTTACTCACACCTTATACCGCTATAACCATAGACTGTATAAAGAATGGACAATCTATGGTTATATCTAATACACCTGAGTACACCTTCAACACCCACTACAAAGAACTGTTATCACCTTTCTGACCATGTCCACGCACACTCACAAACAAATAAAAAAGCTGTGTGACAGAGCTGTCGTATCTGGCTGCAGTGTACTGCCCAGCTGTTCACAAAAGTACTGCCAGTGTATAGCAAACTGAGTCTGTAAAAATAAAAAATGAAATAAATAAACAAACAAATATAAAAATAAATAAATAAATACTAATACTACTATTACTACTACTACTAATAATAATAATAATAATAATGTGTTTTAATTAAAATAGTCAAAGAAAATATTCAGAGTAGAGCTGGAAACATACACTCACCGGCCACTTTATTAGGTACACCATGCTAGTAACGGGTTGGACCCCCTTTTGCCTTCAGAACTGCCTCAATTCTTCGTGGCATAGATTCAACAAGGTGCTGGAAGCATTCCTCAGAGAGCTTGGTCCATATTGACATGATGGCATCACACAGTTGCCGCAGATTTGTCGGCTGAACATCCATGATGCGAATCTCCCGTTCCACCACATCCCAAAGATGCTCTATTGGATTGAGATCTGGTGACTGTGGAGGCCATTTGAGTACAGTGAACTCATTGTCATGTTCAAGAAACCAGTCTGAGATGATTCCAGCTTTATGACATGGCGCATTATCCTGCTGAAAGTAGCCATCAGAAGTTGGGTACATTGTGGTCATAAAGGGATAGACATGGTCAGCAACAATACTCAGGTAGGCTGTGGCGTTGCAACGATGCTCAATTGGTACCAAGAGGCCCAAAGAGTGCCAAGAAAATATTCCCCACACCATGACACCACCACCACCAGCCTGAACCGTTGATACAAGGCAGGATGGATCCATGCTTTCATGTTGTTGACGCCAAATTCTGACCCTACCATCCGAATGTCGCAGCAGAAATCGAGACTCATCAGACCAGGCAACGTTTTTCCAATCTTCTATTGTCCAATTTCGATGAGCTTGTGCAAATTGTAGCCTCAGTTTCCTGTTCTTAGCTGAAAGGAGTGGCACCCGGCGTGGTCTTCTGCTGCTGTAGCCCATCTGCCTCAAAGTTCGACGTACTGTGCGTTCAGAGATGCTCTTCTGCCTACCTTGGTTGTAACGGGTGGTTATTTGAGTCACTGTTGCCTTTCTATCAGCTCGAACCAGTCTGGCCATTCTCCTCTGACCTCTGGCATCAACAAGGCATTTCCGCCCACAGAACTGCCGCTCACTGGATATTTTTTCTTTTTCGGACCATTCTCTGTAAACCCTAGAGATGGTTGTGCGTGAAAATCCCAGTAGATCAGCAGTTTCTGAAATACTCAGACCAGCCCTTCTGGCACCAACAACCATGCCACGTTCAAAGTCACTCAAATCACCTTTCTTCCCCATACTGATGCTCGGTTTGAACTGCAGGAGATTGTCTTGACCATGTCTACATGCCTAAATGCACTAAGTTGCCGCCATGTGATTGGCTGATTAGAAATTAAGTGTTAACGAGCAGTTGGACAGGTGTACCTAATAAAGTGGCCGGTGAGTGTATATAATTTAGTCTTTTTTAAAAGCTTTTACTTCATATGTACGTCATAACAACAAACCATAAACATCTAAAAAATAAAATGCTGATATTTAGATGACATTTAGAGACATACAGCAAGCATCTGAACCATCAAAGCACAGTTTTCAGGAAATCAATGTACATCTATCTTGGTTTGTCAATTCATCTGCATTGTATATTTTTGTCCACAGGGAGGCGCTCTTCACTACACCATCAGGACAACACAGAGCTGAAACAGGCACTCTTTAAATAACTCAAACAACAGTGTGTTTATACTCCAGTGTAAGTAAGAGTAATGCATTTTAAACTTATCAATCCTTACATGAACACATGAAGGATGTTACCATCTACATTTACTCTCAGTGAAGTTAAGTGCTGCTTCTGGTCAGTGTTTTGATACTAAATACACTGTTGTAGGATTTTTATTACTGTTGGTGTATGTTGCATTATACAGCTAGAAGAGTTTCAGTATATGGTATGTGTAACAATCGTGTAAATGGTTTCTCTTTTTTTATCCAAAGCAAAGCGTCATTTTTTAAATATTATGTGTTCTGTCAGCCTCATAAAACTTACCCTACCCCTACTCCTGAAGGCACACTTCATCAGCATATCAGGAAACGTACATTAAAGATAACTTAATGTGGACGTGAATTCACTTTTAACTGAACTGAGAGTATGAAAGTTATCTGTGTGTGTGAGTAAATAATTTTGCATCATGTGGACTTCAGTACATCCGACTGCTGTAAAAGGGTAAACACAAGTGACGGAAGTAGAGGTTTGCTGTCCAGTTTACATAAAAGCTGGAGGAGACAGTCCCAGTGTGTCACAGTTGATCTTTCTTACCCTCATGAAACAGTGTTTGTCTCCTCTGTGTGCCTGTAAATCTTACGTATGTCTCATGGGACGTCTTAAGTTAACAAACTTCCAAAGGTCAGTGTACATTTGGGTTTTGCGAGTTTCTTACTTAGGTGACAAAAGGAATATAAATCTGTCTTGATGGCGGTGCACTAACATATATGTGGAAGGCTGCAGTTTAAACATCATCTGTGACATTTCACTCAGGAAATGTATGTTTTTGTTGTCGAAAAGCTTTTCACACCTGAATAAAAACTTGTAAAATATTCACACTGACAGGAAACTGGAGGGACTGCACACACTTTACAGTGCACTGGCTTTCTGTGAGAGTATGGTGAATCACATACGCAGGTTAAAAAGCAACAGACAGAAAATTTGGAGGAAAAGTAAAAAAGGAGAATGGTAAAAAGCTACATAATGAAAGCACCATCCCTCTTCTTGTGTTGTTTAGAAAGTTAATATTCTGATGTTTTCATATTTTGATATTCTACTGCTATAGAAAAACACATTTTTTCCATTTTCTAAATACTTGATCACTTTTGGTTGATGCCTTAAAATCACTTTTCTTTTTCCCGTTAATCCATGACAGTATTTTCCAAGCTCAGCTACAGTAAAATCATCATAAATCATCACATTGGACAAGTGTACCAAAGACAGTGGCCATTGGGTGCATATTGTTATATGACTTTTCACCAATATATAAAACACATATGCACTACAGTGATCAGGTAAAAAAGGACACTGTAAACAACTGTACAGACTTCAGACTAGACCCTTTGTCACCCTAAAGATGACTAGATTTCTAGAGTTTCACCCCTAAAATGTATTTTCTCCTCTTCTGTTTCAGTATTAGTTTAAATCCTCTGTGCTGCTGGTTCTACATATACATACAAACTCTCACAGGATGACAGTGAAACTCAAAACTCCAAAACAAAAGCATGTAACACGACGCTGCTGCATGCAGGTTTTTCAGTTTCTGCCCTCTTGGTGCAGAATCATGTGTGTCTTTGTATTTTCTCTCATATTATGTTCCTCAAGTATCAGTCAAGGTTTCTGTTTGGGGCCAAAAGCTCTCTAAGGATGCCACAGGGAAACTTTAAACACACATTTTTTATTATTATTGACACTGTACATTTGCTTTGGTTGAATATTTCTGTAACAAAATGACATTAACGTACAGTAGATACTACTGCAAGATCAAGACATTTTCTATGAAGCATTTACTCTTGCGCTCCTCTAAGATCTGTGCACCAAATATAAAGCTTTAGCCAGGAGCCTGTTAGCTTAGCAGAGCATAAGAAATTTTTAGTGTTTATTTACTTATAAAATAGATCAAACTAGAGTTTTTATGCTGTGCTAAGCTTAGCTAACTGGCCTACAGACCAACATATTGTCAGTTTTCTGTTCTGTCTGCTTTGACTTTGAAAACTAACTCCTAACTACAAAAATGATTTTAACTGAACAAGATAGATCTTCAAAAAAAAATCCTCATTTTATAGCTGAACTGTTTGTCCACACTGTAACAGTGTCACAGACTACGCTAACATTTCAGAGGACATTTCCGTCACATGTTGAGTTCTTCCGATTATCTAAGAAACTGAAATACACTATGTAGCTAGAAAACAAAAGTTTCGGTTAAACTCTATTTTTGGTTTATTTTTGGCAAGTTTAAGGCATTAAGTCATAATAACAAACCAGAAACATCTAAAAAAGAAATGCTGAGCTGACATTTGAATTGAAACACAGCTGTCACTTTGAGTTTGAGGACACATCACCGCTTCTCTGCAAACACTTTGGCTCATTTTTTGTGCTCCTCAATCTGCTCCACCTCGCTGGACTCATCCACCACCTTTCCGTTGATCATGGTCTGAGTGACCACTTTGACGATCTTCCTGGTCCTTACATCTGGCTCTTCTGCAACACAAAATTAAACCTGCTTTAGCCACAAACAAAACTGAGTGACAGTGATCTTACGCTGGATCAAAACTGAAAAGTAAAATTGGAAAATCTCTTCAAACGACATCTTCTGTCTTACTGTAGAAAATACATTGAAAGAAAAGTTGATCTAATTGATTACATTCTGTGACTATTTCATGGACTGCTGTATTTTGAGGTCGGATATTAAGTCTCTCCTCTTTTCTTATCTGTTTGTAATTTTTTGAACAAGCAGCGCTGACCAACATTGAGGTGGTATTACCATAGTACAAAGGAAAACAACATCAGAGATGTCCCTAACCTAAAAAAACCCTGAAGGGAAGTGACTTCCTAATCTCGGCTGGACTTCGCAAATAACAAAAACTTGAACTCACTTTTAGGAGGTGGAGGTGTTTCTTTCACCCTGCAGGAAAAACAAATAGAAGAACTACATCAAGAAGTCAAACAAAGTAAAAAGGTGATGTTACAGCAGTGTATGTAGGGTAAATCATATTTGGTTTCCTCCTTTTCCTCTCTTACATTTCCTCTCCCTCCAGCAGCCTCCTGTAGGTGGCAATCTCCATCTCCAGGGTCTGTTTGATGCGCAGCAGCTGCTCGTACTCGGTCTTGTTGCGCTGCATGTCCAAACGCAGCTGAGACAGCTCATCCTCCAGCTGAGTCAGTGCGGCCTGAAGACGATCCATCTCCACTGAGTACTTATGCCCTGTTTCTCCTAGGTTTCCCTCCAACACGCTGACCTGTAATCATGACAAAGAGGTAATGATCAAAGATTAAGACTTTCATACTTTACAAAAATAATCAACAGTGGAGACAGAGCAAGTTCAAATTATAAATCTTTATATATAAATATATTTTTTGGCATTTCTTGGGGGTAGTGAAAACGTAACTACATAAAATATTGTACTTATTAAGAACAACTATAAAACAATTTATAATGATTCATTTGGAGTTTTTTTCAGGTGATCTCAAAAGAAACAAAGCTAAACTGAAAGATATCTGGGTCAGAGCTTTTCCTTTCGTGCACTTGTCTTTGTTTACAATCTGACCAGAAACCTGAGACAGAAATATTAAATTATTAGAAGTTGAGAGTTAAATTTTACCACCAGAATGTTGCCTATTTTTAGCTGCAGTTATCTGTTATTAGAGACCATTTAAAGGGGCAACATTTTTACTGGACAGGAGCAGGTTTCTGTGACTGCACTTTGGCCTATATGTTCCTCTTCTTTGGCTCTAAACGTTGAACAAAAGCGTGTTAAAAAGTTGTACTACTCTGTCTTCAAATAAGCTAGGGATGAAAAAGCTAGAATAGAGAAAAAAAAACAATAGAAACAGAAACCAGAAGCTTTCTTTGCTTCTGAGGTATGAGGTATCTACAAGTAAAGACAATGGTGAGGTAAACCTGAAGAATTTGAGTCTATTATCTGCTCAACTTTTACCTCTTCTTTAGTCACTAAAGTCAAACCAAAACAGAAAGCTGACAGACACAAAAACAATTTGTAAAGCTGAAGGTTCATTTATATTCTCTTTATTCTGGAGAGGTTAATTTTACACCCTGAAGTTTTATATGTTGTATTAAAATATCTCAGTGCAGTGCAGCTGTAGATGCTGTGAATTGTACCTTTAAATAGCACAATAAACCACAGAGAATCAATAGAGGGCTGTGAAGCTGTTCCCTGTGAATTCTGAACCTTAAATATTGCTTTGCACTGTGTGTTTACTTGCTGAGCTCATCCATTCATGCCCCCATACATATCATCCACAGACACTGCAGACTGTCAGCACAATAATATCTCTGCATTCAATACTGTGTGCTCACTATAAAGCAAACATCAATGAGCTATTACCTGCCTACAGTGACGGCGTCTGCGTGCTGTTTGATTTGTGCGCACATGTAGCGGAAACACAAAACACTCCCTCCTTAGACTTCACGTCTTGTCACTCTGATTGATTATCGGAGCAGAAAGAAATTGTTGTGTACACTGTGCTGTTGGTAGCTCTTTGTTGACAAAGAGAAAGCAGCTGTTGGCTTTAGAAAGGTCTGACATGTGTGATGTGTGCAGAAGAGAAGAGGTGAGGAGGAGGTGGGGGGGAATGTTATAGAAAAACTGAATTAATCTTTACAAGCAGAAACAGAAACAGACGAGGATCTCTGGAGTCAAAGAGTCAATGTGCATTTATTTTTTCTATAATAAGCTCTCTTGTTAAAGAAAAATTAGCTCTCTTTTTAGCCTTTTGACCAAACAGTAAAGGTTAAGGTTCAGCCAAGCTAAAAAAAAAAGCAAGAAACAAAAATAAAATGTTGGTTTAAATGTAGAAAAGTAGGCTCGCACCTGGAGACACATGAAATTACCACACTGTAGCCTGAGACTAACCAGTATAAACTCTTTGGTGCTGAAGTGAAGATCAAAAGATGAGTAGGACCACTGATAACTAACTGGTTAAAGCTTACTTGAAAAAAAAAAAGGGTTGTTTTCCAGGAAACAAAATCCCAGAGTTGGTATAAATATGTGTTGAAGAAAACAAATGTTTATTTGCCAACATACAGTAGGTTCACTATGTGACCCAGGTTGGCATTTTTAAAAGGTTTAAAATCTCAATTTGAATTTAAGAAGTGATTCGTGGGATGGGTGGCTACCTGTAGATGTTCAGACAACACTACTTCACCATGTGTTTGTTTGTTTTTTTTACCTGCTTTCTCACATTGTCCAGTTCGACCTCCAGAGCCTGCAAGAAACGCCGCCTCTCACTGAGTTCACTTTGAGCACAACGCAGAGCCTCGTTATTTTCTTTGACCTCAGACTGCACCGCCTCCAACTACAAACACACATGTACAAAAATATCAGTTTATGCTTGTAAAAACAAAAGGTAGTACAGAGCGAAACAGGTGCGAATGCTGGATCTGACCTTTCTGAGGTACCAGGCTTCAGCCTCCTCCTTGTTCTTGCGAGCAATCCCCTCATACTGGACTCTTAGTTCTGCCATGATGGCCCCCAGATCTGGACCCTGGGCTGCATCCACCTCCACACTCACCTGCTCGTTGGCCAGACGCCCCTTCAGAGCATTCATTTCCTGTCGTGATTTTAAGAGATGAGGAAGAAACAGTCGTTTGGCTGGAAAGGTACAAAATCGTCCATACATCATTTACCAAAACAAATACACAGTATCGGCATGAGCTGAAATAACAAACTCTACAGCCTGTGTCTCACATGTGGGCTTCGGCATTTAGTGCTTAAAATTAGGCTAAACTCAGAGGCTCTGATCAGTGTGCTGCAGGTGGAAGAAAGTCTGTAAGTGCAAAAATGAACAGGCTGTCTGATGGCAAAAGAAAGAACTTAAAAATTTCCAAATAGAGGGTTCACTCACAGAGAGAAGAGTGCTTTGGTCAGAGTTTGTTACATTAAACTAAAATACCTGTTAGGGCTGACCCTGTCCTTTCATAGCCTAGCTCACGTTCCAGTTCTCTGGTTTCTTAACAAAGAAGCCGAGCTGACCAGGATCCCCTGTGGCTATAACACTTTTCTTTGGGAACCTCACAAAACCTCAGTTAAGAATAATAACAAAAAAAGTGAACTACCCCTTTAGTGCTCTGCAACAAAAGTCTGCCCCTCATGGTCCCCTGGAGACAGTTTCCCCTGTCATTTGTTTTGCTTGCAGTGTTTACAGATTTGATTGTGTTTGTGTTACTTTATTGTATTAATGTAAACTTGGAGACAAATCTGTGCGACCTCCTCAGACAATATTAGTATTTGATCGTAAAGAGAGACAGTGTTTTTAGTCATTCAGAAAATAAGCAGTTCATAATGCTCCCCTTTGTTGTTCTCAGCTGTTCATTGTGTCTTTTTGTTTAACCCTCTTTAACTTTCACCCCGTCAGCCTGTGCAAGACAAACCTCTTAATGAAAAACAAAGTCTGCAGGGAGCAGGGTACTACCTGCACGGCTCAGTCTACATCCTGGACACCACACCTCACTGTCTAAACACACACAATACTTGTGACTGAACTACTTTTATTGAGTATGCACAATAGGTGTTATTTTGCTGTCTTGAGGCACCATTGGTGACAAAGAAAGTGGGCGTGTCCATTCATGTCACATGATCATATTTCTGATACTGGATACTGTAAAAGCCTCCGCTGCAGCTCTGCTTTTTGTTGACCTGTTTCTGCTGAGTTACTGACTGGATCAGGGACTGGAATGTGGAGCAGCTCTGTGGTTTTGGATGAAATGAATCATATCCAAGTGTAAAAAAGTACCCTTCATGAAGCTCAGAGGACCCACTGTGCTTTAAGGACTCCATATATTTAAACAAGACTTCCCTTGACAACTTGTAAAGCGATTATCTTGACAAGCAAACACTCACTGATCATCTCTGACGTGACCTTTGAGGCAGCAAAGCTCTCACCTCATCGTGATTCTTCTTGAGGAAGTAGAGCTCCTCCTTCAGGCTGTCCAGGTCTCCTCGCAGAGTACCGATGATCTGATCGTGGTCAGACTTGGCTCTCCTCAGAGCCTGACAGTCTCTATCCACTGACTGGCACAAGGTGGCCTCTGCCTCCCATCTGCAGGAAAGAGTAAATAAATAGAAGTTAGAGGAAAAAATTGCAGTTTGTACTTAAATACTGTAACATCGTGTTTTACGCATCTGTTTTTTTTCAAGGATAAAACTTGAAGATTTTATGAACAAACAAAAACAGTCAATTAAACCTGAATAAAGGCCTCCTAAAGAGGTCTCTTGATAATGTGGATAAACAAATATGTAAAACAGATCTAAGATGGTTGACTTGTTAGGACTCATCTTATCTGAAGACAAGAAGTTTCCAAAAGTAAAAGAAAAGTACTAAACCCAATTTAACTTGTAAAACTAAAGTAAGACATAATTTCTTGAATTTGGGAATAGTAATATGACAAAAACATCCTTATCTCCTTTCCCCCCGGCTTTAACTTGTACTTCTAAACAATCATACAGCTCTAGTCTGTAAATAATGCTCAGTGAATTATTTGAAGTGTTAGAAGCCATAAGATATGTAGAAAAAACAACAATCAGACCTCGATTTACTAAAATCATACAAAAAATACAATACCCAAACAACAATAAATACTGCTGCCCTTTAAGATCCTAAATACTCTTGAAGCAAGTGGACACAAAAACCTTCCCTGCTTTTAAAATTGATCTGTTGCTCTTGAAAACAGATGTTCAGAAAGCTCAAACGTGACAAAGTTTGACTGCTGGAAACATCCTCAGCTGAGTTAAAAATTGATATTACACTGTCTAATATTCTGCTTGAAGTAAATGAAATGAGTTTGAGTGGTCAGTTCAGGCCCCTGGGAGCTGCAGTCTTTACAACAAAGCTGAAACGGCACTCGTGTCGTTGTTTTGTGAACCTGCCTAATTTTCAGCTAAAGGATTAGGATTGGTCCACTACATCTGAGAGCAGAGGAGACCTTAGACTAACAGTAGGTCCCCTGGTGACGGTCTGCAGTTTAGGTCATAAATCCTGCCTCCTCCAGCAACCTTAATGAAGTTGTGGACAAACTTTAGAAATATATTACACAGAATATAAATTTTTCTCCCACCGGTTGCGATGTTTAGTCCTCAAGTCCTCTTTTTTCAGTGAAGCTCCATTTTTAAAAGTTATTAGGGGGTTCATGTTTTCTATGATTGACACCTGATACAACCTATGGGTGTATGAAGATTGCGAAGCCCACCCGGGGGATATGCTGTTTGAGCCGAGCGTCATCACAGCGACTCTCACAATGAATGCGTACAATGCTACTGTGCAATTGGAGGTTCCAGGAAGTGGAGAAAATCCCGGAAATACTGAGAGGAGCTTTTTGGCTTAAAATTCATAAAACGATGGAAGGCGGAGCCAAGTTGTTCATAAAATATACAGTCTTTCGTCCAGACCCTCTTGTCAGTGAAAAAAAACAAGCAAAAACCAACATTTAAAATTTTGACTTTTTGAAGTTTCAACCTCAGGGCTGATGATGTGGATCAATAATCAGTTTGAACATAATTAGAAATGGATGATAAAATGTGAACTAATGGTGTTCACGGACTTTGGTGTGAACTGGAGTAATTGTGTTTTAACGGATGATGCTTAAATAAAAGATGCTCAAAATAAATGAAGAAAAAGAGCAAATAACCCCCGAATGAATGCACAAGTGTGGAAAATACAGCTTTAGAGCTCCTGCAAAGATCTCCTTGTAATGTAAACATACGCTTTGCTGCTAATACCATGAATCAGTGCAGAGTGATGTATCACTCCCTCACATCAGACCACAGAACATACCGTCAACACGCTGTGAAAAACAGCAGCAGTGGGTGGACTTGTACTCCTCAATCTTTCCTACATCTGCACCTTCATCCAACATCTCCAGCACTCACTGATGGTTCACGGCTGCTCGACTCCTGCGAGTCCCTGAACAGCGTGGGAACGAGGCTCTTATTTCACAGCCTGACATAAAGGTCATTTATTCACACGGCTCTGCAGTCTGGCGCTCCCATGTGAACACTCACAGGCGAGCAAGAGAAAGAAACCTCTGTGTGACACTCACTTGACCCTGAAGTCGTCGGCAGCCAGCTTGGCGTTATCGATCTCCAGCATGATGCGGGCGTTTTCCAGCGTCTTCTTTCGTACCTGAGGGGAAATGTGGTGGGGAGTTAAGGAAGGATCATGGAGCATCAGGAAGATTTTGTGCTTTACGCTGAAGTGGATTTTATTTCTTGGCAGCTTTGGTTGTCCTTCTGTCTTTAACCAGTAAAACCCAGCTTTGCAGTGTTCGCACTCTTGTTCTCCATGAGCATAATTCCAACTCTACAGTATTCCCCCTTTTAAAGCTCCTATGAGGTTTTTTTTTCACAGTTATCACATAGAGATAAATTCATACTGATGCGTTTTAATGATACCCAAAAAGAAACAACACCATTAGTAACAAGATTGGTGAGTGTTATATTGCAATGTTTAATGCCCAAACTGGTGTGAGAGGGCAGGTGTCAACCAAGTAGCTCAAGAAACAGCCTCGTTTGCACAATTTCCAGAAAATAAAATAATCCCATTATATGACACATTTGTCTGACAAAAATCAGCAGGCTGGGATTTTTATGTCAAACATCACCACCCAAGAATGTAGAGGACACCGTAAACAAAATGTACACAAGCCAAACATTACTTACAGGAACTTTAATGTTTATATATGTTTATAAAGCACCTTTAAACATGTCCTATAGAAAATATGGTGTTACATCAAGAGAGGACAAAAAGAAAAATTAATAAAAATGTAGTTTTCTGGTGCAGACGGGTTCATAATTGTAAACAGACTTTTATTTTAAGCTGGAGAATATTAAAGCTCCTGTGATTTTTTTTAGCTGGTTATAAAATGGAGTGAAATTTACAGGGACACCTCTTAGGGACCTACAAATGTAAACAAGACCATCAGCAACAAAACTGAACATTTCCACAGAATTATGAGTGCTGGGAGAGGTGGTGGGTGTCAGACAGCACAACTGATAGCCCTGAAGAAACAGCCTTTTAAACTTTATAAACTACTTCTTACACTTGATACACTAACTTTATAACCAAAGGTAGGATGAGTTAAATGTCAGACAATAATTTTCATACATGTGCAGAGATAAGGGGTATTACCAAAATCAAGTTCCCCACAGGAACTTTAATGCCTGAAAACAACTCAGAAAATTCACTTGAAACAAGTTTAAAAAAAAAGCGAAATACCTGTAACTTTCCAGAGGATTTTAAAGCTGCTGTGAGGAACTTTTGGTTTGTGTCACTTTGGTGCCCCCCTGTGGACGACGCAGTCTTTGCTTTACTTTGTCCTCTACATGCTTAGGCAGTAAAAAATTCTCTCATCCTGTTGATTCTGTTAATGTTTCACTTGGAAAATTTAGAAACAGGGCTGCTTCTTCAGCTGCTTGGCTCATAGTGATAACAAATGATGGTCTCATTTGCATTTAAATATCACAAAGAGGCATCAACTGAAATTTCAGCCTGTTTCATAAACATCAAAAACCTCCTCAAAGGAGCTTTAAGAAGTTTTCAGATTTCTTTGTTTCCCTTTAATGATCTTAGAAGATGTTTTTAACAAAACGGCACAATCTGTTCCTGTCTTTATCTGAGAAGCTGTGAAATCAGCAAGTGCAGGAAACACATTTTTTACTGCCCTCAGATTTGAAGCACATGCTTTAAAAGTTCCTGGAAAAGTAAGTAACTATTAATTTAATAAAAAAAGAATAAAATGGATCTCCTGACCTCCTGTCCAATAGCGTGTGCCTGAGCCATCATCCCCTCGATGTCGTGTCCTTTAGGCACCTTCTCAATCATCAACTGCTTGATCTTCAACTCCAGCTCTGCGTTGGATCTCTCCAGGGTGCGCACCTTGTCCAGGTAGTTTGCCAGCCGGTCATTCAGGCCCTGCATGGTCTCCTTCTCACTGGTGCCCACACCGAGTCCATTGAAGGAGAGACTGGAGCCCAGTATGTTGAGGCCGTTGCCCATGGAGACAGAGCGGGACAGAGGCAGCGTGCTGACGGGGACCTGAGATTTGGAGCGGATGCTGCGTCCGCTGTCCCTCACAGAGACACTGGAGAAGGATGGCTGACGGACCGAGTAGCTGCGCACAGAGAGGGTGGAGGCCATGGTGTCCTCTGTGGAGAGTGAAGTTTTAGAAGTGCTGCAAAGAAACTAAATCTGTTTTTTAAAGCAGATGTTAATGTGAAGCATTTATTATGAAAATCACAGACAGTGGTTGATTAACAAGGATGAAAGTTCAGCATCACCTCGGTAATAATGTCATTAACAAACTAAAAGGTCGGGTATTGATTTCTAAGTCAACAAGGCTGAGCTTTGTAGTATTTGAGCATATATTTTCACCTATTCTAAAGTTCTTCAGCATAAATTTGCATCTGTTCTCTGTCCTTTTGCATCTTTGAACCCTTTGCTTTTTTCACATGGCCCCTTCTGTGCTGTTTTGCATCTTTCTGTTGCCACTTTTGTCCCTTTTTTGCGAAATGATCTCCCTGCAGCCTTAGCTATTTTCTGTCTTGGTCATGCATCTCTGTAGCTGTGTGAAATCTAAAACTAATCACTCGTTTAGCGACTCTGACTTGTTTTCTCGTCAGCAGAAAGAAAGAAAGAATAAAACAGGACTCACATCTATCTCTGTTCTTCAGCAGGTCTTCTCTCGTGCTGCACAGCCAGCTTCAGACCCTGATGGTGCGAATGAGATCCTCCAGGTGAGTCTGGCTGCAGGAGGCACGCTCTTTCCTCATCAGGGTGGAGCCACCGCCGGTGTGACCAATCCCACAGTGACAAACAGGAGGATGCAACATGACACCCTGTAAAGTAGTAAAAAAAAATTACAGAGGTGCAAATAAACTAAACCAGTCTGTGTCTGAACTTTAAGAGGCAGGTTATTGTCTGCAGACTGAGAGGTTTGCAAATAAAGGCTGTAAGGTGAGACACTTCATCAGCCTCCTCTAACCGTGTTTCAGATGATATTGTTTTATACAAAGGAGCAGGAGGCACACTGTAACAAATAAACAATCATTTTATTTCACCAGATGAGTCTGAATACATCTAAAACATGAATGGATGTGTTACAAAAAAATCATGAGAGGATACTACAGGACTTAACATGTGACACGAAAAGCGAATAAGTCAGAGTTGATTCTAGAACTTTTTTGCAAGATCTAGAGACGCTTTTGTAAGCTGGCTTGGTGTTTTGGGAGTTTGTCTCAGTTATTTGGAGCGTGGAAACTTAAAACTGCTTCTCCATGATACATGTTGTTTGAGAAGGTCACCTGTGTGTTTTGGTCTTACACCGTTCAGTGCCGTACACACCAGCAGCGGCATTTTAACACCTGAACAGCTAAATCTCCCATTACTCATTTAATCTGTACACTGATTTTTCTTTATCGTGTTGCTTGTACAACAGGGGAAATTAGTGAGTTTTGCTACGCACCACTGTTAAGTAAAAAGAGTTACATTTTGGTCACCAATATGCGTAGTAGGCTAATGTGAATGCCATATTAGGACAAAAAAAACCCTACACTTCACTAAAACAAGAACAAGGAGCTTATTTCCACACACTTGAATGCGCTTGAGATTTTTGGATCTCTGACAAAGTAGTCCGATCTTTCTAGTTTGAGAAATTGAGCCACAGTTTCTGCTAACGTGTCTAAACATTTTGGGAAAACTTCAAACTTCTGAGAGATCCAGGAAAAACTTTGGCAAGCCTGAACAAAAATTTTGGGAGCTCTCATAAAAGACTTTGTTTGGCAATTTGTTTAAATCACAGTCTGTGATGAGCTCTTAATACTGTAATAAATAAAAGTAAAGTTGGGTTACAGACTAACCAAATATGACAAATGAACATGACTCTGAGAAACTTTTGTCACTTTTTGATGTTGTAAGATTAAGAGGATGTCTTTAAGGATGAAAACCATCAGAAATAAACATGCCTCAGGGTTAGTAACTTGAAAAAAGCGATGGTTAACCTTAAACCACCGCTTTTTTAAGCAGCTAAACAGCGGTGTATTATTAGCGCTCTCATGAAGCGCACAATAAGTCCTTTTGATCTATATTTGGCCTCATATCTCACTGGATGACATCAGCCTCCACCTGACCGGTGTGCTGAAACTTGGAGGGCAAAGTGGTGTGTCTAACAGGGACTGTGCAGTCCCCATAATAATCCCATTGAGCAGGTGCACAATGCGCACAATGTGAGACGCCAGCTTCACCCGAGGACGGCCCGGGAGGATGAGGGGAGGAATGGGAGGAAGAAGGAACAATGAAGGGACAGAAAGAAAAGAAAGAGAAGACCCCTGAGAAATGCAGGGCGTGGGTCCTGCTGAACTAGAAACCTGACAGACCGAAACAGGCACGCACGCACGCACGCACGCAGGGACACACACACACACACACACACCTGTTTTGTACATGTAACAGTGTCACCTATCCTCGGCCCTCTCCTATGCTTGTGTACTGTCTGTAATCTCCTCTAACAGTTTTGTAAAATTCCTCCACTGAGCTTTATTCTGGGCAGGATCAGATCACACAGGGACACTGGCCTGGTTTAGTGCCTGACATGCAGTCGCCTCCGCCCAATACCACCCACTTCTCACCTCTACATTTACAGACACACACTCACAAAAAATACTGCTGAGATCATCCACATGACCAAATTCTGACTTGAAGAGGGGTTACCTAAATGAGCTGTTATTTCAGGCTCCACAGCTGGTTGGTCAAAAATGTTGGACTTTTGTGGTCTTTCAGACAAAATTACACCCAGGGGGAATTTTTAGAACCCACTCTTGATGTAGATGACCCATAAAAAGTATTAAATAATTAAACATTTGAAGAATGACCCTTATTTAAATTTAAAATACATTTAAAAACACATCACACTCTTTAGAACAGACATCACTTTTTTCATCCAAGTAAGTGAAGACAAAACGTTTTACAGCTTGTTTGCAAAAGATGCCAGATAAGAATGGGAGGATATACTGCCACCTTGTGGATAAAAACATGTATTACTAGAAAGAGGAACACCATAAAAATGATGATTATTTCATGTTTTGATGGTGCAGACAGTGTGTAGGTTAGCAGCATCTATCAGAACAGATTGTTAAAAATGGAATATACAAGTTTTCATTAGTGTATGTAAACTGGTAATCACCTGAGTATGAGAATCCTTTCATTCTTGTTAACAGTGAGCCATTTATAGCTTTGTTGAAGTGGGTCCCCTTCTTGCAAAACCATGTTTCTACAGGAGATAAAAAGCATATGAACTACTACTGTCGTACCTGTTTTTGTTACTAGTGAGGGGACACAATCGTGGTTGAAGTTGCTGTGTGCAAAAGAACCTGTATTTTTTGAAGGTAAAATAAATGAAGGAGCTTCTTGTCCTTAAAGGCCACCGTTGCTTCACTGATGGAAAGGAGTAAGTAAGGTGGCATTTCAGTCTTGAATCTGACCGCTAGTTATCATTGAGCGACTATTTTGTCAGTATCGTACAAATGATTTGGCAGTTTCTTATAGGGGTGGGATTCACCAGTGGTCCCACGATACGATATTATCACGATACTTGGGCCACAATATGATATTATTGTGATTTTTTAAAAAAAAATTTCAATACACTGAGTATTGCGATACAATATATTGTGATTTATAAAATTTTTTGAACTGTTTAGCTAATTTAGCATTTGTCTTTCCTTTATGTTTGTCTTATTTACGTTGTATTTTATTTTCATGTAGCACATCTTGCAAACCTTGTGTCAGGTCCATCTCATTTGTGCCCTGTTTGCATTCCTATTATCTTTCTCCAGGTGCTGCTATATCTGTTGTACTAACTCTCTCCTGCTCTATGATGTCACCTCTGCCAACCTCACCGGACAAACAGTTGTTTTTATTTTTCCATTATCATAGAGTTGACTTCATATTAACAATTAATTTGAAAAATTGATACTTGGTTAATGAGACAATGCAATATATCACCAGACAAAATATCATGATACTAGCTGTATCGATTTTTTCTCCCACCCTTATTGTCTTAAGTTATTAAAGAGTCATTTAGTCTGATAAGAGTGCTTTTCAGTAACATGAAGATCATTTCTATTTGTTCCACTTGCACAAACAGCTCATTCAACAGTTTTCCTGCTGCCTTTGACCATTTAATAATCTGTACAGGGCATTACAGGAAATTTGGGAATATTTGGCCCGAGTGCTGTAGCGCCACCGTCTCCTCCTATCATGCATTAACAGACTCTGAACAAAGCTCTCAAAAGTGATCGAACCTCTGCTCCAGCTTCCTCCAAATCAAACTGAAGTGCTGTGATATTTCAAAAGCTGTAGTTGTTCCCCCAAAATAAACACACTCTGAGAACCTGCCGTGGGTCCCGTGTTTATTTTTGCACAGTGCACGTTTGGCCGTCGGCCTGGGTGAAGTGAATCATACGTTTCCTCCTGTCGTTCCTCCTCCAGCTCTCATGTGCTACTGTACCACTCACAGTTTACACACACACAAAGTTTCTCTGTTTATTTCCCTGAATTTAAACTGAACACTGTGTACCAGCCCTCACTTCACTGTCAGAGATTCATTTTGCTCTTAGCTGGTTTTGTTTAGAAAATTGATGCTGAATTTAGTTGTATGGAGCTTTTTCTGCGTAGGGTCAAAATAGTCGGCCTGCACAACATCGACATTTAAACAAACCACCAGAAGCCACAATGTAAATTCACTGTGGTCTATTTGACTGAAGTAAGGACATCTGACCTAAAAAATGTTTGCTCATGTCATGCTGGCCCTCACACTGTTGTGTGTTTGTATGCTTTTACTCTGAGGCCTCAGATAGTCCAGGTTTAAAGATACATTCAGACTCTCAGTGCTCAGTTTAGACTGGAGACTCAGAGTAGACAGTTTTATTTTCTCCTATTTCATCTCAGTTAATCCTTATTTCATTATATTCATGTATTGATTTGTTCAGCACCCACAGGTCCCTACAGTTACCTTGTTTTGTGTTATTACATCCACTTCACTTCCTCTGTAATAAATAACTTTACGTTACTGATTACATCTGGTTGTCTATGCTGTTTCCTCTTTCCAAATGAGCCAGGTCGTAACTTGTCCCCAAGGAGAAACTCAATTTTTATACTTCATTAATTAGCATTCAGCACAGATATAGACCAGAAATACATGCAGATCCACCAAGAGGGTTCTTCTCCAGTGGAGGAGGGGAGAGTCAGTTAGGACATGTTTACTTCCTAAAAGCTGCCATGAGGAGTTTTTTCCATTTTTATGACCATCAGCGACAAAAATAAGGTTTTTTACATTATAGATTTAATGCCTGAAATTTATACAGGAAGGTAGGTGATAGCCAAGCAGATGGAAAAACCGCCCTGTTTTATTTTTTTACAGGAAATACTTAAAAAAAATGGTAAATTTTTCTGTCAAAAGTCAGAATAATGAGATTTTAGATCAGGAGGCACTAATAATAAACATTTATCAGACAAGATGAGCACAGGGGACTTCAAATTGGGTACAAATGGAAAGTTCCTCACAGGAGCTTTCAGTAGCCTGAGGGATCAAAACCCTAAGATAGTGTGGCAGCAGACCAAGAATTGCCTCATAGTATGCTTGTACGTAGAAATGCTTTTTATTTCATCAGACTATGGATATGGACCAGGTTTTAAAAAAAGGGGCTTTAAGACCTTTTGGTGCAAATCTACGAAGGAGGAAAATGCAAAAGCTGCAAATCTGAGGAATGGTAAAGTTAATGCAACAGGCAAGAAAATGTGCGAAATGTTTGTGAAAGATGATTAGTTGGGATTGTAATAATGACATAGACCTTTATCACATCAAATTTCTGGTAAAATGTGTCTTTTTTTATTCATTAACCATCCTCTCTTACTTAACGGATAAAGCTGAGACACTATCAGGATCATCAGCCGTAGTTAGACGCCCTGCACAGCAACATGAGTTCAGACAGATAATATCTTCAAGTAAAGCAGAAAAAAACCCTCAAAATCAGAAAACTCTGCTAGCATATGGCAGCATCTGAAATAAACTTGAGGAGGAGGAGGAGGGTGCTGATGAAGATGGGCCACATTGCAATCTTCCACAGAGGTTTTGTTGACTGTTGTGCAGGGGGGGGAGCTCATCAGCGTAAAGGAGGGGAACGTGAATACGCAGAGACGAGGGGCACTGCAGTGTATCTGCTCATTAGACGGCCGACGCTGTAATTCAGAGAGCGAGCGGCTCTGCAATCAGGGGCCTATTCATTAGCATGGGGGGCCGCTTTCATCTGTAACCACTTGAAGCTGCCAATCACTGAAGCAGACGCATGACATGATGACAAAACGGGGCGGCTTAAATGCTCAGGGATGCTTGTGCATGGGGAGAGACATGTCTAAACGCTGCCTGGAGCGCTCGTATCTGAGAGGGACTTTAATAGGGAAGAAATGTGGGTTTTTTTACAGTGTAGTGCTGGCAGGTGGCCCAAACTGTGTCAGTCTGATAATCATCTCTCGGCTCAGCATGAACTCAGCTTTTGTTCTCAGATTTCACGGAGAGGAAACATCGCTTTACTGAGCAGGTTTTTTCCTCCTAAATAGAATTGATTGAAAGTGATTGATTAGAAAAAAATTATTCAAAAGTAAAGTTTAGGAAAAATTAGCATACTTCTTCTCATAAAAATAAACAATATGCTCCCACACATGTTCATAAATCAGATAAAGGAACACACACTATCCACACACCTGTTCCAGCCAGTGTTTGGGCATCTTTAATTAAATCTCAGAGCGTAATAAGGAAGCCATTGTGTGAGTGTTTTTATCTGCTGTGATTTAGCCGTCTGAGTAAAGGCAGTGCTGGGTCAAACTGTAGTCTTTTGACTTTTTTTCTGCTCCACTGCAAGCAACAGGAGAAACACTGTTGTCACTTGAAACTACAACAAGCAAATGTGATTCCAATCTTTTTGCATTTTAAGATACAAGTTAAATTTTTGGACTTCTATAAATTCTAGAGGAAACCAGGAGATTTCGAAAGCCACCTGTGCACTCACGGATCTGAATTAATCCCGATGCTGAGGGTTAGATGAGAACACTTACTCATCATCTGCAGCTGGGTTGACTACCTCTTTTTGAGCCGGGGTTATGGTTTTAAAAAAAATCCAGTCTTCAGCAAGTCAATGCAGCCTCTGAGAGCAATGCACAAGTTTACAAAAGACAAAATGATTTTAATATTCAGGTGATTTACTATTTTTGGAGAATCAAACATCCCCAAAAATGTCATTACGCACCTTCATTTTTCGGCTTTGAATTCTATATTCCACTTTTACACTCGACTGTTCTGATAAATGCTGCTTACTACAACAGGCTGCCTCTTTACAGCTAAATCTACAGACAAGGACTTATCCTGGTTCCTGCACTGCAATAGGATTAGTTGAAAATGTAGCCCATTTGGTAGTATAATACAGTTCCACTTAGGTTGGCTCTGAAGCCAAGGACTCTGCTCTAGAGCCCATATACAGCAGGGTTAAACAAGTTTGCAGCCCTGCGCAAACTTTGGTTCTGGTCTCTGTATCTCCTTTTTATTATTTGAAACAACTGAACTGGGTTAGAATACCTTAAAAACTCATCTAATTTCATTATATTAAGGTTAAGAATTGTGCAGAATTACACACATGGCTAATTTAACAGACGGATGGGCAAATTGTAGATATTTGTTAGGACTGAAGATGACCTGGTCTTCCCTACTACTTTCTTTAGTATTAAAAAGTTGGCAAGGGTTCACGTTTTGCAGGATGTTAACTGCTGCCTCTTCCGAAATAAATGGGTGATATTACCAAGACTACTTCCTTTTTATTCAGTTCATGATCATAACATACTGTGTTTCCCTTACTGTATATGTCTTCTTTTCTTGGACATGGCCAAAGCTGAAAGACTGAACCCCCAGTAGCCTTCTTTTTACATCACACTTACAGTGAGAAACTCATATAATCATTAAGCATCATTGGCTTGTAGTGTTTGTGGTTTTAAATCAGATAGACCTCCATAATCTGACACACTGTGGCTGTTTCGATGGGCCATACATGTATTTTTCCTATTCTAGCTGATTTGTTAAAAAGGAAGTGGCTGAATGATATGATTAGCCTTGGTCTAATGGACTCAAAAACATTGTGACGTAAAATTTATCTCCTAATTTTCACTACCAATTATTTTTGTGGTTGCTTATCTATGGGTAGGAGTAAAATTACCAAAACTTGACAGATTATTAAGGTTTATTAGGACTTCCAGTGTTGAACAAGGTAATTACAAGCTACTGGACATCACCACCGTGTATGTGACGTCAAAAGAAGATGGCCGCCAGGGGACAACACCAAATGAAACTACTCTGATTTAAACTGTAACAGAATACTGGAATTTAAACCGGCAGCTTCAAGTAGCATGCCAGCGTAGGTTTAACACTATTAATGTCTAAAATCCATCAACAGAGATTAGCCAGACGCTCACTAGTTTTATCTACTCACACCGAACTCATGATGGCGGCGGCCTCTTGAAGATAAAGTCCATTTCCTGAAGAACCGAGACTGAAGTTTGGCTCCTGTCTCGCTTCCTACCCGGTTTCTCATAGCACACTCAGGTATCTGTTCCTTTATTTTACAGCCTCTTTGAAGTTAAAAGACGAGATGTATTTTCTGGGACTTTAGACTGGGGTACTCCATTATACCTGTGAGCACTAAACTTTAACCCCCTAGGTCTCTCTACAGAAGGTTCGTTTGTGGCGCCATCTTGCGGAGCGACCGTTACAGCGGTGTTCACCGTCATTATAACGTCAATGGCGACAGTTGCTGCTGTCTGCGGACTGTAATAGTTGGATTAAAACCGTAACAGCTGCTCTTACAGGTACTTTAATCACACATTTTTACAATTATTGAGAGTTTTAGACCTCAGATAGTGTGGAGGAACGGAGGAAAGAGCGACTGTTTCTGCTTCATATTGTGATAAAGTACTTTGTGATGGAATATCAATCTAGTTATATTCATGAGTCACCAGCTACTTTTTTATTAACACAGACTAATTACATCAGCAAATATGCATTTTCAGATAAATATTTATTTATTACGTTTTTTTAAGGTAAATATTTATTAAGTATTTTTTCATTATTAATGTATTTGCAGCTGGACTGCAATGATTTTCTGCAGTTTTGATTAGCATGCCACTCAGGTGCAAAATCACTAATGATTCTAACATTCTTGGTCTTGCTCTGAAGATCGGCTGGTCTTTGTCAAGTATCCGCTGTCATACAGGAATTACTGAAGATAAAATATGGAGTTAAAGTATTTTTATGTTTTACATATTAAAGGAGTCTGTGTTGGGCAAAGTTAACAAAGTTTATGTCTGATTAAGGAGCTGAAAATTTACATCCCGATAGCTTAGCTTGACAGAAAGGAAAGCTGAGTCAAAAATTAGGTCTAAACATAAAGTAAAAGTTGAAAATTTGTGGACTACGGTAAATTACAGATTTATTTTTTGTAGACCTGTACAAAGCCAGTTAGCACTCTACTAAAAGCTTAGCTAAACTAACTTGCTGCTTTCTAGCCTTACCCATAAATTGTTACAGATGGGAACATGCAACTCCAAAACAATAAATCAATCCATTTCCATAAATGTAAGGCATAATTTTGGGGGCGGATATCAAGCAGGCTTATATGTGATTGTGTAAGATAAAAGCAAATTACCATGTACAGCTTTGTTAAGATTTGTTTTAAGTTTTATCCATTTAATATCTGTTAGCCACTGAAGTGCTCAGAATTGGGTGTGGCACCCTCTTAAAACACCTACAGTGGTCAAAAAGGCTCATTGATCCACTTCTGTAATGATATTCTTCAACTTAACGTACCTTACTCATTTTTTTTGCAATTCCAGCCTCTTAAGTGCTGTCAATCAATGTTAGGACTGTAGGTTATCTTTGTTAAAGGGCCCCATAAGAGCCAACAATCTGCCCAATCAATGGCAACGCTGTGAGTGAATGAACCTCTCCACAGCACCATTGATCACATTTCCTGTTAAGTACAGCAAGTAAATTGGAGATGATGTGTAGGTTTGTCACAGGATATTGCTCTCAATAACAGGTTTCTGCAAGCACTTTACATCGGATAGGTGACCCTTTGATTTTAATGGCTCTTAGGACAGGATATAATGAGCTTGTAGTGGCGATGCATTCATGTATCTCCATATATCTTAAAATATGTGTTGGTTCTAACGTTTCATCCACAAACACACGCTCTCCCTCTTGCCCGCTGCATGAAGTTATCAACCTCCCATAATGATTAAAAAATTAGCAATTCATAACAGCTCTGATACATTTTATTAAACCATAGCAGTATTTACAATGTACAATCACTGAATTGTTCCATGTCAAGACATATTCAAAAGTGCTTCTTTAAAAGTAAAATTTTGTTCTGAATAAATAAAAGCTTCCATTTTTTGACAACACAACAACAAACAACAGTAAAGCTGCAAATGTGCTCATCACAATACATGACAAAATGCTGAGGTTTTACTGTAACACTGCTACAATACTCCTTAGTTCATTTATAAAAGCTCACATTGCAGCAGCACAATGAAAATACCATGCATGGACAGGTAAACAAAAGGAAAGACAATCCTGACCTGATGCAATGTTTTGTGTCCCATCAGAGGAGAAAAATTAAATAAGTGGTTTTCTTCTCTGCATCACAAAAAAAACCCCTCCTGTCTTGTCTTGGAGGCAAAAAATTTCCCCACTCACGGCAGTCTGCTGTCTTTCAAAGATGAGTCCAGCAAAGACTCCAGTTTGATTTAAAACAGAAACGTCCAGGGCCGTGCCGCCTGCCGGGGATTAAACTCCCACACAGCTGATTGCTGACAGTACGTCCAACAGGATTTTAATTTCACAACATCACAGAGCGCTGACGGGGGGGCAGAGTCGACACAGGAGGTCAGCGGCTGATGGGGAGCTGTGGTAACGAGAGGGACGGGTGGGTCAGGTGGCCTGGAGCAGCGAGGACGGAGAAGGGATGGGCTGCGTGAAGAAGAAGGAGAAGGACATGAATTTATAATTCATGGTTTAAATCAAAGTAAAAAAAACATAAAGATAAAGAAATGAAAGAATTTAAATGATGAAGGAGGCATAGAGGAAGATTTTGTCCTTAGAAATAAACAAGTGAAGAGGAAGTAGTCTCTGTTTTTCCGTAGTTTGAAACCACTTCTTAAATGTCTGCCAGAAGAGACCTCCTTAAATCTTAAAACACCAACTCCCTCCATCCTTGGATTGAAAAAATTTAGACAACAGAAATATCTTCCAGCTTTTTGCACTATGAAGTTCTTATTTGAACTCAATTGCCTACATTTCATATTGTAATGTTTTCTTTAACCCACCCATACAGCAAAACAAAATTCAGCTTTACTTTTAACGTGATATTTTAATATTTCCTACAAGCATTTTATTTTTTCTCACTTTATTTATTTTAAAGAAAAAACAAGTTTTATTACTGGATGTGAAAAACTCTATTCCAAGAAAAATCCTTAATTTAATATAATGAGGAAGTAAAAGAAAGTTTGATTAGAAAATGCTATTTAGTTATTAAACATAGTGTTTGAAAAGTATTCAAGCACTTATGATGTTTTTAACCTCTTTTTGGTTATTGCCAAGGCCTGTTTGCAGCTGTTTCAAACATGGAGACTGTAAAAATAGTAAAAATAGTTTTGTTGTGAAATATTTAAATGAGCTTCATCGGTGTCACAGCTACAGGAACTACTAGACAAAAGAATTAAGAAAAAAGTGCAAATTTCAATCTGAATGTAAATCAGTGTCAAAGACTCATGACTTTAAAAATGCTCTTAACACTAAGGCTTGACACTTACTGTCCAGGTACCCGTGCAGGGCGAGGAGATGTGGTCGGTCTGGGCTGCTGAACGGTGAATAGTGGATATCGTCTGGCAGCGATGGGGGCATCCTGGTCAGCAGAGCACTCTGAGAGAAGCTGCTCTGGGGAGGCTGCTTTTTGTGCCGCGCTCGGCAGTTCTGAAACCAAACCTGAGAGAGATACCACAGTGGTGGAGGTGAGCATACTGCGAATAGAGGACAACAAAGGCTACAGCAGATTGATTGTAGTCCTTGTCACCAAACCCAGTTATGTTTCTTTGTAAGATGACAGAACAGTGGTGTGGGGGCCTTTGATTTTAATTTAGTTTGTCACTGCCGTGTTTGATTTCTCATTTCAGTTCTGTACTCATATCAGCTTCATATACATGTTTGGCTGCTTTGAGATTATTTCTTAATCAGAATAATTCAAACAATTAAAAAACAGAGTAATTCAACATGAGCAGTTGTGTCCCTTTATGGAAAGCACTATTGCACTGTAGTTGCTTGTTTGTTCGTAAATCTAAGATTTTGGTCTCACTAAACGAGTAAAGCACGCATATAAATGACATTGGGTTATTTTAAACCACTCAAAAACATTCAGCTGGAATATTTTGATGTTTGACAAAGTCTCCTCTTTTGATATTGATACTTATTTTTTATAGTCAAATTTCATTAATGAATCTTTTCACAATTTTAAGGAGCGCATATTATTTTAAATATTATATTACATTATCAAATTATTAGAGAAAATAATCAGCACAGTGATCTTTGATTTATATGATGAAACATCTATCCCAGCATTAAACAGCTTCTCAAATGAGCTCTTCTCCAATCCGGTGCATACTTTTACCGGATCATTCAAAATAGAAAATGAAATAAAGAACGGACATATTGATCAGTGAAAATTTGACAAATGACAGGACTCTCCCTGATACACATTTGTACTCTCTGAGTCACATTTGGAGTCTAAGTCTGAGTTCACAACACTGTCGAAAGTGGAGGATAAATCAGGCAATTTTATAACAACAAAGAGCTGTTCAGTGTTACTTCACTCTAGTTTTACTATGATCAAATGGATTTATTCTCTAAATTCACAAGGGGGTTCAGTCTTCAGCTCCAACTTCATGCTTCATCTGAGTCAAAGCCTCTTCATTCAGTGGATGACCTCATTTCCTATCAGCAAGACTACGGCCCAAGCTCATCTCTAACAACATGCAAACACAAGTTGAGACTAGTGTGATAGGCAAGTCTCTTAAATGCATGTCTTACTGGGTCTGAAGTTAGTGCATTAAACCTAAAATTAAACTGTCTCAGCCTGAAGCACAAAACTACTGGCTGATCAAATCAAGTACCTGAATGTGTCAGGGGTATCTTACAGAGTTTAAGTGTTGGAAATGGTCTAAATGTGGAGTTCCTCATGTCACTCAAAAGAGAGTTGGTTAACACATGTTGCACAATATTTAAGATCCTTTAAATCAGGTGATTTCAGAAGGACAAACTGGTGGGTGAGGCCCTATAAACTGGTCGTGATCTCGGATACCACAAGTCGTACTGATTTCCATAAATGATTACACATTATTGTTGTGAACTGCGGGGGAATTGATCTGGATTCAGGAGGTAATTTTCTACAAACACGTGCACACATTCAGGAGAATTGAATGCCACATAAAAGGGTATTAGGTATTTGTTTTTCAAATGTTTTACAGCTTTGGACATTAAAAAAAATAGCAGTTTTTCTGTATTTTCCCAAACCTCTTACGTGGTTGAGCTGATTAGAGAAATTTGAGGTGCAATTATCTGTTTTTGAATAGTTTCATTTGAAGAGTATTTCCATATTTCACAAGGAAATCAATAACAGATGAGTGAACTCTAAAATTCCAAGTATAACATATTTTCTTCTTCTATTCATCATCTCACAGCTTCTTCAAGGGTCTAAACTCTGAGGATGGGGACAGTTGTGTTATCTCATGTCTTATTACCTCCTACCTGTATGACTCGCCTGCTCAGTCCCGTCATCTCCGCCAGCTTCTGCAGTGTCTGAGCGTCAGGGTTGTTGTCCTGAGCGAACTGGGTCTGCATCACCTAAACCCACGCACACATACTGATGTTATGAAGCAACAGGTACAAACACACCCAGACATGTATATGATAAAGCAGAGTCTACCTGTAGCTGTTCGGCTGTAAAAGATGTCCTCGCCCTCTTGGCAGGTTTAGGTTGGCAGTCCTGATCAGAAGGCAGTGCCCCCTCCAGAGTCAGTCCTGTCCCTTTAAGAGAGCATGATCACAGCACCCATTATACTGTGAAATTACACAAAACTACATAGTTATAAGTTTACAGGCTGGTCTTGTTGCAGCCCCAGACTGTGTCACAAAATTGAACATTTGTCCAAACAATCCCTGCAGCAAAATTAAAATGTTTTCCTGCCAACAACCGCAGAGTCCAAAGTATTTTTATCACCACGGCCCACATTTCCCCACTGACAGCACAGCAGAAATCAGACTCCTGCAGATACTATCAGTGTCATAATACAAGAAATAAGTTTAATATGAATTTTAGGATTAAGATAAACCACAGGCTGCTTCAATGTCTGTTTCTACCTCTGTCTCTCTCTGCTGATGTTTTCTAACTAGAGGTAGGAGGTATAAATATTTTGGGATAGTAATTAAGCAGAGTTGAAGCATCTGGACTTCATATGAGCATCTATTTTCGGGGAACTTTTACCTATCCTCCTACATTAAAACACAAACACAGTCTACCGTCTTACTTAAAAACAGATTGATAACAAAAGTTTTAATGTACTCATGAAGATTATTGATAATTGTAAAAATGTCATTGCGCGCCGCCTTCCCAACATCAGCCTGATTCTGACTATCCAAGCAGATCCAACTTAAACTGATTTCAAGCAGAGAAAATGTTCCTTTTGTTGGATGCACTGTTAGTTATTGTAAGTATAGTTTTGTTTACTTGAAGGATTTCAGCCTGATAGTGTCCCAGATATGATGTGAGTTACAATAAGAACAGAGATAGCCTGTAAAAATGTCCCTCAGAGGGTAACTGTTTACTCCTGATGTGAGTAGAGCTTGAGCTTAAACTTAGTTTGGTGAAGGAATGTCATGGTGGGGTGAGGGGTGGGGGGTATCATACCTTGGCTTTATCCTTATTTAAAACAGCCTCTAAAGCCTCTTTGTCTGAAATTTTAAAGTGAGTACAGATCCAGTTTTACTAAAAACTGAACACTAAGACCACTAGAATCTGCTGTTCGATGTCTCTCTGCATCCGAATATCAGGAAAGGTCCTTCGTCTTTTTATATTTTACTCAGCAAGTTGAACGAATCAATAAAAACTGAGTGTATAACATTTTGTCCTCCAGGATAGGTTAGCTACTATGATAATAAAGGCTAGAGCTCGAGTGATCAAGAAGTACCAGATCAGTTTTTGAGACTCTTACTTATCCGAGCACAGCCATTATAGCAAACCAGGGGTTGTGTTACCGTTCTCTGCAGCCCTGCGCAGGTTGTCCAGCATGATGTCGTAGTGACTGCGGCAGAGCACTCTGCCCTCCACCAGGCCGAACTCTTCCCCGGTGGACAGCTGCCTCTTACAGGAGAAACAGGCAAAGCACGCCAGGTGGTACACGCTGCCCCGGGCTCGCCGAACCCAGTCACTGGCGAACACCTGCCGGCCGCACTGAGCACACTTCGTGCCGAACCTACTGTGAGGAAGAGGAAACAAGCGGGTGAGAGTGGACTGCAGGCCACTGAGATAAGAGTGTCCTGATAAGATGTGCAAGATTTAATGTTTAGCATCTGTTTGGCAAATCTGAGGTCATTTTTGTTTAATTTCACACTCTGATTAGAATTTCAGAGTATGTAGTTATTTTTAATTTTTATCTCACATGAAATTTTGTGTAGTTTCTTGTATACAAACTGTGCACTTTGTTATGCCGGCACGTCAGACTTCTGCTGAACTTGCAAAATATCTATTTTTGTCTACTATTTCTGCATTATGTACGTTTACTTCATCTAAAGCCCCTGCCTTCTGTATAAATGTAACAATGCAGTCTCTTTTAATAATATCTGAATAACACAGAATGCAATAATTGTTCCATCAGCAGGTATGTAGCCCAGCCTGTAAGGTGAAACCCAGGGCAGAACAGTTCACCAGCTATCCACTGTTGCTTGTTTTTGGGTCAGAAAGCCCTGCTGTATGACTTAAGGCTATGTTGATAAGTACTTCTTGATGTAATTAGACTTTGACCCAACCAGACTTCACTATTGCTGCTACAGAAGAAGACACAGAGTTTAATTCTGGACAAGGAAAAGGGGAGGAGAAATGCATTGTATTTTTTTTTCTTTTGGACCATTTTCCATGTGTTAATATTTAAACATTACAAGCTAAAAATTGTGAGCTCCACAGATCTGCAGGACCGCTATATGTGATAGTTACTCTGTAAAACAGTTAATTTCATATTTGTTGAGAGCATCTGTATTTTATTTCCATCTCTGACTCGATGTGAGACCTTCGGTGGAATAGTAGCTACAGTCGATTTTTTTCACCGTTGGGATCAGGCTCTCATACAACAGTCTGATTAATACAAACACAGGAACATTGATGGGGTCTTTTTGTGTCAGACAGACTAATGATCAGTGAGCAATATTAACGTGCAGTTAAAACAGGTGAAAACTACGTTCAGTGATTTACAGCATGTGCAGAATAATGTTCAAGTCTCTGAGTATTAAATTCAGCTTTTGGGAAATTAAGTCATAATTTCATACATAATTTCATATCTATTTATCAAAACAAAAGATACTAATAAAAAAATAACCGAAAAAAATAAAAAGGATATTTTATCAAAAAAGAAAAAAAAAAAGCGCAATAAAACGATAAATCACTCAGCAGGCCACATCAGCAGCGCAGACACAAGTAGGTGTGCACATTTTCCAAACGCTCGTATTTTTAGTCTTTCTGTTTTTCCTCGAGGATTATTGATATACTTCATTTTTATGTGAACAAATGCAACAGTAACCATGACCTGGACTTAAAATAAAAGGATGAACACTGAAGGTTTTTTTATTATTCTTTGAAAGGAAACTAATGTAGCCGGTTAGGACCAAAATGATCAAAGGAAACATTCAGATTACTTGACGTTAAAAATAAAAAGTTTTACAAGCGATAGGAGTTAACATCAATTCGACAATCAAAGAGGCCTCTTCTACATATGATGATCGAAAAATAGAAACTAAGCTTATTTCACATTTTCGTATAATTCAGGCCTGACCTGTGAGGATAAAAAAAAACATTCTGAAATAATGTGTTTTGAATTTGCTTCATTAGGATTAAAATGTGTCTTTTTGTTTAAATAAATCAAATGTTTCCTGTTATTAATGATCTGTTTGGAGCTCCCGAAATCAGCAAACGGCTCAAACAAAAGGTAAACATCATGCTCTTACCTAAAATAATCCAGTTTGCAGAAGATTTCCTTGTTTTTGACGTAGCAGCTGTTGTGCTGGCGCAGAGACGCTCTGCACACCGAACACTCCAAACAGCCCAGGTGCCAGTTCAGGTTGTTCACCTGTGCAGACACACGATCACAGATGCAATTCACTGACACCGAAGCGTTTCTACACACCTTCAACAAGGTGCAAAATTTTTATTTTTTATTTATTTTTATTTCAAATTATTTTAACACTTTAACATTCAGTGCAGAGAGTTTGTCTGAAATTCGCTCACAAAATGACCACTTTTGCGCTTTTAAGTTTCGACTATCGTATGGATTTATGATGCTTAAAAGTTTGCCTTCACTAAACTACAAGTGGAAGTTAAAGTTTATGTCCAGTATTTTATCACAACCTCAAACGTGTCTCGTGGTTTGTCACCTTGAGCAGGTAGCGGTCGTGGATCTCCAGGCCGCAGCTCGCGCACTGGTTCTTGGCCGCCGGAGGAGAGCAGAGACAGGCGGCCTCCGACGGACTGCACTCCCCGGACTCCTTCTTCACCTCCGATTTAGACTGAGCCAAAGAAGACGAGTTAATGCTAAAGTAGAGATGAAGTTTCATCGCCTTTCACAGATAAGTTCTTCTTTTTTCTTCTTCAAGATTTATGCAGGAAAAACAGCCCGTTTCAAGCAGTGGGTTGATTTCAACATGAGAGTCGAGTCTTGTTAAAAAAGGGCCTCTATAACAAAATAAAACTTTGTTTTCTGCATATTGACATACTATTTTTTTTCCATAATCCAACAGTTTAGTTTCATTCCAGTTTTATTTGGTCTCCTTTTCTTAACATTAGAATAACCTCCGTTTACAATATTTAACTGATCAGCTCAACTCCGTATGTTGGTAGTTGATAAATAAAATTTCACGGTTTTCACTCTCAACAGCATCCCTGCTCGTGAACGCACAGCCTTTCCGTGTAGTCTTGCGCCAAATCCAGAGTCCTGCGACTACAGCGCTTGAACAAACTTTACCAAGAGAGCAACAAGAACCATCAACGAAACCTTAAATGGATTCTTTAAAAAAATAATAATCAAGAAAATCAAAAGATTGCACACCAAACCAGCCCAGATGTTTGTGACTCACCATTTTCGGATCTTGAACGTTGCCTATTTGGAGAGAAGATGGAGCTCGCGCTGCGCATTACGCATCTCTGCCCCAGCCCACACTATATCCGGTCCAAAACAACGAAGAACAGTTCCCCCTGCATTTAAACCCTGGCAACAAAAGACATTTTGATGCAATTAGAAGAAGAAAAAACCCTATATCTGATCGATCATTCCCCTTCGTGCGCACCGGGAGGCTGTATTCCCATGCAATCAAACGCAGTGAAAAGAAAGGATGACACTATATCTGCAATTAGCGCTGGATTGAAATGCTGCTTGATAAGTGGCGCCACGAGTGTCAATTTCATCTGGCAATCAAAAATAAGAGAAAAAAAAACTCACAACCGAGCCACCAAGCTAAGAGAGAAAAAGCGGCGCATCCTAATTTCAAAAGCTGTATAATCGAAAATCGAAAAATCTCCAAAGTGAAGAGGCTCAATTGGAGATCGGTCTATTCACAACAGACAATGTGCAGAAACTGCAGCTGATCTCGAGGCATAAAGGAGCTTGATTGTCTCGTGCTCATGATGGACCCATTTAAGCACTTGAGGCTCCCCTGTGTGATTACAGCTGCATTCACAAAGTGCCAAAAAATCTGCGTTTGGGTGGCAATCCGGAGTCCGTGTTGTCCTTCAGCTTGTCGAAATTAACAGGAATGCAGTGTGATGTTAATTACCAGCTACGGTATAAATATTGGAGGCAGCGACAGAAGAAGAGATGTCCTATAAGAAGAAATAACATATACTTCATACATGGAGAACCTTCCCAGAGCAGCGAAACCATCGTCCAGTAAAAGTTTTCCCAGAACATCACGGCAAAATATCCACATAAATCCGTCAAACATGGTCCTGTAAACAAGAGTTCTTCTTTGCTTTCTCCTTAATAATCCAACTTATTAACGCTGTGTGATCAAACTACAGTGGCACCTCCCAGACCCAGCACTGCTGTGGTTTCTTCTCTCCGCCTAGACTCAGAGTTTACTCCCAGTTCAGGCAGACAGGATGTGATGCTGCAAAATGGACCTGCACGACTAGTTTAGGAGGCTCTCTGAAATATGGCATGGTCTGTTCAGTGGGTAAAAAAAGTAAAAGTATTCTGTCAAGTGACCTGAGTTTGTGGTTTCTGATCAGACCCCAGATTAGTTTTACCACTTTATTGATATCACTCATCTGTGCTGATTCTGACTGCAGATTGTAAAGGATAGCCTGTTGATGTCCGTGATATGCAACTGGATTTCCAAAGAAGAAATGGCTTTATTCTTTCTGAGGAACATGTTTGTTTGTTGAATAATTTCCCTGATTTTAAAACCACATAAATCAAGAGGAGATGTTCAATACAGGGCTCCCCCTCTGCATACCAGCTGTGAAGAAAATAGCCTATTCTTAAAAGGGGTTGTGGTATTAAAAATGGAGGGCAAATCAACATTTTTGTTCTATTTGTGATTTCAATAAGACAAAAAGCGACAACAATACATTTTTGTGATGTACAAATTAAAAAAAAATATTGGAGTGACATAAAATTTTCTTTTTCCTCTGAACTTCAGGTTTGTTTCCATCCTTCTCTCTGCACAAGTTTTGATCTGCTGTCATCTAGAGCAAATATTGACAATACAGCATGAGAGGTAAGTCTTAAATTATTGAATAAAAATGTCAATTATACACACAAAAAAATAATAATGAACTGGTTTTAATTTAAATAAGAATTTAATTTTCAGTATTCCACAAAACTGTGGTTGACATACAACATCAAGATAGGCTGATTAATAAGGCTCATTTATGGCATTTTGATATAATCAGCATTGTATCAGTATTGGTCTTCAGTCAACGCTGATTTTACCTCCATCTGAAGGAAAATTATGTTTCTCATTCTCCATTAACAGCATATCAAATTTAAAACAGCTTTTAACTTGTGTTTTAATACTGTATTGTATCATCATAGTTAGCATTATCAGTAATATCAGCCATGTAGAGCAATCTGTAGCACAACCCAATACTCCTGTCTTTCCATTGATTTATTTAAAAGCCATTATCAATTTGTTACTGGCTAAGACAACCATGCAGTTTAGACTTTAATATGTATGGATTAAAGAATCTGGACTCGACTTTTTATTTTGATCCCACAATGCAATTGAGTTTTCTGTCTTACCTAAGTTAGATTGATGAACAGGAATCCAAAAGTTTGATGTGGTAATGTTGTATTGAACCAGATCTTATTTCATCCCCAATTATTTGATTAAATATTCACTCATTTTTTTGTCATAGTAGTATTATTATTAGCAGTATACAAAAAAAACAAAACACCTTTTTCTGCGCTATGTATCTGCCATCGGCCAGCCTGCTTTCTCATAATCAGTATCGACACTGGTCACTGAAAAACTGTAATTGGTAGTCCACTGTACAGCATGTCAGAGTGGTCCATGTAGACTTAAAACTTATGATGTGGCTGTTTTGGAGAGACAGCAAGATCTAAAGGTGGCTAACCGCATGCCACAAAGTGCTTATGCAGGGTTCTGCAGCATGTCACTGGTTGATAAAACGGCATGCCTACACACATTTTTCATCTAACGTAAGTGTCTGTTGACCATCGACATTCCAGAGAACCACTATATTGTATTCTGAGCTGATATTCAGTGATGAGACGGTAAAGCTTTGCCATGAGACTCCAGACAATTGAGTCTCTTCTTTTTCTTCTTTTTCTTCATCTTCTTTTTCTTATTGTTGTTGTTGTTATTCTTCTCTTCTTCTTCTTCTTCTTCTTCTGTCAGTGGTTGCAGCCTGCAGCTACTTCTTAGTACCTTTTATATTATCACTGAACTCTTGCAGAGAAGGAATAAAATGACTCAAGGGTTTCCACCAAATCATTGACACTTTAATTCTTATTGATCACTGGAAAAAAGCATCTCTAACAGCAGGAGGACATTGTCTCAGTCTCTTTGTATTGTCAGTGTGTAATTCACTTCAGCGGCTCTGTGCATTAACAGTAATTACCAAATGGAGAGGGGTCGGCTGTGAGTGTGTCGGTCAAGAAGAGGGAGGACTCAAAGAAAGGAAGACTGTTATTTCACCTCCATTCTCACTTTCAGTGCTACTTTAGGAGGGTTTTTGAGTGATTTCACCTTTTTTTTTTTTTGACCAGGGATGGCTTCTCCATGCCTTCTGAAGAAGTCTACCACCTGTGATATTGCTGTGAGAGCTTTTTAAACCGTGTTGACACTGCAGTTTACAACTACATGAAAAAACCTCCAAAATATTTTGGGTCTATATACACCTATATACGTCCATTTACTTAGTTGCTCTGAGGCATTTTGAGTCTATCCCTTCATGCTCAATCAAAAAGCGCTCTTTTTATTGTTTCTTTATTGTAGAGTAAATTTTGAACATTATCAGAAAACAATCAGAAACCAGGACCATTGAATAATAACTCTGTTAAAGTCAAGTATAAAAGCCCACATGCTTATTTACTCTTTGATGATCAACACACTGATGACAATTCATAAAAAAGCAGCTGCATAACCTCAGGCATCTGTTTTGCCTCAACTCACCCTACAGCACTTCCTCTTTGAAGATCAAGAGCAGGAACCTCCTGACAGTATCTGAGGATGGATCCCCTTTTATATCCTTCACAACTCTGCAAAATGTGTGAATGTCAAAACACAGCCACTCCGCATGTGTGTGTCCTGTAGCCCTGCCCTTCCTCCAGCTGTCCAAGATCCACGCAAACAATGAGTGACCAGCACACCTCCTCATTAAAAACAATCTGTGCCACATGCTAAAGTCATTAAGACTCATCCAATGGGCCCCAGCGGACAGTTTGATGGCTGGTACGTCAACAGTGTATGACGTCTGCTGGCTGTGGAGAAGTAAAAAGGTTCACATGAGGGCAAAATCTCATTCAACCAGCGTCAAGGTGGAGTCCTTTAGTCATAACTGAACAACAATGCTTGTATAACATACCGCCCTTTATGCAAGTTTAATATAAGCTGCTTCTGTGGGTAATTTTAAGCACATTAGGTTAAAGGATCATGATGTTAAAAAGCCAAATGACTGCAAATGATGGCTAAATAACCTCAGTGATTCTTCCTGAGCTTCATGTTAGAAGTCATTGCTTTTTTTTTAGATATTTACAAAGTTTGGCAGAATGTTCTGAAGTAGTTCCATCAGATTTAGGGTTGAATTTCTCACAAGCTTTATAAGAAGAAATACACAAATTTCTTATTGAACAAACTTCTTGTTTTACTTGTTCAATTATTCTAAATTCATACCTCTAATAGCCTAACTTCTGTAGTTGCAGAGGTCTTTGTCGGCACCATCAGTCTCTCTCAACTGGATATCCTCGGGCTGCTAATTCAAGTGTTGCAGTGCAGACAGTTTGTGTTGCCACATGTGGAAGATAACAAAGATGATGAGGATGAAGACGAAGGCTGTCAGACCGATTTGCATCAGCGCTGTAAGTTTGTATCTTGACTGTACAGTAAGATGCTTTTGTTGACAATACCTGTAATTTGAGATTAAGCTGTATTCTAATATTTTGAGATTGTGGATTGTCTATTTTTGTGAGAAGTGAGCAACAATCATCAAGATTTAAACAAAAATAGACCTGAAATACTTGAATTATGGGACAAAATGGACCTTTTCAGGACATTCTGATTTCGTGAGTTGAACCTGTGTGTCTACCAATGCGACTTCATGCTATGAACTTTGGGTAATAGAGTCTCTTCTCCCTGTAGGAGTTGCTGCACCTGCAAACAGTGAAGCCCTCCTCACAAACTCTTTCAATCACAACTCCCTGATAACTGAGGGTCAACGTCACTCTGCTTTTCTCATGGGTCACAACTCTTGTTTTATCTTCAGCAGCTTTCTACTCATAATGAAAAGGTACCTCATAGATTTTCCATCATCATTTTTATCAAATTTATCTGACGCCCAACAGTAAAACAAACATTTGTCCCTCTGACAATGTTAGTTCAACTGTACTCTCTTCAAAACAGCAGACAGTCACAGCTACAAACAACAAAAATTACATTTTCTGGTAAATCAACAAAGACCACATGTCCATAATGGTAAACTTCTCCCCTTGTTACACAGAGCTCTACTTCTTCTCCAGATAGAGCCAACTAGAGGATCAATCGTGAGCTTGACAAAGCCATAAAGCATATTTCAGGATAGTGATCATAAATTCGAGAAGATGTCAGGCTGAATTAAACAAACGTTGCAAACAGGCATGTATACACAGACACATGCACACAGTGTATTTTATCTTTTTTGTCGTGTTTGTCTTGAATCAGTTTTAATCCATTTGTTTGTTTAGTTTTTCAAACACAATTTAAAACCCTAAACAAATCAGGAGCTGCAGATTAGCATCAGATTGATGCTTTTTTTTATCACATCTGCATTACTTATTCATCTTTAACAATGCTGTTGGTCTGTGTTATGTTCAATAAGTTTGTGATTTTAAGATTATGTGGTGAAACATGAACAGCAGTGTCTTCTCCTCTTCAGAGGTACTCTTGCTTTCAGGTTTTGATTTTTTCAAACTTTCAATTCGCTGCACTTGACAGCAGATCTTTTGGTGAATGGGGCAGATGTGATTCATGATTCCCACCTCTTTGTTTTGGCTTGGGTGCATGTGAAGTGAGTATCACCGCAAAGCCATGCTACAGGGACGGCTGAAGCTGTGCTGGGCACGCTGACCGAAAGAAAAATGTTTGGAAATAGGTGGAGCGAGCCCTAAACTTCACACTTTGGTCTTATCTTGTTTCTGTAGAGTGTCTACCATTGTTGTCCATTTGAATTTATCGAGAGTCTGCGTGACATAAATGATGGCTGAAATGGCCAGCACAGATGAAAGGTTAAAGTATTTAAAATGATAAGTTTGACGTAGATTTCAGTGGTGAAAGAAAGCAAATAAGACTTAGCTAGAACTTAGCTAGGTAATGAAAGTAGTCAAGCTTAATGTAGCAACTCCAGTTTAAACAGCTAGCTTAAAGTAAGATAAAAACAGCTGAAAGTAGAATAATGTCAAAATACAGAGCTAAAATCAGTGGATTAACTGTTGTGTTAAAGTATTAAAAAGCAGCTGGCTAGATAAATGTAAAAATACAGAGCACAGCATAAACACATGTACAGAAATAAGCTAACATCAATAGACTGAAATATTAGCAAATGGCAGCTAATACAAAAATATTTAAAGCTCCAGTGAGGAGGAGCTCACAGGAACTTTAAATAGGTGTGAGGGGGTAGGTCTGACACCACCCAGTTTTTAGAATTACCACATTAAATATTCACAATAAATAATATATTTGACTGTAAAGAGTCAGCAGGATAAGATTTTTGTCAGAAGATAATTTTTGAATGCGTAGAGGACAATATAAGCAAAGACTGCTTTGTCCACTGGGGGCACCAAAATTTTCACAAAACTTAAATTTCGGTATAGGAGCTTTAAAGTGAAAGTAAATAATCAAACTGACAGTTTCAGGTATAAGAAAATAAGTTCAAATAATGACCAAACAATATTTTTAAACAATTTGGATTAATGGAAAAAAAAACTCAGAAAAAGTGACCGATGGGACAGACAGAAGTAGACCCATATGCAAACTTGTTCGTAGCACCAAACACTAAACATGAAATAGTATGAAGACAGGTTTTAAATGATTGAGAATGTAAAGACACTAGAACAATAGTTATCAGTTTACAATCTGTATTCTAGCATAAAAAACGATAGATGGCACATTTAAACGTGCGCATAAAAACCAAAGATTTGTCAGAAGGACTAACTTCTGAGGCTGTGAAGAAGCACATAAATAATAAATTAAAAACACCTGAGACAGGCTCCAAATGTGTGTTTGCCCAAGGGAGCTTGTTTTAGAATTATTTTGAAGACTTCCCATCCAGCAGCGTCCAAAATTCAACAGGCTGCATCCACTCTGACATCAAACCCATCTAGATTACAGTCCTGCAGCCAAGCCTTCAACAAACAAAGGAAATGGCACATTACACCATCCCTCTCTCTGAAAAAGTTGCACAAGACAGAAAAAAACCCTCTACAGTTATTTAACAAATACAAGTTTATTTGAAGTACAGACAAGGAAAAATGAAGGGCTTTTTTTTTCCAGAGCTTGCACTCCATATGACAGCAATTTGGGGGTATTGTGTATTTTGGCCTGAGCATGTGGTCCATGATAGATGACAGGAGAGAAAATCACGAGCCGCTGGCTTCAGCACAGACATGCAAATTGCTTTCAGCTGATTGCAGTATTCTGCTTGATATTTATCAAGTGGATTACAGTATGCCTCTTTAAGCTGGAGGAAGCAGCTGATCAATTCCTCTGAAGGAAGGAAGAAAAGACCTGATGTGTTTTTCCTCTGCTAGGTGAAAAAAGAGACATTTCTTAGGGCCAGTGTGCTGTTAGATATTGAAATGTGAACTGATACTTATCTTGCTTCACCTCACCAAAAAAAAAGACAATCTGATGTTTGTGGAATATCCCAAACCCACCTACTCATTTTGGTTTAGGATGAAACTGAGTGATCATCCTAAATTCATCCTAAAGTGTACGAGTGTTTGCACTTTATGCTGCAATTCCTCAATTCGTTGTGGAATTGCATTGTGTACCCTATACAGTGATGCCAAAACCACATGTTTCAAATATAAAATGAGATTTATTGTTTGAAGGTCATTATTTTTGGCCTCTACGTGCCTTTATTGAGACTGTGAACACAGTTGAAAACAGGGAGGGTAGGAGGAGTTTTTTTAAACACATAACCCTCAAACAAGAAAGGATTTTTTTGAGCTGTATATTTTGTACCACAGAGGTATCAGGCAGTCTTGATGAGATGATCAGACAAATAGGGCAAGTGTCACCCTGTGTCGCCCACTACCTTCCACCGTGATGAACAGAGACTGTGCTGTAGGTCTTGGCATGATATGTATGCTTAGCAAGGTTCATCCATGCAGGCCGAACACATAGTAGGTGCTGATTTGTTCAAAGTGTCTAAGGGATAGTGTAGAGACCGTTTTACACCCGTGAAACATTAGAGATAAGAGACTTTATCAAAGTCAAACAGCGGCCCAGAGACCAGCAGCTTTTAGAAAATATCCACACTATAAAAGTTTTTATTTGAATTTTATTTGAGTAGTATACTTAAAAAATTATGTCCTAAAGTACATTTTATTGACTTTGTTGGTTTCCAAATGGAAGCACTAGTGAGAATTGCTTCACATCATTAATCAGAGTGTAAAATAGATTTGTTGTGTAAAAGCGGAATTAGAAACAGGGGATCCAAGTAGTTGCCTTTAACTACTGAAATGCTATGATTAATTGGGATTAAAAAGATTAATTGGCAGCCCTAAAAAACACATAAATCTTACTAAATACATTTGTCAGCACTTCATATGTTGTCTGTGCATTTTTTGCTACTTAAATAAAAGTTTTTAATGATTCACTAACCATCAAAATCCATCTTTATCAACATTTAACTCGGTGTCCCCACTTTAAAAGCGTTATGTGACTCAATCTTGCCCTAGATCAGGATCCAGGTCTGTACTTTGGCTCCAGATACATTTGAAGACTCAGATTATGTTCTCTTAATCAGGTAACAAGCTCCAGGAGGAAAATTACCTCCTTCCGACCACTCGCACTCACCTGCAGTGACCCAGAGCAATCAGAGGTGAAGGGGGCTCCTAATCACGGAAAACCCTGAAGGTCAGTGCATGCACACCCTATCCTGGCCCACCCAGCCACTCTCTAAAGGCCAAAGCGGAGTTCAAGTGTTTAAACTGTCATATCAAATAGGCTCGACATGGAGATTACTGTGCAGGAAGCTTTGTGTGTTTAGTTTGATGCCGACTGCAATATCCTGCTGCTCCGTTGATCCCAGCAGCTCTGGGTGGAAAGCAATTGAGTTGAGCTGTGTCAAGTAGAGGTGGATGATGCCAGGCATGCTCACACTCAGGTCAGCAAGGAAAAGTGTGGAAGGTGGGTCACGAAACAAAGGGGTGCTTTAGCAATAGATCTATAACCTGGAGCAGAACCAGAGCTCTCTCACTGTTTGTTTTGATAAGGGAAGCTCGGGTCGTTCAGCAGGACTGTGTAGGGGGGAAACAGACAGAAACATCAGTGGCACAATACAAATTTATAAATCCTGAGACAACTGATGATGGCTATGCTTGTGTTTATGTTACATGCACTTTTACCGCTCCAGGCTTGGAGCATATGCTCTATAAATGTTGTATGTGTAAAAAAAAAAAAGCGGCTCTATTATAGTGAGGAGACTTTGTGTTTTTCTATGGTGAACTGTGCCAGCCCTCTGACAGCTGATGAATGAGCTAAAACTTGGTCCACCCTCAGATCTCTGATCATTTGCAGCATGCAGAGCCCTGCAAAAGCCTAAAGACTGTGAGACCTGAACTCTTCCAGTGAGACATTAAGTAGGCCTATTGACTAATAATTTGTTGAAGGTGAGCAAATTAACCCCAGTCAGCGCAAAACAGGCTCCAATCCAAAGATTAGGAAGGGTGTTTTTTACATCCTGGAAAATAAAAACAAGCATAAGATTTTCATCTGCAGGCTGTGACAAAGTGGCACAACTCAAATCTATATTAAAAGCTGTAGTTGTACTGTACAAATATGAATATTTTACTATAAAATTTGAGCAAAACAAGCAAGAAGAGCAAAAATGCAGAGCCACCTCACTGCTTTGGTCCTGAATAAAATACAATAGAAAGCACATATGTGAAGTTTGACAACGGGTGCAGTGTGCAGTATGTGTTCGCAGGTTGACTTAAAGTGCCCCATTCAGATCATGGACTGACTTCTCATGATGATAGGTCAGTTAAAGCTCCTTTGAGGAGTTTGTGATGTTTGAGAAATAAACTAAAATTCAAATTAATTTGTTTTCGTGTTATCCAAAACAAACAAGACCATCAATGAGAAGACCAATGATTTTTATTTCACCTTTTTAAATCCTGAAACTGGTGCAAGGGGGTAGGAGTTAGCTGAGCCGCTGAAGAAACAGACCTGTTTTTAAGATAAGATAGGATAAGATAAGAATAACTTTAGTAATCCCCAAAGGCAAATTCTGTTGTCTGTTGTCTCACATAATATGTCTCTAAAAGGTATCTACTATTTACACACGAGTTATAAAGTCTGATGGCTGTTGGTACAAAAGATCTTTTCAATCTTTCTGTCCTGCAGCGAAGAGAGAGGAGCCGTCCACCACCTTTGGTCCATCAAGGTGTTGTGAAGTGGGTGATCCATGTTCTTGAGAATAGTCTCCACCTTCCTCAGTGTAGATCTCTCCACCATATGCTCCACTGAATCCAGCTTGAGTCCAACCACAGAGCCAGCCTTTTTGTCACCACAGACTGATAAAACATCTGCAGCATCTTACTACAGATGTCTCTTGATCGGAGTCTTCTAAGGCAAAAGAAGCGGCTCTGCCCCTTTCTGTAGATGAAGTCTATATTCTTAGATTTACAGTTCCCATGTAAAATATTAAAAATTAATAAACCTTTGACGGTTTTCTTTGTCAGAGGTCTCGACTCAAGCATGTAAAGTACAGGATACACAAGGAGTTCTTCATCCACAGGGGGGCAGCAAACTTAATCTCAAAACCAAAAGTTCCTTATAGGAGCTTTAAGTTTGTTTACAGCATGTGATTATCAAACTCTCAAGAACTATTGATTGATCCGTAATGAACTTTTGGTGCAGACATTCATGGACTTTGCCAATCTTTTTTTAACTTAAAGAACTTGCATCAAACCGATCAACCAGCATCAAATCATAAAAGATTGTCTTGTGGTTCAAAGATTGTCTTGTGGTTCAGTTTACAGTCAATATTTCTCTTTTTTCAACCACATACTCATCCTCCGCTGTTTCCTCTGTGTATGACTCTGTTTAGATAATATTTGCAGTGTCACATACAAAGCTGATATGATCAACGTGTTAAAATCAGCATGTTTGCATTGTCACTGTGGCAGTATTAGCATACCGATGCTAGCAAGACTTTCAGTAGGAAACACTGCTCCTCTGAAGTTGTTTTAGGCTCTTTTAGAAAGAGATATGAATAAGTAGATTTGTTCACTTAAATACACAGAATTATCCATCTTACCAATCAGAATTAGGGTTTCAGATTTGAGCATGTGTTCATATAAAGGGAATTTGTTGGTTCTGTAGGTGCTCAAGTTCAGCTGAGAGAGACCTTGAGGGACAGCTGGGATCACCAGTCTCTGGCACTTGGCTACATTAAAAGAACTTACTCATATAGGCTAGTTTTAAGTCCACGTGTGCAACATGAGTAGACACGACAAAGGGTCATTTCTCCCTTTCAATCAGCAACTTCTTCTACAAGTTAAAAAAAAAATGATAAGGACCCTCCACTGTGATAGAAACCCACCCATGATCGGCCCCCCCTCCAGTGTACGCTGCTTTGTCAGTTGGATTGGCTTGCTCCAGGACTGGACGGGAAGTGTGCTAATCTGTAACCCGATCCAAGGGAAGGAAGAAGTCAGGAACCAGCCTTCAATGCTTTCACCAATCGTATTCATCACAGAACCGGGCCCAGGCTCATTTAGAGCGGGAGCACAGCTTAACTAAACATCTTCTCCATAAAATAAATGCTTCCAGGTTACTCCCAGTCCAGGTTCCTCTCACAGGAGCATCTGATCTCAATTACCAGGAATGTTGAAGGAAGCTGCAAGCCTGCGCCAACAGCGTCATGGCAACAAGCTGCACATCTACAAGCCCTGAGCAGATAGGAGTCGTTTCAGGCACTTGTAAGGCGGGAAACGATGATTTGATAATTAGTTCCCGATGCTTCTCATTCTCTTTCAAATCAATCATGTTTAGGAAACAGAAGAGGTTCAAATACAGTTTGCAGTTTGAAGCCACAAAGGGTGGTATCACGGACAGGCATGGTTGAGTGATATATGGATGTATGGGTGCCTGCACATCCAAACACAAAAAACTGCAAAGCACTGAAAAGAAGAGGGGGGAAAAAAATACAGCATTTGGGATTGATAGCTGTGAGCAAGTTTCAACCTCCCTTCAGAGTGAAAATATCTCAGATGTGGTCAACGAGTGTGCTTAAGCTGTTTCCAATATGGAGGGGTTTCAGAATAAGTTGTCTTTGCACTTGAAACTTCAAGTGTCCAGTTACAGCGTAAGAGGGGGACAATCAGTGTGTTGCATTCAAGTGCCTCCCCATTCAGTCCCACTTTTAAGATGAAAAGATGCATTTAAAATCGGAATATTCTTTACTCTATGGTGAAACCAGTGCTCTTTAGTGTTGCAGAGGAAAGTGTCTAACATTAAATTAGCATAAAATAATAGAAAACTATAAAGTTCTGCAAAGATTTCTTTCTTGTGCACACAAGATAGGAAGTTGTTCTGAAAGTGGTTGCTCAGCCTCCACTCTCTCGCTTGCTGTGTGTAATGTGTCGTCAGTCTTGTCACTCAAAGTCTTGTTTGCTTTTGTATAACGTTCAAATGCATCGGTATGAATTTCAGTGTATGCATTTAACCCTCACATACTGTTCTGGTCAAATTTGACCCGTTTTGACTTTTAACAGCAGTAAAAATACCCTAAACGTCATTCTTTAAGCCTGAAACTTGATGACTTTGCCTGAAATGGCCCAAAATACATGATATTAATTTAAAAATATTAATGTGTATTTTTGTTTATGTGGTACAGATTTTTCCCCTCTAAGGCTGTTAGGGGTCAAATTTGACCCGTATCTATTTAGATGGATTTTAGATCTAGCAGTGTGGGACAAGTGACAAGCAGTAACAACAGTGTTCAATATAAGGTTTGTTGTTCAAAAAGATATAATCAAATCATTATGAAACTATCATTACCCTAACAGAAACACACACACACACACGCACACACACACACACACACACACACACACACACACACACAGACATACACCACACAGACACACCTAGACAGAGGTCAAGATGACCTAATCAGTTACAAGAACTTTCTGTGACAGAAAGCTGCTCTTTGAACTCTTTGAAGGGGCAGGGGGATCCTTAAATATAGGAATAGTAAACAAACAACACATGAGTGATCAAAGATGGAGTACAAAGGGATCAGAAGTCATCCGGAGGTCAGAGTGTGCTTTGACACAGATGTAACATGTGCACCTGCTCCTGCAATATAATGTACAAAGTAACAAATTGGAATCTATTTGATTGGGAGGGAGGCGGTGAAAGTTGTAACATTATGAGAGTAGAGAGAGCGGCCATTTCAGGGCAAACACGTGTGCAAGATCCACTCATGTAAAGTGTCCTACCTTTGCTTTGAATGCAGAGACTAGCAGTGAGAACAGTGTTCAATATGAAGTTTGTTGTTCAATAAAATATATTCAAATTATTATGACTTTTATATTCTTATGTCTTACATATCATTAGATGACATATTTACGACGTTAACGTTTATACTGATTTTATACTTTTTTCTCCTTTTTCTCTATTCTATTTTAATTTTTGCTCAGCTGCTGCTTTTCAATTGCCCCTAGGTGATGAATAAAGCTATATTGAATTGAACTGAATTGAATTATCCTATGTAATAGATGTTCTTCTCTAAGATATATATATTTCACCAAAAAACGGGTGGTGTTAAAACTGACAAAATACACTTTCCCTGCTCTTTAAAACATTTAGGAAGGACTAATCAATAATTTTTTGAAGTTGCATAGGTCATTTAAACATTGTAAATAGGTTTGGGGTTAGAACTTTGGTGAAAATACTTGCTACATGGGCAATTCTTGGTCCGGGTCAATTTTGACCCAGAACATACTGTGAGGGTACAGGATTTGAACAGTATGTGAGGGTTAAAATGAAATGCAACCAAAAAAAACTGTGCTGTTTTTGTGCTCGGTAACCACAAGCAGCACGGTCTAAAAGGTTGATTCTAGCATAAGTTCTGCCTCTGACAAGGACAGAAAACCAAACATAGTGGGCGCAGTCAGAGTTGTGGGGCAGGATTGCCACTCCTGGCTCCACCGGATGAACAGACACAAAGATGATCCAGCAACATCTTAAACTGATTATATAGTTTATATATTCTTGTACAAGTTTCCCTTAGCCTAGAAACTGAAATAAAGTAACCTTGAATTTCCTTTCGAGGATCAATAAAGTTCTTCTTCTTCTTCTTCTTCTTCTTCTTCTTCTTCTTCATGTAACTCTGATACACAGTAAACTTTGCATGATTAATGGTCTGGATCAACAGGAGGCCAAGTTAATTTAGTTTTGTTGTAAGGTGATTTGTGAGCCACGACCACACAGTCAGTCTCCTCCTTGATGAGGACAAGATATGGAAAAGAAACCATACTACTGCTGTAGTGATTTGTTTTTTTAGAGATTGATCAGCTGCTGATAAATTATCTGAACATGTGCGGGTCAGGATTTGACTTATCTGTGAGTGGATACTTCAGACAAGCGTCGGTCTTTAAATTGCTACAGCATGCAGGAAATTACAGCTGCGAGTTACTTCAACACTCAAAAATTTCACATAGGTTTGGCTCAGATTTCTATCTCTATGGAAAGATATCAAAAATTAGAACCTGGCAACACAAATGCATTGTTTGGATCTGTTTTTGACTGAAGTAAGCCTCTTTATTTCTCTGTCTTACATTTTTAAAGGCGCATGATCAACAGTTACAATAGGATCTCCAAATTCTATCAGTGTGAATTTTCCTGTGATAGACTGCCAGCCTCAGCCCTATGTTATCAGAAAGTGAGAGTCATTCCTATACCATATACAGTATCTCTGGAAATGACACAGATCTCCTTTAGAAACAAACTTGGACACTAACACATACAGGACGGCATATGTTCCAATCTGATTACAAAACTTTTAATAAGTCCTGTTCCTAATAATTATTGTCGCTGCAATAGTTGATGTGAATTAAAATGATGAAACAGGGCAGCAATGATTGATAGCTTGTGTCATAGTGGCAGCAGCGTCCATCAATCCTAACACATCCAGCCCAATGTTAGTCCTGTAAAGCTGTAAGTCAGTACTCCAGTTTCCTTATGATTTGCTGCCTTTTTTCTTACTTTCAGTATTTAGCACCAGGTGTTACACTCAGAACTCCAGCAGCAACGTTTATAAGATTGAGAACAAACTCTTACTTTAAACTTTGATCAACATCTTTATATTGAGCCTGAAAAATAAGATAAAAAGTCATAAAAGGAAGAAAAGATGAATTACAAAAAGAAAAAGTCAGTGAATTCTTTGACTTTGATTGGTTTTGTGTTTTAAAACCACATCAAGCACTTTTGCAGTTTAATTTTAATCAAGATAATAAAGGTGGAAATTCAAACAAGGATCTTTGCTGTCACTCAAGCATGTTGTTCCATCAGTTTGCCAGCAGGTGGCGCTAGATCCCCTTGAAATCCTGCTTTATCATCTCTGTTTCCTGTATTTCCTTTTACTGTTATATTTGTCAAACACATAAAAACAATATTAATCAATTGACCAGCTATTTACCCTTTTAAAAAATCCATTCATGTTTTTAAGTGTTTTCTGAGGGTAAAGTGCAAACAGCTTCTCTTTAGAAACCATTGGTGCAAAATCAATTGGTGCAAAATGTAGAGGGCTATCTTAAAACTTTTTGAAGACTAAATCGAGGAAGTAGAGGAAACCATGCTACCGCCCATTCACCCCAGCTGCCTTCTGTTATAAAGACAGGCTATTTTCAGTCAGTGCAATGGTTGTAATATAGAGAGACACCAAACAAAGTGTCTCTGCTCAGCAAAATACAGTCACTCCTGAGCCTTCGATGAAAAATCTACATGGTGGAATCATGAAAGGTGAGTCCTGAAATTATTATCCTAATTAGAGTTGATTATGTTTAAAAGTAGAATTTAATATTTATATATATTTATTTTAATTTTGCAGGGTTTGGCATCTTCTCCATCTGGATGTTCATCCACCTGTTGCTGCTGCACAGCTCATCGTGTGCTGATGACTCAGGAGTTGGTGAGATTTCCTTTTTTTTCTCTCTACATAGCAAAGTTGAAGTCCTTATAGTCTAATGGGAAAAATACCTCTACCTATGATTAAATATTATGATGACTGTATGCTCTAAAGGCACATTGAAGACCTTTATTTGAGGATTTACTACTTGCAGCTCCTGTGAGGAGTTTTTAGCTGGTTATGAGAGAGACTGAAATGAATACTGATGCATTATTACGGCCCACAGAAGCAAAAATCTCACAATAGAGTGTAGCAGGGGAGCAGTTCTTGAAACAAATGGTTGAAGAAAAATCTGATTCTTTTAAAATGATAAAATACAGGGTGTCAATACGTGGTGGAGTGAAATGACATCTGTCTGTCAATAGTATCAAATCTCAGCGCACAGGACAAATTTCAGAGTTGGAACTAGATTTCAAGTTACCTCATCATTCATTATCTTACTCAAAGCTCCTGTGAGGATCTTTTAGTTTCCATTCAGTACCTTTATGTATTAAAAATGATCAGATTATTGTATTAGTCCAACTGAAACTGGACTAATATACATTTGTCCAACTGAAACGACACTGAATAAAGTTTCTTGCAGCCGAACTTGTCAAATTTTCTTCTGTGTATGCAGCTCAGTCGAACTGAGCATTGCCGGGAAGTAAAAATTTATCAAACAATGAGCGCGGTTTAGACCTGCTCTTTTTTTTTGAAAGCATCTTGGGATAACAACTGTTGTGATTTGGCACTTGATAGATAAAATTTGAATGATAGAAATTTTGAAAGGAAACATCAACAGACAACAAAAGGACCTAAAGATGGAGATGAAGCTTTCCAATTGTACAAATAAATGGCACAGAGCTGTAAACTTTCATTGTCATTTAATGCATTTTATCAACTGTTTTGATACATAACAGGTCAACCAGGAGACTACAGTAATGAGCTAAAAGGGAACATGTCTACCCACTACAGTAGAGGTAGACATGCTTTGATTCAGGCCTGGTGCTTAACTGGAACAAGAACAGAAATCCATGTAAACGTACTGATTGTTTTTGCACTCCCTGTGGACAGTATCATAGCTCCTTATTCTGCTACTCTTGCCTGTTTATGTGATTCTTATTTTGCAATTAAAAATTTCATCCTGCTGTCTTTGAACCATCAAATATTTGAAATACTAAATTTTGACAGTAGAAAATGTCAGTAGGGGTTTTTCATACAGCATACTATAAATCATTTTGTCTGACACCTTCCTGATGGCATCAGTTTTAGACACCAATAACAGCTTTATAGAAATGATCCATTGGGTCACTGATGGTCTTGGTAGCTTTCATGAGCCATATCAGGCCATCAGTATTGATTTCAGTCTGTTTTGAAGGTCAGCTAAATACTCTTACAGAAGTTGTAAAACATGGTCAAAATATAAAGAATCAACATACACACAGATGCTCTCAACATACAGTTCAATATAAAATTAACACATCTGTTTTTTGTTTTTTTAAATGCATCCACGCAGTCTTCTTCCCGTGACCTGAACTATATTCTCTCTGCTGTGTGGTCTTACTTATCTTTTCTCAAACTCTGCTAATGAGGAAGAAAAGCTGCACTGTCTCATTATTATCTCATTGAACTTCTGCAAGTGTGAAGGGGGGCAGGAAGTCACAGCACCAGGACACACAGTGTTAAAGATATGGGCAGAGGGTGCGGTGGGTGTTAGGCTTCAGACACAGCCTGTTGCCTAAAGGAAATAAGGTCTGAATGAATAAATTTAGACAGACTGAGCTTAGACAGACGCAGCTTATCTTTATTTATTCAGGGTAGTTTCTCTTTTTCACTTTTTACTGGAAATTGCCCCCGTAAAAAAAAGAACCCACCCACCCTCATATGTAAATCCACTTTCAGGTTGTTTGTCTGTGTTTGTACATTTCAGGACCTCACTGAGTCACTGCTTCATCTGTGCTGTCAGCTTTTAGTTTAACATGACAACAGTTAATGCTCCTGCCAATAAGATGGTTTTGTCTTTGTTTGTAGTGAACCCCTGCTGTTACTACCCCTGTCAGAACTCAGGGGTGTGTGTGAGATTTGGTTCGGAGGGCTACCAGTGTGACTGCACTCGCACTGGCTTTAGTGGAGAAAACTGCACCATTCGTACGTAAAAAAGACATTATCAGACTGCACATAAAAATGAACGTTTTAACATGATGATGGGTTTCTTTCAAGTCACAGCCTCAGTGACCTCTTAGTATAATAAAAGTTCATAAAAGTTTTGGTTGGTCCCCAAAACATTAATTCTTTGTCCTGTCTGTGCAGCTGAGTTCTGGACCAGAGTTCGTCTCTTGCTCAAACCAAGTCCTTCTGTGGTTCACTCCTTCCTCACGCACTTTCAGTGGTTCTGGACCATCGTCAACAACTCTTTCCTGAGAGACACCATCATGAGATTAGTACTGACAGGTGGGTAAAATGGTTAAAAGTAACCATATAGGATTTTAAACCAGATGAATCAACTTGTGTTAATTTGTCCTCTTGAATGTATGATCAAAATTTGCATTTAATTTTTCCTACAGAGTGGAAAGAGTTTTAAAGTAATCAGCTGTGATTCAAAGAGTCGAAGAAGTTGGAGAGTTTCGGCGATTGCTTAAGTTATTTTCATGCACAAAAAGAAATTAGACACTCAAATACACGGACATCAAGATTTCCTTTGCTAGGCTACTTTCAGCTTTGTACACCTCATCAGCAAACTCAGAATGAGACGAAACCCAAAGTCTTTGTTAGTCGATGAAAAGATTAAGCTAAATTAAGTGAAATCTTCTGAGTGTTTTCTAACCCTGAAACTTCTTGATTGGACACAGTTTTAATTTCTGTTTAAACAGCAAAGAAATGTGTTGCTTTGGAACATCCGAAGTTGTAGTTAGTCTACAGAAGGGTAATCCTCACACCCCATGCTTTAAAATAGCGTATTAAATCTGCATAAACTATGTCCCCCACAGTCAGGAGCGACCTTATTCCGAGCCCTCCAACCTACAACACCAAATATGGATACCTCAACTGGGAGTCCTACTACAACATCTCCTACTACACTCGACTCCTCCCTCCTGTACCTGAAGACTGCCCCCTACCAATGGGAACTAAAGGTGAGACCTACATATACACAACCTACACACTCCTATGTACACCTGAGGAAATGTTTCTTGACTTGTTTCTTTTTCTCCAGGAAAATCCGTTCTTCCTGATACCAAACTTTTGGCTGAAAGGTTTTTCAGGAGGAAGAAATTCAGACCAGACCCTCAAGGAACCAACCTGATGTTTGCCTTCATGGCCCAACACTTCACTCACCAGTTTTTCAGGACAAACCATGAAATCCCAGGGGGCTTCACCAAGGCTTTAGGACACGGGGTGAGATAAAAAGGGCAGTTTGCAGCAACAAGAATAGCTATTAAAAATTGTTAAAAAAACAACAACAAAACCTGTCCCAAAAAGAGCAAAGAGTAAACACTCCCTCTCTTGACTTTTGAGTATATCGTAGAATTTAGGCTATTTATTCACCTCCTTCCCATCCAGGTGGATGCAAGCAACATCTATGGAGACAGCCTCATGCGGCAGCACCAACTCCGCCTTCATAAAGATGGAAAGCTTAAATATCAGGTAATGAAAAAACAAAAAATAACGGACTGCAGGTTTAATATTTTTACATTTAAAACGATAGTAATACTATCTCTTAAAGAAGCTAAGCTAACTTGCTACAAGAAAGTACTGATAGGAAAACCTATGCACTCTGTTCATTTACACATTTAGTTCATAGATTCAGAGAAGAAAAGTTAACTTTGTATTCCCCTGTATTTCTATGACAGTTGTAGCCTGTTCTTACTTCCCTGAATTGTATATTTTCACCAAATACAGTCAGCATCTCAAACCTTGGACATTTTCATAGATTTAGCTGTTTAGTTTTTTAAGGACTTTACAAATGTGTCATATTTTATTCACAGAGCTATTGGTTCTCATCTGTTTTTCATCATTTTCATTGAGCCAGGCTAACTTCCCCTTTTTCACAGTCTGTATTGCAGAGCCAGGATAATCTACACATTTCTTCACACATTTGAGTCTTGCAACTATTTTAGTATTCAACTCTTAACAAGAAGAGAAGTTTTGTAACTGAAAGGTCTTAGTGACAAAGTTGCATTCCTCATGGCTTGTTTTATAAACCTCCCTTACCGAGAAATGAGCTCCCCTGCAATTGTGGCTTTCAAAATGACACTTATCTTTATGGTGCAGAGAAGAGTTTGAGATAGAGATCTTCTGACTCTGTGATAAAGGCGCCATCATCTGTCTTGTCAATCTCAGGGCCTTAAATAACCCCTACTTCCTGTGTCACGCTAATCTCTTCAGCACTTGTGATACTTTTCATGACATAGCAGCAGCAATGGTGGCTGAACAGAGACAAACCTTCCCCTCTCTTTGGCTTTGCTGTTAACCAGCCTTTGACATGATCAAGGTTTGAACAACAAGTTCCTCAAACCATTTTTATCTCGAAGCGACTTGTCTTGAGGACATACTCTATATTTCTTCTTTCCACTTTTACTGCTTGTACAGTACAAGTCTGAGAAAACAATTTATGTAAAGTCTAAACTGGTCAAAACCAAGACTGTCATAAGTGGATACCTGCTTTTGTTTGTTCACAGGTAGTGAAAGGTGAGATGTACCCTCCTACAGTCGCCGAGGTCCCTGTGCACATGATATATCCTGAAGGTTACCCTCCAGAGCAGCGTCTGGCCATTGGTCAGGAGGTGTTTGGCATCCTGCCGGGCCTCACTATGTATGCCACCATATGGCTAAGAGAGCATAACAGAGTCTGTGACATCCTGAAGGCAGAGCATCCCACCTGGGACGATGAGCAGCTCTTCCAGACCACCAGACTCATCATCATTGGTAAGAACACAGGAGTCAATATCAAACGCCCCAAGATACAGCTTATGGTGGTCATCGGGGGCAAAATCTTACTTTACTTAGTAACACTATCAACTCCACACTGAAGTGATATATGTAAACTGACACTCAAGGGTACCCAAAAACAGACAAACCCATTTGCCAAAAAAACAAACAGACAAAAAACAGACACCCTCGGACATCTTAAAACAGATCCAACTGTTCAAAAGGAAAAAAATGATAAAAAAATTAATTAAAGGGATAAAAAAGCCATCAAACAGCACTTTAAAAATAGGAAGCCGTAAGGGTACATCAACACAGATGTAACCGTGTGCTGAACGAGAGATAACAAAAAAAGGTCATTCAAGGGTACCTGAAAACAGACAAAGCACTGGTTGGGAGGAAGGGTCTTAAAGCTAGAGTTAAGGGTAGCTTTAAGACAGATGAACCTTTAACAGACAAAACCAAGGGAACAAATCTGTCCAGAGGGTACCCTGAAACAGACTTGTCTATATTTAAGGTGATCTGTCAACAAAAGAACAGACTCCTGTCTGTCAGCCTGATAGAGATGCTGTGAACCAGGATGAGAATGTTCGCCAGGCATTGTTACAGAAATGTGAAAGTTGGTGAGATCTAAAATGAATCTGTCTCTGTGAGTTTATGATTTACTCTTTCAAGGAACAGTAAAGCTGAGTCAAACCAGCACTGTTGTCAGATGGAGCATATGACCAACATGTGGAGCACATGCAAAACAGTTTTAGGTTTGAAAGTGATTTCAGCAGAAATACTGCTTTGTTGTTATTTTTTTTATCCTCCAGGGGAAATAATCAAGATCATCATCGAAGAGTACGTGCAGCAGCTCAGCGGTTACCTGATGAAGATGAAGTTTGACCCCTCGCTGCTTTTCAACGCTCGTTTCCAGTACAGCAACCGCATCGCCCTGGAGTTCTGCCAGCTCTACCACTGGCACCCTCTGATGCCTGACAGCTTCAAAATTGATGGAGACGAAATCCAATACCCACAGTTTATTTACAACACCTCCCTCCTCATGCACTACGGGGTGGAAAAACTGGTGGACGCTTTCTCCAGACAGCCAGCAGGACAGGTAGAGAAGAAACAACTACAGCTTTGTTTGCATGGTCACCGCTTAGATGATAAACTTGGGAAAAGTGTGGAAAGAGACAAAGTACATTAGAACCTGTCCTGATGCGAACTTAGTGATACTTACTGAAGTTGTTTTCACTACATCAAAAGGTCACAAATAAGTCAGTTCAAGCTTTTTTTCTCTCTTTTTCTACTTTAGTACAATCACACCTTTCATATTTATATATTTTAGACCTAGACAGCTAGAGGAAATAATACCAGGAGACTGTTTTGCATGACTACTGTCATTTCTCACTGATTCTCTGCTCAGTGATATCAGACAGATCAAATAACAGACAGGATTTCTCAAAGAGACCACAGAGATGTTGCAACGTTTGACAAGACATGTACTCAGAACCACCAAACCACTGAGTGTCTTGAGTCATCACCCTTAAAACAGACTTCCCCTCATAATCACTTCCTCCCATCAAATAAGATTGTATTTCCACGTATTGCTCTGCAGCATCATTTGCAATGTTTGGTGTTTTTTATTAGCTTTAATTAGAAATGCTGATCACTGCGTGTTGCTCTGTATCTAATTTTTTTCCATCTGTTTGATTGTATCGCTTACTAGTACTGGTGAATAAAATCAAGTTTTGGTCTGTGTCACAGATTGGAGGAGGTAAAAACTCTCATGAAGTTGTGCTCAGAGTGGCAGAAATGGTCATCAGAGAGTCCAGAGCAGCACGTGTGCGGCCTTTTAATGAATACAGGAAGAAGTTTAACCTGAAGCCATTCACCTCTTTCTACGAGCTCACTGGTAAGCGTGATAACGCTCTTAATAATCTCAGACACTTTCTCGCCTTTCTTTCAAAGTGAATTTCCTCATATCATTGGAATAAAATCCACAACCAAGCCTGACTCAAGCCGAGTTTCCACCAAACGCTTTTGGTTCAGTTTAATTAAGGCATAGTACTCTATTATTTGGGAAACCTGGGAAAGGAACCAAAATTTTGAGGACTAAGTGCATCTTTCTTATTCTAAACGTGGAGCAAGATACACTGCAATCTGTTGATTGAGAGGGAGGAGGGATGTTTTTTGATCAGTATCTTAATGACAGGAACATACCACTAGTCCCTGTGGGTCTTGTTCTCACTTAACATCTTTTATAAGCAACTTAAAATAAAGTACATTATTCTATGAGAGTATATTGTGATTTTGATGGCTTGATCACTATAGCAAACTTTATAACAGTAGGTCATTATCTATATTTTCTCTTATACAGATTGAGTTAAGTATTTATTTTCTGCTGCAGACAACACAATGTGAAATCAACATCTTTGAGCACCTGGAGAAGTTAGGTGCTTTGAGGGGAACTAGAGTTTGAGAAGTCTGTGGTTCAGTGTAGCAACCTTTTCATCGAACTTCAAGTGAAGATTGGAAAAAACAAAACAAACAAAAAAAACAGAAATTGTTAATTCACAACCACTTGTGTACCTCTGTGAGTGTGAGCCTGTATTTTGCATCATGTTTTGGTGACATGTTTGGCTTGCATGTTGATATGTATATCATGTACACCATGTTTCTTAAGTTTGCTGGTGTATCGTAAGTGTGGAGTGAGTGAATGACTTTTGTAGAAGTTTAACTGATACTGATTCTGACGCTGATGTTGGCGTTTAAAATAAAGGTAAGTGTAACAGGCTCAAGTAAATGTGAGCAGACATAATAGTCTTGTGAGGCCAGAGAAACAATGACGCGGTCAAAGTAAAATGCTTTCCTTATTTACGTTTTGTTGTTTTCCCCAGAGATGTGCACACATCAACATTTTTCATCCAATTACTTAAATTAAAAGCTCATTTTGTTCTTTAGGCACAATGTACATAAAACCACATTATCGCACTAACATGATGTCCCAGCGTAGAAGAAGACATTTATAGGTAGATGCAAATGACATCTGTAGTCAGTGTGCTAAAGTGACAGCAAAGGTTGTTAAACATAAAAAGTTGATTTTTTTTACAAACAAAACTATCAAAAATGCTTCACAAATTAAACTGACCACGATCTCTGAAGTTCTGAACATAACATTTAATGTAAGTAGTCATTGACTTCACAGTACTCAGTAACCTTTGAAACGCAGACATCACAGACTTTTTTAAGTCCAGTTACTAATCTGAGACATTGCTGCTGTTCATATTGTCAATCCAGCCAGAGTAGCTGCTGCCACCTAGTGTCTAAGGTGTTGTACTATGAAAGCTTTGGAGGACAAAGTTAATGTTTTTCTCAGCTGCTTTGGTGCATTTCTCCCATCACAATTAATATTTGCACAACAGTTAGCGTATTTCTCTAAACAATTAGTTGACCTAGTTGAAAACCTGCAAAAGTGCATCACTCGCTCAAAAAGGATAGTCCGTTCCTCAAAATCAAGTATTCATGTCAATCAAAGTATCAGTGTCATCAAAAGAAAAGTCCCAACACTGTCATTTATGAACAGGACAGTCAAATGGCTTTGTCATGTTTTCATTATGACTGTTTACTCTGAGTGTTTTCAAATGCAAAAAGAGTCCGATCTTGGTGACACTACCTGAAAATGCTCGAAGCAGCACTATACACTACTTGCACAGCATTTGAAAACTACAGTAAAGTTACACATGACTGTATTCAGTGAGGTAACTCTAATACAGCACTTTATTTCTCTCTCAACCTGATGGCATTGTTTGCAATCACCATTGCACAAATGACTTCCTCTTGTTGTTGAGTAAAAAGTGGCCCTCTTCCACCTCTGTGAGGCTGCCTCGCAATACTGTGTGGTGCAGAGTAAAATTACAGTAAACCTGAGATATACTGCATTAACCTGTATTACTGTAGAGTACAATAGCAGTGCTTCCCAATTGTAAAATGCTGCAGTACAGTACCATACTGTAAAAATGGCGAATCTTTACTGTTACAAGACTGTACACTACAATAAAGTAAATCTTTGCTGCAGTAAAGCTGTAAGTCTAAATGTAAAATGTTAAAAGTGACAAGTTCTTGTCCCTCTGTGAGCTTCATGTATAACACAATGACAGATTGATAGATTGATAGACACACCTGTTCTCCGGATGAAATGTTTGAATAATTGGATGAACAGTGTTTCTCCCAACATTTGGCTGCACTTTCTCAGGTAAACGCTGAGGTTAACCTGAGAGAAATTGTTTATTTTAGGAGAAATTTGCAGGAAAAAAAGATAAAGAAATGTTGAAAATGTTGCTTGACGGATTTTGAGAACTTGTTGTTTTTGTATGTAATGACTCAAGCAATGAAACGAGGACTATTAGTTTTACAGGGAATGACTATTCAGCGTTCATAAGTATAGCTCATTTTGACTAACATTCAATCAAACGAAAACTGCAGCTTCATGTTTTATAAGTATCACATCGAGGATCACCAAAGTCAGAGAATCAATGATTGTCTGTACAAAATTGAAGTTATTGAGAATCTTCAAATTTTTGGTTAATTTTTGCTTCTGCCTCAAAGGTAGACTGGTGTTGAATAGGCTTGAGATAATTTGTGAGTGAAAGATATTTAGCAAACTTTAGAGGGGTAAAAGGAAACTTGAGATGTAACTAGAAAATGCAATTTCTGAAGAAATTGCGAGTGGGATTGCTTCAGTTGAAATTGCTATCGCTATGCTGCTATTGCGAGTGGCTGAATTTTAAAATATGTGAAAGGTCAAAAGGTATGAAGTATCAGGAAGATTTGAATCAATTGGAATAAACTCAATTGAATGAATTGAATTATGCATGAATAATAATTTTAAAATTTCAACGTTTGAAAATTAAAATGATTAAAAACCCTGAAGTATGGGAAAGGCTTGAAGAATCATTAAGGTTTGAATCAGTTTAAATGAGCTGTAATTTGTTTGAAAGAAATGAATAATGCATTAAGAGTAAGAAAATTTTATAACTGGAAAATTAAAAGGTTACAAATCTGGAAGAAAAAGAGGTTTGAAGACTCAAAACAGTTTAAATCAGTTTGAAGGAGTTTACATTAGTCTGAAGAATTAAATAATGCATTTTCAATGAATGATTGAAAAATGGGGACAATGTAAATGAATAAAAATCCTGATTAGACCCCATAAGCTTTTAAATGTCACCCCCAGTACTCTGTGTACTGAGCCTGGCTTCATGTGTCTCATATGGCTGTTAGAAGCAGCTTTCCAGCCAGCTGTGTGTCTCCAGGTGCTCCCTTTGGTTGCCATGGTGACGATAGATGCTTAACAACAGCAGGAGAAAGGAGGCTTGAGGCTGAGAACGTAATGCCCAAACAACGTCATATTTCTCATCCTCTGTAACTGCTATCTTCATGATCAGAAGCTTGTGAGTACCACAAGGCCCGGCTGAACACGTTGATACAACTTCTGTGTTTGTGGAGCCAAAAATGCCTTCACTACGACAAGTTAAAAACATGTCCAGTTTGTGTTTCCTCTGAAAATTCTCCTCTCAGGTTTACATTGGAGTCAATGGAGAAATCTGGGGGATGTCTGTGGCAGTTGGTGTCTGCCCAGGCCACTGTGTGTGTCCTATGGCTTTGATTTTTGACATGAAGAGTGACAGCAAGTTTTGCCATCACTGTACCAATTTTTATCTGTGTAGAGCCAAGTGAGTTGCCACAATCCTTTTGTAAAGACAAAGTTTTGAGGATCAATTTTCAGCCTGTCTCACTCTAGCTGTGAGGTCACCCACTCTAGCTGCCAACATTCCGTGCAATACACACTAATGTTAAAACCTGAACCGGTCAGAAAATCCTGTGAATTTTTGAACTGTCACTGTGAGAAAAGTATGAATGCCATGAAGATGATGAATGAATGAGTGAATGTCTGAAGATGTGTGAATATTTTAAAGTTTGAATGAAGTTTCTAGGTGAAAGTATGAATGAATGAGAAAAGGTTGAAGTTGACTACGTCTGAAGCCCTTTTCCCATTGAATCCCATTATAACGAAGTTTTAAACTAATCTTAATATTTTGAAAAGTACAAATGGGATTAAAAATGTTGAAGATGTGGAATAATGCTGAAGAATTTGTGAATATTTTGGTTTTTGAATGAAGTTTCTACGTGGAAGTATAGAGGAGTTGAAGGCTTTTGAAGTTGTGTGAAGAAAATGTGAGAAAAGGGACAATTTGAACATTCCGTAATGCATTTCCAATGGGAGAAATCGGTCGGAAAACCTGGAATATCTCGGAAAGTATGAATGTTAGGAAATTTTTGAATACAAGCCGGAATCTCCTGAATGAGATGAATCTTTTGAAGTTTGAATGGTTTGAATATGTTGAAGTATGTGGAAGGAGTAGCGGTCCAAAAAACGGTGGAATAATAATAATAATAAAGATATGAATAACATATAGTGGGAATGCTTCGCAATCCCACTCAATTAATGCGAGATATATCTGTAATGCCTAGATGTTACCTTCTTTGTTATCCTGTTTTGTTAAATACTAGATTTTTATTGGTCAAAACCGCTTCATAACTGATTGATTGTGAACAGCAAAAGTGACCCCTCCGCCTCACCCTGTTAGGGTTACACTCTCATGATAATACATTGTAATTTTTATAACAACCCTCTGTTTTTTTCTCCTCCCACAGGTGACACTGAAATGGCCAGAGATCTAGAGGAGCTGTACGGTGACATAGATGCTGTTGAGTTCTACATCGGTGTCCTGCTGGAGAAAACCCGTTCAACTGCTATTTTTGGTGAGAGTATGGTGGAGATGGGTGCTCCCTTCTCCTTGAAAGGCCTGATGGGAAACCCCATCTGCTCCCCCGAGTACTGGAAGCCCAGCACATTTGGAGGAGAGACGGGTTTCAACATCGTCACAACGGCTACTCTGAAGAAACTGGTGTGTCTTAACACCAAGTGGTGTCCGTATGTGGACTTCCATATTCCAAGAGATGAGGAGGAGGCAAAACCAAGATATCCATCTGGCGAACTTTAATATTTCTCCTGATGAGCAGTTAATAATCATACAGCCTTTTACTACATGCTTGATCATATTTCACCCCTACCAGCAGGTCTACCTCCTGAAACAGCAGCTGACAAAACACAGTTTACAGAGAACTGAAATAAAATTTGTCCAAATTTGGAAGAACTCTTTTGTTCTGTGTACTTTGTGTCCTGTCCTCCACTTTCCTGTTTCTTTTTTGAGTTTTATTATCACATGAATTATAACAAACGCCAAATATTACTATAAAGATCAGAACAAGATTAGAACAACAAAAATAAATGACGACATATTTTTGCGTTCTAGAAATAGAAAACTCTTAATTCAATCAAAATTTGATCTCATACAAGCTTAGAACTAGTATTTTGTTCTTTTGTATGCTTTGACAGTTAAATTTCCTTAAAATCATTTAGACATGTTTCAGACCAATCTTATTAATATGAAATGTGTCTGATACCCTGATAGTTTGATGCTAGTTAGCAAACTTAAGGATGCTAATAAACTAAACCAGGATGCTCCAGTCAACACCCTATCTTCCAAGCATGTTAAGTAGAGCTGAGCACCTATACAGGGACATTATGAGCAGTTTCTTTGTGGTTTATCGTTTCTCACGGGATAAAAAAAAAGAAACATGATTAAATAGCTGAATAAGTCTGTTTGACTTTCACACAGACTGCCTGTTTGCCTAACAGGATGCAGATGGTTGTGCATCAACCTGTTTGTGTGAGAAAAGCGTTCACACTCCTCTGTGGTTTCTTCCAGTCTCAAGATGTTGAGGTAACATCTGTAAATTGAAAGGTTTTAATGTTAGATGTTCTGGTATTGTGCACAGCATAGAGTGCAACTCTAAAACTGCTTAGTCATGGTGCAAACATGTTAACGTTCAGAAATGTGCAATGGTTCAGTGATGAGTAAGAGGCAAAACCATTTAACTTTGGTGTTTATCATGATTCATTCATATTTACTGCTGTCTCTTTGTTTTCACCTGTAAGGACAGCACTTATAATATTCATAGAAAGTTATATCGTACTTGCCAAACTTTTACTATGAACTGTATGAACACTCTACGACTGAAAACATACTTACAGACCTCTGCTGCTAAGATTTTGGAGATTTTAGCATATTAGCCAGAGGAAAATAACAGTTATGTATTGGTTTGGATAACATAACATTATATAAGCAGCTACAGGACTGGATTCTGTTCTGTGATTTGTCTCTTATCGGGCATGCTGGCCTGTTTTTCTTATGTCATGCCAAAGTGTGACACATTTTAAAGAGCTATCTCGACCACAAAAACCTAGAATTTTCTCTTTGACATGCCATGTGAGCTTGTTAAAAAATGAAGAAAGTTATTTAATTCTGCCAAGAAGAGAGTCTCGAAACTATTAACTTTGATGGTAATTACATTCTTTAAAGAATCAATGTTCAAAACATGCAGTTTGAGTGAAATAAACCAGAAGAATTGAGACCTGATTGTGTGTTTCTTGGCACTAAGAGAAATGGCAGTAATCAACCTTTATTGTGATGAACAAAGACAGAAAATTATATTCAAAATTTTTGTAGTATCTCCACTAACTGAAACATGAAGTGGATGAATTTAAAATTTATGATTGCTTTGCTTTTATAGTTACAACTTTAACTAAACTTCTGTTTTTCATACAAGTATTTAAAATCTTTTTCAGAGTTGTAACTCTCCTCCATACACCTGTTTGTGAAATGCTTTCACAGACATCATGGTGACAGACCCTTGAGAGTAATGAAGAAGGAGGAGTTATCAAGCTACAGTCCAGACAAGAGTGACGGCAAAAAGGCACATAACAATAACAGTAAGAAAACATCAATCACCAGGGTTTATCTGTATTGTGTGAATGTTTATTGATACAGTCCCTCTGGCTCATTTGGTATTAAAGTGTTTTAACAGTCAAGTAGTTTGAAATACAAGAATGGGCAGGTCACTGTCATCCCTCAAATGCAGTTTTATGAAAAAGTGAAATATCCTTGGCTGTTTTACTAAAGAATCTAAACTGTACAACACATTTAGGTCTCCATATACTTAAAATAACCCAGAACAGAGAACACAAAATGGATCAAGATGAAATAGATGATTCTCATTTAAGAAATTATCTAACTAAAACTATACATGAACACTCTCTGTCTTATAGCTGAAGAAAACAGTCAAATAAAAGAAACCAAGACTTAAAGTGGTGTGAAGCATCAGCCTGTACTAGAGTTAAACTCAAACATAACAGCACATAGAGTAAAAAAGACTCAAAGTGCTGTGCTAAAGTTATAAAATAAACATTTAAAAATGTAACCATTATCGTTTTGTCTGGAGTTCATGGAGAACTCAATACCACGATCAGGTGTGCATGTCCGGTCAGGTATCATCTGAGACCAGCTTGGCTCAGCGTAAAGACTGACAGTGGATGGGAACAGCTGGCCTTGCTGTGCTAAAACTTAGCAGTTCATTAGTTCATTATCAAATACAGTGTATCTTATAGTTTCAGTCTGAACAGAACCCGAGTGTGTTTTGCAATTTGATTCAATCTCAACGAAGGTCATGAGCAAAACTCAACATTAAAATAAAAGTTAAAAAACCTTTAGCACCAGCATGCTTAAAGTTATTTCCCTATTTGAGTTTTAAATGCCAAAGTTATCACCCAAATCCTTAAATAAAATTCTTTGTCTTCTTTCCCCTCTTGTAAAATAACACGTTGAGGGCTGCTGTCCTCATTCTGGTCAGGGTTATAGTTACACAGCTGATTTTTACTCATTAGACTTGACTCCTATTTAAATCTAGCAGTGGATTGCTCGCTCTCCTGACTGTTAGCTAATGTTGGACCAAACAGAGGTGCAGTCACTGAAGTGGAATTAGTACTAGTACTCATGCCAACTGCCATTGAAGCAGTGGCTGCTGGGTAAAAATGGACATCCACTGCCACTGTAGTAAGGCCCAGGGAGACGTGGTGAGAGAGGAGCAGAGGAGGGTTTCCCTGAGAGATGCTGAGGCTGTGGTGGATGGGGGCTCCACATGACTCAGCGCTTTGCAGGGTTAGTGAGGAGCGCAGACCCACCTCAGGTCTGGACGGTGGGGAAGGGGAGGGTGAACGGGAGGGTAAGGATGATGGAGGAGGTAAAGCATCCTGACATGGGCTGTGGTTGTCACCTCTGTTACTGGTCCAGTCCTCAGCACACTGCAGCTGGATGCTGGGCTGGGACATGCTGCAGCCTTTCTCCTCTTCTAGAGACGGGTCAATCTGACGTAGAAAAGAAAGCAGCTGTGAGCAACAATTTAGTAGAGACAAGTCAAAATATCTACAGACAGCTTTCACCACCTTAATCTGAACCACAAGAAGACATTTTAGCGAACATGTTGTTATTTAAAGGCCTATGGTGGACAGTTGGACTACATTACCCATGATGCTTCACCCTTATGTTTGTTTGTATTGACTTATATCATCATAAATATAGTTTGTATCTAAATTCCCTGTGAGGTACAGGGTGAATACCTGTGAGTTTTAATACCTTATGAGCCAACTCACAGCCTCAGATCCTCTGGCGAAGGCCTCCTGGTCGTTCCAAAGTCGAGGCTCGAAACTAAAAGTGATAGAGCTTTCTCCATCAGAGCTCCTCGACTTTGGAACAACCTGCCAGAGATAAGGTGTGCAGAGACAGTCACTTCTTTTAAGTCAAATTTAAAAACTCACTTTTACAGACTTGCTTTTATGTGATGCCATCTTTTATCTCTTATCTTTTATCTGTCATCCCTTATCTCTTTTATCTCTATCTTATTTAGGCTTTATCTATCTTATGTCTTTTTAGCTTTTGTTAAACTTGTACTCTTTTCTTAAATAACATTTTAGGCCTTTTTATTGTTTTATCTCTTGCTCATATCTGTTGCTCTATTTTGTCATTACTATTATTATCAGGATTACCTGTTATTATCTTAATATCATTGTTGATATTGCCTTTTATAATTACTATCCTGTTTCCACTTTTGTCCCCCCTTTTAATTGCATTTCCTTTTCTCTTAACTATTTTATGTTTTTATTTTGGTCCTCATGGTCTCATATATGGTTCTTGTATTGTCTGGGTTCCTTATGACATGAAAATGGCCTTCAATTCCGTTTTTACTGAGCTTTTGTTTTTATCTGTCTTTTTCCATGTGCTCTATGACTATATGTCAAAGCACTTTGTGAACTTCTGTTTTTTAAAAGTGCTATACAAATAAAGTTATTATTATTATTATTATTATTATTATTATTTCTTTGCATTCTGTATCAGCCATTAAGTACAATAGCTAATTTATAGTTTGATATTACCCTTGTATTGCCAGTGAGAAGCTACAGTTGTTTGATGCACATATGTATTATTTTTGCTTGATGTTTTTTTCCCTTAAAGTATAAGATGAAAGAAAGAAAGAAAGAAAGAAAGAAAAGTATTTAGTTAAATTTCTTTAACCAAAGACTACACTGTATTTCCATGTTAAACTTTTAACTGACATCAGGCCTCCAGTGGGCTATAACTAATCTATTGTTAGTGATTTTTACTGCTACATCATTCGTAACTTAACAAAGATTGACCTAAATGTTCTATTTAAGTGTGACCTTGTTACTTCAGTCTGTTTGTGCAAAGAGCACCAAAGCTCCCAAAAACTACTCCAAAGTTTGCACCGTGTCCAAAAAACTCCTTGGATTATTTTTAACCCTGTCATGAATCTCTGTGTCGTCAAACCTTTGTGTCAAGAATGGGCTCGGGGTAAGTCTCCACAGTGATCGAGTGGTTGTCCAGAGCAGGTGACATATCCTCCTGAGTATCTTCAAATGTGGGCTCCATCTGCACTGTGACCAGGTTTGGTCCTGGAGGTTGAGCTCGAGTGTCGGCTGTGTTGGGACTCTGCTCAATCACAGCCACACACTCATCGTCTTCAAAAGCCCTATGTGAGAAATATCTGAAGATGATTTTTCTGCTGGAAAAAGATGAATTTTAAGACCTTGCTTTTTATTTACGTCTCATATAGAAGTAATTAAATACCTGTTTTCATACGTTCGTCCTCCTGCTCGGCGATCTGCATGACGCATTGGAACTCCTAGATTCCTCTGAGCTGTCAAGGACATGTTGGCAGGTTCATAAAGAATTATTTAAAATTTTAGTCAAGTTGAAAGAAGAGTTACTCCACCTTTGTATCTCTTGTATCTCTCTCTTTTGTAACTATTCCTAAAGGAGTAAATGTGAATAAGTTGTACTGCCATTGCTGAACTGAGGCTCTCTGACCTGCTCGGCTTGTTGGTGCTGGTTCATTCTTCTGGACCACTGAATAGAAGGTAACAGTGATGAAGATGAAGGCCAGAGATACGCCCACTCCCACCACGATGGGGATGTCATGCTTCTCCAGCACGGGCAGCCATGATGGAGCCTGCTGAGTCACTCTGGATTGCAAAACACAACAGCTGTAATCTATAACACCCACATTTCTGTCACCATTCTTCATCCATTCTGTCTGTACCAACCTTGGATCGTTGCTGGTCATCGGTGACTGGGAGGTATTTCTCTTCAGCCACTCTGTGAGCTTCGTCTCGTTTTCTGATTTCGCTGACTGATCTGGTTCACCCTGCTTGCTTGTATTCACTTGCACCTGATCAGTGGTGTTGACCTGATGGCCAAGAGGAATCTCAGGGTCCAGTGATAAGGGGACATTGGCATTGGAGGTTTGATCAGGAGGATTAGTGGCTGAGATTGTAGGAGGGGTTACAAAATAGGTCCACTGTTGTACTGGAGACGTTTCTGTCTGAAGTTGGGGGGCTTGTGAGTGGAGGTTTGGATTTTGTGTTTGGGAAAGAGTAGATTTGGTTGAAGCTGGTTCAAGCTGTCCAGATGAAGATTCATCGTTAACTTGGGACTCCTGAGGCTTTGTGAGTGGAGAGGTCGTAGCTTGTGTAGGAGGCAGATAATGCTGGGATGTTGTTAACTCCAGCTGGAACTTGGGGACTACATTTCTAGTAAGAGAGAGTTGATGATCAGAAGACGGGGTGAGTGAGCTGAAGTGGGTCGTAGTTTGTGTGGCAGGACTCTCTGATGGCGAAGGCGAATATGAAACCAACTCCATGTCCAGAGAGCCAATAGGTGCTCTAAAGGGAAGCTTTGATGGTAAATGAAAAGCAGACGTCCCAGTGACAGTATGGGTATCCAGCCCTTTAGAATTAGACTCTATCAAAACTTTGGTGCTGACTTGATGCTGAAATTGCACATTTGAGGGCATTGATGTCAAACGGGACTGACTTGCAGAGTGTGAATACTGAAAGGTTGTACCCAAAACTTCGATGATCGTAACTGCTGTCTGGGGCTGTGTCATTGTTGGTTCAGTGGAAATTAAAAGAGGGTGACCAGTCGCTGTCAGATGAGATTGAAGATCCACTGAGTGAAAGTTTGTGTGAGGAGGAGGTGGTAACACTGGGGGCTGCATCTGAGTGACAAGAGGCTGGGTTGGTTGGGTTGTTGGTTGACTGCGCTGTTGCTGTATAAGGCGTCCAAGTGAAGGTGACATCTTGAGCTCAGCCACTGCTCCTTCTGGAAAGGAAGGAAATGTGGTGGTTGTGTTTGTTGAAACATCACAGCCTGATGAGGAGCCTGAAAAACAAGAAACAGTCAACACTCTCTTATAATCTGTATATCTCCTGCCCTGCAGTAATCGTGGTTTCTCTGTTTTCAACACCTGACCTTCCTAGCCCCCTGTACATCCTCACTCATCATAAGTAGCGGCCAATTTTCCCACCAAGATTGTTTGATTTGCTAAGGCTGCTGCTTAAGCCTGAACCTTTAGACCCTTGTTCTCCTTACTTTAACCCTTTCTGGTTTCATCCATCCCCTGTTTTTTGCTTTAAAGCATGATTTTTCAAACTTTTACTTAACTTTTTTCTTTCTAAAAATCATGACTCCATCGTGAAACACAGCAACATGGCTTAAAGACATCCCTTGGTATGGGTGCGGTAATATTTTCCTCTTTGCAAGAGTATCTGAAGGCTACAAGTGTTACTTTCAGCAGTGATTTTCTTCTGCATGTACTTACATGTCACATCATGCTGTGCCAGTTCATGTGGATGTTGTGTTTGATTATCATGTTTCTTAGCCGCAGGGTCCCGGGACTGAGAGACAGCTTGTTCCTTGCTAAAGTTGCTCCTCTAGAAAACATGCCAACAGAGACTCTTAGTTTCAGACAGACTTTTGTCAGGAGCAGAAATCAAGTCAAAGAACAGGTTCACACACAACAGGCCAAATACAGAAGAGCAGTGCTGTTACCTGCTGACACTGAAACACACTGACACTCACTGCATACTGAGCAGCAAAGACTGCACACAGATCAAACCAAGAAGCATCTTTGCGAGGGAAAAGCATCACAAGGAAATGATAAACCATGTCTGTAAGCTGTCTGAGAGCCAAAAAGAGTTGCAACATAAACCACAGCAGAGATTGAAACAACTTCATTACTCACAGCAGACAAAACCAGCCTTGTCTGCTTGTCTCTATCAGCTGGACGGTGTTCAGCTTTGGACAGAGGGCACCATAAAAGAAAGTCAGAAACTTGTGTGTATTGGGTCATGGAAACATCTCGTCACTCTGCTACAGGAGAGGAAAACAGTGATGAAAACTACAATCGATGGGCTGATGTTTAAATACCTGTGACGACGAGGACAAAGCGTCTCTGGTGTCGTCCTGCTCGGTTCTCAGCTGTGCAGTAGTATTCCCCTGCATCAGAATACTGCACACTGGAAATATGTAGGGCTCCGTCTTCTTTCAGGGGCGAAAGGACAACAACGCTTTAGTCTTAGGAAGCTGGAACATATTCTCATCAAATTTCCGCACATATACATTAAAATTTCTAAAAATTGCTTTCAATAAAAACCTTAAGGAAAAACTTCTTTAAGTCGTTTTTAACACTCACTGTCAGTGTGTCTGCCGTCAGTGTTGATGATGGGTGGCTGTGTGTCTGCTCTGCCCTTGGTCCATGTGTACATTATAGGCAGGATCCCTACAGCCCTGCAGGGCAGCACTGCTGACGCTCCAACCATGCAGCTCACCTGAGCTACAAAGGTCACTATGATGGGACTCACTGTGAGGACAATATAGAGAAATGGAGTCATAATCTGTATTTCACTACAAGAAAAACATCTCACCTTATGTCAGTGGTTCTCAAGTCCAGTCCTCAAGGCCCACTGTCCTGCATGTTTTGGATGTTTCCCTGCTCCAACACACCTGATTCAAATGATCAGCTCGTTATTAAGCCATTACAGAGCTTGATAACGAGCTGATCATTTGAATCAGGTGTGTTGGAGCAGGGAAACATCCAAAACATGCAGGACAGGGGGGACTCGAGGACTGGATTGAGAACCACTGCCTTATGTGCAACAAGATGAAAATAGATTAAAGAGATGTTTTTAAAGCGTAATCTGAAAGATAACTGTACTCAGTTGGAGTTTTCAAACTCATTTTGGCCTCTTTATATTCCTCTTGGTAAAACTTTGAGACAGTACTCAGATGCTTTGCAAATTATCACCAAGTAAAAGTCCCAAATATATTTTCTGACTAAAACTGGATCCTAGTTTTGTGGTTCTTTTTGAAGTATTTAAAAAAGCAAAAAAAAAAAAACTTACCAGCAACTCTCAGTGTTGCTGCACTGTGGCTTTTACCCAGAGAGTTAGCTGCCTCGCACACATACACTCCCTCATCGTAGCTCCTTGCTGACTGAATAAGGAGAGTTGCATTTCTCAGCCTGTGTGAGGAACATGCAAAAGGTTATTGAAAAGAAGTTACTAAAAAAAATAATCAACCATTTTTTCGTTATATAGAGTAAACATAAACTCGCCCTAAAGAAATCCTGCCTCCAGTCTGTTTGGAGTGACCTCTCTTGACCCAGCTGATAGAGGGGAGCGGGTGACCCTGCACCTGACACTCCAGCACTACCCGAGCACCAGTGGGCACTGTCAACACCTGGGGCCAGACTGTCACTGATGGAGGGGCTGCCAAGAGAAGAAGAGAGACACAACAAACCTTTTGAGCATCCAGAGCTACAGTTCAGTATGATAGATCTGTAGAGGGGTCATACCCAGCACAGTCAGAGTGGCTCTTCTGGAGGTGAGAAATCTTTGGAGGTGAACATTCGAGGCTCTGCAGAAGTAGCTCCCACTGTCATTTTCTCGGACACTGATACAGATAATAAGACACAAGAATGATGTAGAAACAATGTTTGCCTACTTTTGCACACGCAAATGCAAAATGTAGTAAATTCAGAAATTTCAAAACGTCACACACTGCATGTCTCTAAACACAAAGCAGGCATACACTTATACCTTTGGAAGAAGAGGTCTCCATCAGGCAGCATGCTCACATGGCTTGTTGGTGTAAAAAGTTTGTTGTTTTTGAACCAGGATACCTGAGCTGCTGGCCTGCTGTACGGTGGCCTGCAGGTGACAGTTACATTGTCTCCTCTCTTCACAGCCTGGTTTGTGGGCTGCTGCACAAAACTCCAGTCCATCTCTGGAAACAAAAGGTGTGTCAGTGAAAATATGAGTGCTGTCTCGTGTCTTTGTAGCTTTCACAGTTGATCACTTTCACAGAATCAGCCAAGTTGGGATGAGGGAATAAATGACAGCCAATGAAAAGTTGAGTCAACATAAAGTAAAGATTCCTGCAAATGTTTCCCCACATTACCTGCTGGGAGAAGAAAGGCTGTCTGTGACCTGATCAACTCGTCCTGGTTTGAGGCTTCACAGTGATACAAACCCTCGTCCTCTTTGGTCACATTTCTGAAGAAATATTGGAAATGTGAGTTTAAATTCTGTCTGATAGGATTATTAAAGTGCTTAATTTAGTCTCCAAACAGTGTGGACCCAACTGAGCAATAAACAACGTATCTAATCAAATGTTTCTGAACCTTTTTCCAGCAAAGGATCATTTTTATGGTTCTTGTTTTCTCAATACGTCAAAAAAAATGAACAATCATAAATTAATATTCCTCCTGTTCAGCGCTGCGCTGCACCTGAATGTGAGCAGCTGTCCATTGTTCTGGAGGTTGAACGAGGACGAGCAGTTGGTCAGGAGGATGTTGTCTTTGAACCAGTGCACCATGGGAACAGGGAAGCCACGAACAGCACAGTGCATGGAGACCTCTGTTCCCGTAGCGACAGTGATGTTGTTAGGACCCTGGACTATCTGCAGTCTTCGAGGGATCCCTGCAAGGATGAGTGCTGACACAGTAAGACATTCACTTCACTGCAAAAAAAGGTACTTGAGTAACTCCCTCAGGAACAACTGGGTTACACGGAAGTAGAACAGCGTTTTTTGAAGAAGTTAGAGATAGTTTTTAAAGATATGTTCATGTACTCACCCAGCACCGTCAGCTTAGCGGGCCTGCTCTTCTTGCTGATATTCAGTGCGGGATTGCGAGTGACACAAACATATATCCCATCATCCTCTGATGTTACGTTAAAAAGGTGAAGAGTGCCTGAAGTCTTCTTCTGGTTCCCGCCTCCATACTCACCCTGAACATGAAAACACTCTTCTGGTTTTTATAATGAAACGGTTATTTTAAGACTAGATAAGGTTTGTCAATTCTGTACATATAATGAAACCGTCTAAAGCTCCATAAGATCTCACCTGAATCTGTCTTCCTCTTGTGACCTGTCTCTCATCTTTCAGCCAGGTGATACTTGCAGGAGCTGAACTCTCCCCTGACACACACTGGAAGAAAACTCCCTCTCCCTCTCTGACTGTCTGGTCCTCAGGACTGAAGAAAACCTCCTCCAAACCTGGATCACACAGCATTAACAGGAAACGGTCCTCCTCACTGATGTTAAGATGCAGGACTCAAGAAGATGCTTATATTGGCTCAAAAGAAATCTAATATCTTCACTGTCAAACAAAATGAGTTTCATGGACTTACCTAGTTGGAATGAGACTGCCAGACTCGACAGGATGGTGAAGCAGAGGAGGGAAGTCATCTGTGTGAGGATCCAGATGGAGACATGCATCCTACTGCAGAGCTCCCCGCGAGACAAGGACAATCCTCCATACGGCCTTATCCATGCTGTCAGCTGTGAGAGTGAGCACACAGTAATGACAGAGGGCAGAGTTTGAGATGGAAATGTGAACAGTTTAAACCTCAGCTGTTGTTTTACTGGCTACAGTCGAACACTGATACTGACTTTCAGTGTCTGCGCTTATTCAGTCAGTGAAACGCTGATATCTATGAGCAGATTCAACAAACTGTTAAAAACATTGTGTGTGGAGAGCAAACACAGGCAGAATGCAGTCTTTTGACATCTTGTCTCCCATCAGTAATAATTTACTTAACACTATTATTTCGAATTGTTATTCCTGTTTGATGGCAATTAGGATGTCACCATGGTTACAGCATTTGGTGTAAATTTAGGCGCTCCAAGAAGGGTGCACTTAAGAAGAAGGGGAAAAACTAACAGATTTTGCTACACATGAAGTACAACTTGTCAAGAGAAAACTGAGCAGAAAATATGCCAAGATATTCATCTAGCTTGAAATGACATCTCCTTGAATAAGGGCACAGAATCTTATGTAGCCAGCAGGCAGCTCTCTGACTTTGAGAGAGTCTGTGAAATACTAAATTTCTGAATGTTTTCATGGCTGAACCCTCAATACACATGATGAGTTTGGGTTGGATCTGAGCATGCGAGGCTAATATGGAAACCACTTCCTGTTTATTAGTGAAACTACAAGAAAGAAACTCCCAACCTTCGCAGCCTACCACAGCTACGCCCTTTGACACAAACCTTTGATTGCCGTTCTTGGTTCAAGTCTTTTTTGTGTGCAAAACTTCTTTGAGGTGGATTAGATGAGCTCCCTCATGTTCATATTAAGAATCCCTTCAAAGAGAGAAGCATAGATTTTGGTCAGTTTTTTTGTTTTTTTTTAATGGTAGACTTCCTGTTGATTATTTTTAGGGGGGCAGAGTGAATTTTCACCCACGTTTAAAACCCATAACTCATCAAACTTTTCATCAGTTTTGATGAACCTGCAAAAATCCCAGACTTTTCAGGTATTTTAAGGCCCTCAAATTAATCCAGAAGGAAAATACCACTCGATGTTCAGGCCCCGATAAACACAAGAATTCTGTGTTTACTATATTAAGACTCCACACGAGGCAGCATTGCCACAAAGGTTCTTTGACACCATGGTAAATCTGGTTGATATTCAGATCTATGAAACAATGAAAAGTACAAATACTTGACATGCAGAAATTTAGGAGTGATGAGACAATCTCACAATCTCCTACTGTCAGAGCCTGCAGGAGAATTCTGGGGAGGTGCTGAGGCTAAAAGTTTGGTATCAGTGTCATAAATCAGAGCAGTGGCTTGGGCTGGATATCTGCCTAAACAGACGGCTTAATCAGAATAATACGCTTGAGGAGTGATCATGGGAATGATGCAAATGAGAAATTAGTGCAGCTTGAGTTGTCTTCCTGAACTATCTCACAGGTGTTGCTCCAACAGTCTGTTACAATCAGAGATGTGTTTACTTTTGCAGAGGTTAGAACAGACTTAATCATCCACCACTGTCTTTATTTCGTTTGATGAAGTCACTGGATTGCATAGGTTTAATTTAGGTAATAGATGATGTTTGCAGCAGTAGATTCAAAACTACTTAATCTCTCTTGCTCCTAACACCCTCCCCTCCCCATCCTCTTTCACTTCATTCCTATTTTGGTAGTGAGTCTGAGGCAGCCAGCTCTGCTTTGTCCTTTTTAGTCCCTTGAATGGGCTCGACCACTTTATAGAGCTCGCACTGTGGCCCTCCACTCAATGAAAGTGACATGAAAAGAGGCTGCGGAGCTTTGTACTGTGAAGATCAGTTATTGGTCCTCTGCAAGGAAAGCTGCTCGTCTGATCACGCAGGCTTTCATGATCCTAAATATGTCCATGTAAGGCCTGATCCTTTATTGCCTCTCAGTGTGCCACATATTTTTGCTTATGCAATCCTGAATTTGAAAAAATAGGCCATGTTGCAGAAAAACATACAAAAGATATAGTTTTGATCTTAAGGGGTTTGTTTGTGATTAAAGGGTTAATCGTGAATGTGTTACCATGAAGGTGAGCCCATTATACGTTGCAAGAATGTCAACACTGCTCTAAGAAGGAAGAATAAAAAAATAATGAGATTTTCAGAATAAAATCAATTATCTTAGGTATCCTGATTTAGGCATCACCAGAAACCACTGGAGCGTTTTCCTCGAGAGTAAACATGAAGTTTTAAAGAGGAAAAAGCAGATTGATGTGTTTCAGTTCCACAATATTATCCATACACATTATCAGCTGATGATGTTAAGTTTTCCTGAGTGGTGTCATTGAATATTGCAAAAGATGAGGGCACAACAAGCTGAGTGAGTCAAACATGCATCAATAAAAATAAGTAAAAATAAGTTTGTAAATTTGGATTTTATACCCACATGATAAATCCTAAATGCCTTGAAACCTCAATGAGGAACTCCTGCCAGTTTGCGTTAATTTTAGCGCCCCCTATGGACAAAATAGTACTTCTAATCAATTTGCAAATAACGTCCTGAACATGTTTTCCAACCAAAAATGTCCTCCTACCATATCAACCCTTCAAGTGTTTCACATTGGCAGTCAGAGTGTGAAAAACAGCTGTTTAATCGGTGTGCTGTATATTGCCCCCACACGTCCCCATGCCAACAGTCGTAGGCCACTGAAAGCCAAGGTTCTTTCAGAAAAAACTGTCCAAGATCTGGATTTAGGGAAACTCTGACGTTGTGATTTCTACTCAGGCATGGCAAGTGTCAGGGATGTCAGAGATGGTAATCTTTAGCTTTTATTGATAACTCTGTTCCAAGTTTGAACAAAACTCCATGACTGTTCCCTGTCCAAGGAGACGCTCTATATGTTGTCCTTGAGGCTCCTTTTTGCTTCCTCAAGGATACAGTTTCAGTTTGATTCACAACCCTTTAAAAAATTCCCTACAATGATTTGTAAAACAGCTAGAAACTTATTATCTAAATATGTCTATATCTAAATTTAAACTTCATAACGAGAACTGCCAGTGTGTTTGAATTTGGTGCCCCCCGTGGACAAAGTTGCAGTCTAAATCTTTTTGCTGGTAAGATTCTCATCCTTCTGCCTTTCAACGGTAAAATAAATCACTTATTGAGAATCTGTGCTGTGGAAATGTAAAGAGACCTCATTTTACACTGACTTTGTGGCACCAATTTAGACAAGAAAATGTAATATTCTTGCTGTTTCTGTCGTTGTTAGCTTTTGTAGAGGTAATCTTAGTCCATTCTATTACCAGCTAAAACTTCTCGCTAGAACCTAAGAAAAAAATCTTTCTCAGACATCAATCCTCACAAAAGTGGTAGATCATTGCATTGAACGTGAGTGCCTCCTTCACGCCAAAGTTGTTGCTTTCTAAAGTGAAAAATGTCAATGTTTTTTTTAATTGTCACCTGGCATTTATGGTCTCAATCAGTAGATCATAAATTATGAGGGAATCATAATCCATGAGTTTTAGATTGCTGCTTAAACCAGCGAAGAAACACACAAAAACCCTCATTTTCAGACACTAGAACATTTAGACTGAGGAGAAATGAATCAATAAATTGCTTGACTGGCTTGTGGCTGCTTATACTCAAATAATGCTGAGAGCCCGTGGGTGTGGATTTGTGTGACTCACATCATTTACACTGTTTAGCATTTCATTAAGAGGTTTTTATCGCACACATTGACTTGTATAACCTTTGTTGCATGCAAATGGCCACAGTTTTTTTTCCCCACTTATTATTGAAATCAGGACTTAAGTAAAAAAAATAAAATAAAATAAGACAGGAGAGTTGTTCTTTTAATTTGTCATTAAGAACCCCAAAATCTTAATGATGGATCCAAGTCTGACAAAGTATCTACTTCTTTTTCCATCTTTTTTACTCTCTCCTTTTAAAAATGTTTTTCCACCATTGCAACGTGGTCCTCTGTGCTGCTGTGTCCTATGAAATCCAACAGGCAGGTCTTTCCTGTCCATTTTACCTGGGAAGTTGTTCTCGTTTGCTTTAGTGCTGCTGGACAGAATTACAACCAAATCAGTCCAGTCTTTTGTTATCTGTTTGAAGCTCTCAAACTAGATGAGAGTTTTCATTTGCATGTAATAAAACTAAAGCAGATTACACTAAATGATAAGTGAAGTTAAAGGATGAAGTAGCAATATCTTAGACTTTGAAACAAAATGCAAGGCAGCAACAGAAAAAAACACCTTCATTATGAAAGCAAGATTAACATTTTACAACATATTTTCCGTTCCAGCAACACTGAAGAAGCACAGAGTCATTATACTCACAGTATATGTGTCCAAATGTAGTTTTTTCCCCAATCAGTCCATTTGTCTTTAACCGGTTTCTGTCAGTCTGGGTCTTGGTTCTTCTGTTCCATTCACCGAGCCTCCAGCTGCGAGCAACAGTCACACGCATGTGCTAGATGCCCTCCATCCCCCTTTACAAACACACAAACACACATCCATGACCACACACTGTGCATTCTCAATCAAAGCCAACAGCTGTAATGAAGCACAAAACCCTTAATTGTGTTCCTTTTATTTGGACACTAAACACATGCAAAATTGCTTACACACTACGCTCTCTGGAGAACAACAAATGAAAAATGTGTAGCCATTTGTTCGCTTATAGTAGAGAGTAAAAAGGAGGAATTTCAGTGGCCAAAAGAAGAGATCTTCTGTGAGCTGTTTTTGGCATTAATTACAGCACAATTTTAGGGGAAATAATCTATATTTTGATGTTTGAATGGACCTTTATTCAAGGGTGCATTCATCTGCAGGGAAATGTGCAGAGGTGTGCATTTAGTACTTTAGTAGTACAAATCTTAAGTATGTTCTGATGCCAAATAAATCCAAAGTTCTGACAAGACTTCCAAAATAATGATTGTTTGCTATCAATTATTATGTCAGAATTCATTCACAACATCTTAACTAAATCTAGCAATTGTATAGGAAAGTGCTGATTGACTTGTTTCCTGTTAAATGTAGGTTAATGGGGGATAATTGAGACTGCAGCAAAAGGGATCAATCAATCTCCATGAAGTGTTAAATGAGAATTCAATGAGGTGGCATTAGTCTGAAGCACAATGGAAAGATTTCAATCTATCCCCATATGTCACCAAACTAAGGAAATATACATAATGATATTTAAAGTGATATGTGTGACATTAAGCTTCATCTGCATCTTCAACATGTTTGTGGAAATGTCATCTTAAAGGGCCACTTTACTTAGGTACTCATAAAGCTGTTGGTATCACTCAGACCACAAAGTGTTACTAGTGTATGTTAAAATGGGATTACCTGTTCGCACAGTTGTATGCATGCAGTGGCTTCTGCATCACTTTTTCACATGCATGTCTGCCTCTAATGTACTGTAGTCTCTCCACATGTGTACTGAGGCCAGATGAAGTCCTTGCAAATGTAAATTGACCATCCATTCAGCATAATCAAATGGAAATGAAAGTACAAATGCACCGATTTATAATCTATGCAGGAAGGGTCATTTTAATTAAGCAGACAAAGACGAAATGTAACATCGTTGGATTCAGGGACACATCAAACACACAAATCCACCAAAGACGGTGAGGCATCCACTTTCTACCAAATAATTTGTGTGACAGCACAGTAGATATTTGAAGGGCTGTGACTGAGGCTAATATATGTTGACTTGACTTATGGTGTAGTCTGTAAAGCCGCTTTTATTGAGTTAAATCATTATTCAGATCACACTGCTCTGGTCAAGCAAACAAATTTGCAAATCAAATTCATTTTCAGCAAAATTTTGCCTGTTTCATGGAAATGCTTTTTGATTTAAATTACATTTTAGTTCGTTTTTGTCTTATTTTCATCAGTTTACTTTAAACCTGCATGTTTTTGCAGTTTGTTTTACGGATGCACGTGGTTCATTAAACACAAACATATTAAAACAATGATTTGTGTTGATGGAAGGAAGCAAAGTCTACCAGAGTCAAATTTCTTGCATGTGCACACAAACTTGGCACATGGAGCAGATTCTGTCATTACCTTTTTGACTTTATCTGCTGACACATTAGAATAGATGAAGTCATTCCTCTTTTTCGATGTTTGATTCCTTGACTTTGAACCTTCAAACTGTGTAAATTAATATTCTGTCATGGTTTCTGGAAAGAGGATAGACATTTGAGGCGCTATCTTTTTATTGCAGGTGCAGCCAACAATCTCTTCATCATCAAGTTCATCGATACCAGGTCAGGAAAATGCATACTGGACACAGGAGTTATTTGCACAGGGCTGTAGGCTATTTGTATGCCTTGATTCTGAATAAAATTAATTGTACAGAAAAATTACAGTTAGTCATAATAAGGGAGGGCAAAATTTACTGACAGCATAATTTAAAAGGATAACTTAACTCATAAGCAATCCTTATTTTGAATGAGTAAATCAAGTATGCAACACATGTTGTCATAATGAGCTGAGGGACGATGGGTGTTTTTGCTGAGTCATGACAGAAAAATCCAGAAGACAAGAGCTGAGAGGTAGAGGAGACAAGGAGTAGGCAGGATAGGCTGAGCAGCGCTGTGGGGCTCAGTCAGACAGAGAGTCTGCTGCAACATTTGGTGAGTCTCTGTACTGATGCCTGCAAAACACAAGAAAAAGACTCATGTAATAAGGCAGAATCTGTTTCATCGTGCCAGATTTCAGTGAGAGACTTACCATGTAAGAACCATTCCTTCCACACATTCAGAAAATCCGCTTCACGTCTCCTCCCAGAAACTGCATCAGATTAGAAAAACATTACTATGGAGAAATTCCAATCAGGAAAACAGAAGATACGTCTGTGTTACCTCTGGAGTTCTCTATCAGCAGATGTTTTAGATCTCTGAGAGCTCGAGTGAGGTTTTCCAGTCGGTACTGAAGGTGGAGGTTTTCTTCTTGCAGAGTATTGATGGTGTCATGTAGCTCATAGGCCGAGCTTCCGAGCGAATGTAGAGAAATCCCAAGCAAAACTGTTGCAATTTGTAAGCTGGAGAACATTTTACCAGTAATGTCATATAGATTAGTCAAATCTGCTGCTGGTCACAGTCCTGTTAATCCTTTAGCAGCTCCAACTTGTTTCAAAATAAGGTAGAGCTGGTAATGTTATTTAAGAGCTGGCCTACTTCCGTATCTAGATTGATTTGCTGATGGGCGACTAAAAGCTTTTGGCCTGCTAACAACTCTGAGGGATCAATTGCTCTGTTTGGGTCACATAGTCCAATTTAGAGAGAAACACATGAAGCTCTTTTACATTAATAAATCATCAAATAAGTGAAGTCCATGCTCTTCTCTCAGTGAAACATGATGGAAAGATAACTTGATAAATCTTAATAATGATTAAATAATAAAGTAAACCAAGCTAGAATAAATGAGAAAGGCAATCAGCATGGTGGCGTCTACCCAGCCCAACTTTCTGTAAGCCCTATAGATGCACTGGACAAGCAAGTCTGATCCATGAAGGCCCCCAATTAGTAACGTTGTGGGTTTAAAGGATCTGCTGTTAGGATGGTCATGCTTTGGCTGATATGTATTTACAATAGTTAGCGTGAAAGCTCAAAGCAGACAGGCATCCATACATCTTGTTACTCCAGTTCCTGTGATAACAAGTGGATTCCAGCCGTCAAGAGAAAGATAGTTGTAAATTCTAGAATTGTGAAAAAAAGGGGTTAGGGGTAGGGCCAGCTAACAATAATCCAACCCTATCAGTAATGTTATCACGGGGAATCATCTTGTTTTTTATGTTAAAGTGTTGATTAATTTTCAAGTAACTTTACAGTACCAGAAAACCTAAAGCATAGAGAGACGTTTTCGCCTGTTAACAAAAAAAAAAAAAAAAAAAAAAAAAAAAAAAAAAAAAAAAAATATATATATATATATATATATATATATATATATATAATGAATAATAATAATAATAATAATAATAATAATAATAGAACTACTAGTAGTAAAATATGTTAAGTCATAATCATGATAAACGCAGTCATAATAATGAAATACTATCTCGTAATTATGATTTTGTATCTCAGAATTATGACTTGGTATCATGAGATAAAAAGTCATAACTATGGGATACTATCGCATAATTACGATTTAGCTTTTATTTTCTACCGTTCTTTTTTAACTTGCGGAAACAGGCTTCCATACTGAGGCGACTCAAGTTAAAAATACAATATAAAAAAAAAACTTACCTGTAATCAAATCTGAGCTCAAGTCTTTAGGCGGAAGTACTTCGGAAACCTTTCATCATGTTCCGGATTGATTTCTGGTTCACGGAGGATCCAAGATGGCGACTCACATGTCGAGGTGCCGAACCTGGAGTCGTGTTCAAAGGTAGTGCTCTTTTTGACATAATTCCCTATTACTGTGCTAAGACTTGACATAAATAACTAAAATGGTAAAGCCAGTCTGTTGAGTTTCCTCCATGACACCTGCAGTGTCGTCATGGTCTCCTCTGTGTAGGTTAGCTTCTCCTATTAGCATCCTGCTAACCGAGAGCAGTTTAAACAAGTGTAGTCCTGCTGTCAGGAAGAAGGCTGGGTCAATTTTACACCAGAAACAAACGGCAGCAGGACTTTATGGCGTTTATCGTTACAGCCTCTCTGTTTACATGCTCACTCTGTCCCTCTGCTCTACTAACGCACACTTTATTTTTCTCTGTTCGTGATTATTATAAAATAATGTTAAAAATCACCCCAGGACCCTTCATCAACACCACAAACTGAAGACAAACCAACCCGTTATAGATATATTATCAATGGTAGAGACTGTCATAGTGGGTTGCAATGGTGGTCGTAATGTTGTGGCTGGTCAGTGTGTAATTCTCATATTGTGGTTTTATCTTTTAAGTCATTTAAGCAAAGCAATATTCAGAACTATTCAGAATGTAGTATTAATACCATCAGAGATCTCCGACAGTGACATCTGTTTCAAATTATGTTTACAAATGCACATGTACTGCAGTAAACTACAGCGTTTTGTGGATGAAACTTTGGTCAAGTTTAATGTATAGTTCTTGAGGGACATGTCAAGCATTTTCACCACCATGACACACACCTCCTAATCAGAGATGCATTATATGTCGGTATCGTATTGGTATCAACAGATAATTGCTCAAAAAGTTAATTATCTGTATTGACAGATATGAAAAATTTTAAAAATTTTGAAAAATCCAGCAGATACCTATAAATAAAATTCTAAAATAAATCAGATGCAATGCATTACCGTATTTTTCGCACTATAAGGTGCACCATCAATGAACATGTCTATTCGCGTCTGTTTTCATACATAAGGCGCACCGGATTATGAAGCGCATTAAGCCAGACAAGTCAAACTTTATTTAAATCATTCAATAACTCTGCGAGGCTATGGTAGCTGCAGTGCTCTGACAAGTCAAAAGGATTTTAAGTGCGCCTTATAGTGCGAAATATACGGTACATGTTGGCAAGAACATTGTGTACCTGCTGGTAACACTCAAAAGATTGGGGTCGAGTTAGATGTAAATATTTTCCAATGTACATCTAACATTGGAAGAAGAAAAAAAAGTTTTCTCCCTGCACAGGAATGAATCTGGAACATTCTGAGTTTCTGAGAAATTGTATGTCAACAGACCTGCGCTTGATTCTGTATGCAAACAATACTGTGTGGACAGATACATTTCTCAGAAAGCTCAATAAAGGACAAGAGAAATGAGGCACCAAGCATGTTTTATGGTGACCAAACCAGCTAAATGTTGACAACCAGAGACTAGTGAATGGTTAACATTTGATGATGTTACAGTGGGCCTCATTTTGCTCATTTGTTTGTTGTTCCTCCAGGTTTGGGATCGCAGCTTACAGAAAATACAGCAGTGGCAGCGGATACCCAAATATCTCCCTCTCCTCACCCCTGCCTGGGATCCCAAAGCCAGTGTTTGCATCTGTCGATGGCCAGGAAAAATATGAGACAAGGATCACTACATTAGAAAATGGCCTCAAAGTCGCTTCCCAAAACAAATTTGGTCAATTCTGCACGGTTGGAAGTAAGTTGTGGCACCAACATGTAAACTACAGTAACCATGTGTCCTCAGGATCAAATGAAATAGTTGAAACAACTTTGTTTTCTTCCTTGTTTTCAGTTTTAGTAAACTCAGGATCTAGACATGAAGCAAAGTATCCCAGTGGAATAGCACACTTTGTAGAGAAACTTGCTTTTTCTGTGAGTAAAACATTATATTTAAAGCTATAAAGGGATGTGGTGTGTAAAGTGAAAGTGACAACAGTGATTTTTTTTGGTCTTCAGTCCACAGCTCAGTACGGGAGCAGGGATGAAATACTCCTCACGCTGGAAAAACACGGAGGGATTTGTGACTGCCAAACATCTAGGTACGTCATCGTTCAGCTCAGCGCCTCAGTGTCAGAGAAATGTTCTCTTCCCCACCTCCTATGATTGAATGAGTCCTCTCCTCTGGACAGTTGATCAGCTGTTGTATATCTTGCTTATGTTGCTGTGCAGAGACACCACCATGTATGCAGTGTCTGCTGAAGTCAAGGGTCTGGACACGGTGGTCAGTCTTCTCTCTGATGCAGTCCTCCAGCCTCGCCTGCTGGGTGAGTCCACTGTTGTTTGACCTGATAGATTCAAAGGATCTTTCTGTCTCTGCTGCCTGTGTTTAAAATCCTGAACAAAGATTTTTGTTTTTTTAACATCCAGATGAAGAGATTGAGATGACTCGAATGGCGGTGCGCTTTGAACTTGAAGATCTAAACATGAGGCCTGACCCCGAACCCTTACTCACCGAGATGATCCACGCTGTGAGTCACATCATTTTTCTTTCTCTGAATCCTCCATAATCTTAAACGCAGCAGGGCTGTTATTAACAAACAGGACAGCTAAAGGGTATTAACTAATTGATAATTACCTTCTGTGCTTAATTGTTTGATCAGCAAGTGTTTATATTGTTAAATGAGGATAATTAAGGATTAGGTGTGCCCTGAGCGACAGTAGAAACAGCCCTGCCTCAACAATTTCACATATTTACAAGAGCTTAAAAACTCTTTGACTATAAAGATAGACGTCAGTCAAAATAACGGAAACCCAGCGGTGAGGAGGATCAGTGTATCACATAACTTTTAATCCGTCTAACATGAACTTTACCCTGTTTCAAGGCAGCGTATCAGAACAACACTGTCGGACTTCCTCGTTTCTGTCCGGTCCACAACGTGGAGAAGATCGACAAGAAGGTGCTCCACAGTTATCTGCGCAACTACTACAGTCCTGAGCGGATGGTCCTGGCTGGAGTGGGTATTGAACACGAGCAGCTGCTTGAATGCGCCCGGAAATACCTGCTGGGTGTGAAGCCAGTGTGGGGAGCGAGCTCGGAGGCAAACGTGGACCTCTCTGTCGCTCAGTACACCGGCGGCATCGTCAAGGTGATTCTTTGGTTTTATTGTTATAACTGGAAAGGCATAGCGCAACAGCAACAGTTCCATCTTTCTGAAGCAGTGTTGGAGCTAAAACAAAGGTGTTTCATCCACATTTTAGTTCCCTGATAATTCTGTTTTTACCTGTTAGATGGAGAAGGACATGTCTGATGTCAGCCTTGGCCCTACTCCAATCCCTGAACTCACCCATATCATGATTGGCCTGGAGAGCTGCTCTTTCCTGGTGTGTCTGCGGTGCCTGCTTATCTCCACTGACTCTGTCATGTGATCAGATGCATGTAACAACACGCACACGGATTAAAACAGGTTCTACCTTCACAGGAGGACGACTTCATCCCATTTGCAGTGCTTAATATGATGATGGGGGGAGGTGGATCCTTCTCTGCAGGGGGACCTGGGAAAGGAATGTTCACCCGCCTGTACCTGAACGTGCTCAACAGGTGAAAGTTCACTCAGCCTTTTAGATGATTACATCTGATAATAAATCAGTGAAAAAATAGTTACATGAACTTTTTTTGTCTTCTTTAGGCATCATTGGATGTATAATGCTACCTCGTACCATCACAGTTATGAGGACAGTGGTCTGCTGTGTATCCATGCCAGTGCAGACCCCAGACAGGTTTGTACAGACCCCGGACAGCAGGGTTTCAAACCTTATTCAGCTTTTTAACGCCAATGCTGTCTCATCCCTTTTATGTATGAGGAGTTCTTATCATTCATATTGTGTGACTCCAGGTGCGAGAAATGGTGGAAATAATCACCAGAGAGTTCATTCAGATGGCTGGTAGTGCAGGAGAGGTAACTATTGTAGTAATATCAGTTTAAAGAAATGAAGGTCATTTACCCCTGTGAGAGGGATGTACTGATCCTTGTCCCTTTTGTTCGTCCAGATGGAGCTGGAGAGAGCAAAGACTCAGCTCAAGTCCATGTTGATGATGAACCTTGAGTCACGGCCGGTCATTTTTGAAGACGTCGGTCGTCAGGTTCTCTCCACAGGAAAGAGAAAGTTGCCACATGAATTGTGTGATTTAATAAGTGAGTATGGAACAAACTAAAAATTTGTGTATCCCATCTGAAAATATTGGAAATGACCATATGTTTGAAAGCAGGCTAAAGAAACAGCTTTTTATTTTTCCTATGGAGAAGACTCACAGAGGGTGGTAGATTTCACTGCTCGTAGACAACATGATGAGGTTTTTGTCTGAAAAGACAGGAGAAGAGATGAGGGGTATCACTTTGTCCACAGGGGGGCGCCAAAACTAAAACAAGCCAAATTTCCTCACTGCAGCTTCAAATATAACAGAGTCCCAGTTTATCATGGTGCGCTTTATATGACTCAAACTAACAGGTTTTGAAATCTTTTATTTGCATTGATGTAGTTTTTCTATTTGTTGGTAATTTTAGGTAACGTGACTGCCAGCGACATAAAGAGGGTGACCACCAAGATGCTGCGCAGTAAGCCTGCAGTAGCAGCCCTGGGTGACCTGACAGAGCTGCCGTCATACGAACACATCCAGGCCGCCTTATCCAGCAAGGACGGGCGTCTGCCCCGCATGTATCGCCTCTTCAGATAGACATCCCCGGACCTGAAAGTCGAGCCAGACTTCACTGGCATACATCAGTGTAAATAAGCTGGACTGAAAGATTCACTCGTGTTCCCTCCCACCAACACAGAACTCGACACAGCTCACTCCGGGAGGGGACTAGAACCCGGGCTCTCCACTGATCCTCTGAGTATGAGGATTTTAAAGCAAAATTCATTTTACTCCACTGTCCTCTATGCTCAGTCAGAGTTTCTGTATTTATTCTAAATGAGCCATATTTCACTATCAGCTGGGTGGTTCGCAGGGGTTTGCTTGACATGGACACTTCCCCCAAAAGTCAGAGTGAGATTTCTGTTTGAATCTCCCCACTGTTCGGTGATGAACAAGTTTATAGATATATAACATTTTATCATGAATTCACCTTCAATATATTGGCGAGAGAAAGGCATGGCATTGATACCCAGAACTGTCTACGCTGTTCTTACCGCTCCTGACTCTTTTTCTATGATGGATGGGAAATAAAGCAGATGAGAATCTCGTATTTATACGAATGCACTTCATGATCTCAGTCCTGTGATAGATTAAAGGGAAAAAGGCGAGGGGAAGGGTTTTTGTCTTTATTTCAAAGATACTATCCACATTTAGAGAATGTATAGTCAAGTTCAAACTTAGGTGTCGCTGCAAATATATAATATAACAGTTAAAAATATTGAGACTTTTAACGCTGAGAATCAAATGTTGACCAAATGTTTAAAACATAATCTTCAGATTGACCTTTAATTTCAGCCTGGCACAAACTCCAAAATTTAACTTAAACTTTCAGTTTTGTTCCCAAACTTTTATTTTTTGAAACACACAAAAATGACACAGAGAAATTCTCCTCCTCTCTTTTTTCTTACGCCCATCTCTATTCTTTGTTTAATTTGGACTGTAGAGGACACTTAAAATTAGAGGAACAATTTGACTTCAGGGAGAAAAATCTGTTTGTATTCTGGTGGAGAGTTAACTCTGAGATGACTTTAACATTCGAGTTTTACCATCAAATATGACAGAAATTTACAGGCAGTTTTTCTGCTGAGGCAAATTTACTGAGATGACTGAACAGCAAAACAACTCACTCAAATCTGTGTCAACTTAAAGCTCCAGTGAGGAGTTTTTGGACATTAATGTCACACTGAAATTCACGTTTTTCCTTTCTTGAGATAAACTAAAGCAAACAAGACTATTAGCAACAACATTTAAGATTTTTATTACGTTGTTTTTGACAACCAATACTGCTGCAAGGGGGTAGGTGTCACCCAAGCAGCTGAAGACACAGCCCTGCTTCTGAAGTGTCCATATATAAATAGTTTATTTGGCTGTCAAAAGTCAAATCTTTCAAACTAATGCAGTCAGTGGGGCTGCTCTGTGGATTGCCTCGACATGTTGCACTTTTCCTTTAAAAGATTCATTCATGCTAATAATTAGGATGTTAAAAAAAAAAAAAGACACTGGTGTATTTCTACTGGCTCATAACATCTGTAACCCAACAGCTACATGTAATTACCTCCGTGAATAAAAAAACTATATTTTAAGGCTCTCTCTGTTTGAGTGTGCTGAACAAAATGTGACTTCTGAGGGAGAGTTTTTGTAAACATTTATTACAGGATGTCAGTCAACATATAAAAAGACGGGTAAAGATTAGAGGCCCTGAAGAAACAAAGAAGACTCACAGGCACTTTTAAGAGCAGACTGTACTCTTCATGCCCCCAGATGCTGTTAATGTTACAGTACATGGATTACAGTCAAGAACACATGAAGCTACACAGCCGTGAAACAAGAGGTAAGGCATCAGTTTGTCAGAAAGAATCACTTGGCCTAACAAGAGAAAAGTAGTGACCGGTGTTAACAGTATAATTACTCAGTTATCTAAAAATACATTTGATCTCCCTGAAATTCAACAGTAACATTTAACAAGTCGTAACAATAGGGACTGTAGTGTTCATCACCGCTGTGCTTATGACTCTACATTTGATCCTAACGCACTTTTTCAGTCAAACTTGATCTCTCCTATTAAACGTTCAGTTTAAAATCTTAATTCAAGTTAAAATCAGTCAATGGCAGACAGCTGTATGACCGTACAAAGTGCAACTCGACACAGAAATGTTCAGTAAGCGGATGGATGTGAGATTAAGAAGGCATTTGAACACTGATGTAGCATTCAGACAATCATATCATTACAGTTCATTATGCTTTTTTAACCATCTTTAAAAGTCAGGAAATGAATGCAGACAGACAGAGGTTTTTAAGGTCAAATCAGTCCAGGCCAGAGCTTTGTAACAGAAAAGTAAGCCACAACCACAGCCCCCCTCCCCCCACACACTCCTGTTCGTGAAAAGGAAGCTGCTAAATAAATAAAGACCAGACTGCTGTGTCTGCAAACCTTTAGTCTGCCTGACCTCAAGGTCCCTGCCCTCAAGTCCAGTCAGCCACTTCCACCAGGACTCTCTCACACATACCATGTTCCCCATAATGCCCAACAGAGGGCGCACCCTGCTCACCCACTATGACCAGAGCCCAGCTCTGAGAAATGTCAGTCGGAAAACTCTGGTTTCCTTTTTGGCCTCGTCCCACCTGCCTGGTTTTTGAGTTCCAGTTTCTGGCACAGTTTCATCCTGTCACGACAGGACCAGAGTTTATAAAAAGGTTTTCAGGAGATGGTGCAGATGGTGCTGCTGCTTTGGTTCTTCATGGCCTCCCTTCTCTTCAGCTCTCTGGTGATCCTCCTCCTGATGCCCTCCAAGTACAAGCTTCGGTCAAACTGGCCTGCCCCCAGTGGAATACTAAACAACACAAAAAGAACACAAAAGACTTAAAATAAGTCTTCATGGAAAGACAAGAGTCAGAGTTCAGAATTTAAACACAAGGGAATGGGAATCTAACAAAGAAAGACAATAGTATCATCAATACAGACCTGCAAAAGTCTATTCATAACCTACAAAAGCAAATGAGACCATTGAGACTATACTGTGATTCTTAACAACTATAACCACTGTGAGGGGGGCAGGAGTAAACTTAAAGTAAAAATGGTGTAAATGTCATTCTCTGAATTGAATAAAGTCATTAAAGTAATTTTCTCACAAGAACAAAATCACAATACAATCATATTCTTATGAAGAATTATGAGTTCCAGAAAAAAAAGTCAATTTTCAACAACAATAGTCATAAATAAATCATTTTCTCCCAAGAATTAAGTTGCAAAAACACAAATTTCTCATGAAAATAAAGTTGAGAAAAGAAGGCATTACCTCAGAAGAATTAAGTTGTGCAAAAGTCATTTCTCAATAAACAAGTCTTCAAAAGTCAAGAGTAAAGTTGCAAATAAAAACTTCTAAGTATTTGTTCTAAAAAGTCATTTCCTCCTGAGGATAAAGTTGAGAGAAAGTTATCTTATAAGAACAAATCCATAAAAAGTCCTCCTCTAACAAGAATAAAGTCTTAACAAGATAACATGCTCACGAGAATCAAATCAAAAGGAAATTGAACTGAAATGTTTTCTTTTAAATTAAATTATAAATTATAACTCAAATAAAGTCGTAGTAAAGTCATCATATTTTAGGAGTGAAATCATGTTATGAGGATAAACAGTCCTGATAAAGTTGTAGTTCTGGTTTATGTTGAGCATCAAACTAACTGTGACAGAGTCAAGAATGTGGAGAGTCTTGTTAAATAGTACTTCATCTTGTGGCAAACAATGTTAGAAGTATCAGGACCCTGAAAAGGTTGTGCAAAAAACTGCATTGAGTGATATCCCCCTAATCATGACAGTTTATAATCCCACCATCCAGAGTGCAGGAGGACCTACAGCGGCGAGGGTACACAAGAAAAAAACTCACTGGAGCTATTGTGCCTTTTTTTGCCTTCTTATCATGATGTTATAAAACTTAATGATTCTTCTCTTTATTTAATGATGCACTAATAAAAACCTACTCATAAATGTCTGGTTGGATTTCAGGCAGAAACCTACAAATCTTCCATACTGGTCCTTTAAAGGATCTTTCTCTAATGGCAGTGGGACTTACTTATCTCTGCCTGGTCTGAGTTTGACCTGGAAGACGCCGATGACTGGCCGATGGTCTGAGGTCTTGATGCTGGAGCAGCTGGTGTACTTGACCACCTGTATGTCATCTGTCTGCCTGTTTCTGAACAAGATCCTGTCCTGTGAACATAAGCAGAGCAGTTTAATCCAAGATGATGAATTTAGCACCCTTGTTAGTTTGGCAGATTAAAGTGTTTATATTACTGAATACAGGAGCAGCTTAGGTTATTTCCTTACTGTGTATGAAGGTGTCCTCTGTTTAGAAGTCGTGTCATAGATATCACAGCCAATGTCAAACTTGTATGTGGGGCGGAAATGTATCGGTGCCTCTTGGAAGCCTTTAAAGATGGAGCCTAAGGAAGCAAAGCAGCACAATCAGAGCGAACATCAACCTCACAGTAAAACCTCTCTAGACGCTGAAGCTTTAACTGTCTTTGTGACAGCGTACCCTCTTTAATTTCTTTGGAGAGCTGGTCGTGTTCCAAAAGAGGGCCCATGTCCCCTCCTACTGTGCGGTTTATGATGGACTCTACATCGACACGGTCCTTACTTATTCGAAAGTTGAAATCTCCAAACCAGAAGACCTGGTCGAATCTTGTGGTGACGTCAGCTGCAAAAGAAAGTAATATGCTTTGATTATTTTGAGCCTTTATGTGACACCATCAAGGCATTAAACCCAAATACTTGAAAATCTTACATGGTGTGGAGCGGTATGGGTTTGTGTCTGGAAGGCCTTTTGGAAGAGCCAGAGCCTCAACAATCTTGTTGTAGTCCAGTATCCTCTCGTAAACTTTGGCATCTCCAGCTTGAGGAAGAAGAGATATTATAGATGTTAAAGCACTTTGGTGAGTGTCTCAGCGACCTTAAATAACTACAACGTTTTCCTCTTTGTACTCGAAGGAGGCAAATTTCATTCTGGTACATCTTCTAAAACAAAAACTACAAAACTCATCAGTCCTATCTACAAACTCCATGATGAAACCCTCCTGTGACAAACACCACTGACTTTGAAACCTTTACTTACAGGTAAAATGGGATGTGATGAAGAGGAAAGAAGTCCCGAAAAAGGTAAAAGCCAGTCCCACAGCCCCTTTGGTCTTGATCTGAGAGATGATCCTGGTTGTGACTGTGGCATGCTCCACTTCTGCGTGGACCAACAGAAAAAAATGATACTGTTGATTTCACAACCAGGACATAGTGATAAAAATACAACAACATCCACTCAGGAAATACAACATCACAGCTGACCTGAGCAGAACCAGATGAGGTCTCTCCTGACAAACACGTTTAGATACAAAACACCATGTGCTGCAGCGTACAGCATAACATAGTAAGGTCCCAGAGTCTCCTGAAGACGGGTCTCCCACTCCCTCCTGCACATACAGAGCCACATATAAAGCAGCGTAAGGGAGTGATCAATCACAGCTTCTATTTAATCACTCATACCAGAATCAAACATACCTGTCAGGGCAGCCCTCCTGAACCCCGATAACGTAAAAATCTTGTGCAAATTCAGAGTCTGTTGGAAGGAGGAGATCATCTAAGTTGGATGGAAGCCCCTGAAAAACACAGAGCCAGGATCACAACTCAGTTTGGGCCTGAACATGAAGGCGAAACTGAACTTAATGTGTCTTTTTTTCTCATGAGAAGCCACAGAGCCCTGGTTTTCTCTTGCCTTTTCTCCCTGCATGTTCCATGTGGCGACGTAGATGCCCACCCTCCTGTCGGGGAAGTAGCGATCCAACTCTTCTGCCCCTAGCAGAGCACGGCTTCCCAGCACGCTGCCTTCCAGGAAGCTCCTGAAATTTGAAGGAAAACAGGCAATCTTTTTAGCCTAAGACACTTGAATATTTGATCATATCTAACAGTCAGATTCTGGATTGGAAAGCTCCCTTCCTCACCCCTCCTGTTGGTTTGGACAAAGACAAGACACACCTGTGATGCATGGAAAGTATAATCCTCCATTTTTCATGTTTTTACAATCAAGAACATCATCAGTACAAATCAAGTTACACACAAAAAACACTCTCTTCTTCTTATAGGTGCATTACACTGGCTGCCAATCATTAAAAACTAAAACACACATATGTTCACAACCATATGTACATTTACCCTCGTTCATGTCATCACTGGCCCACGTCCAAACCAGGAGCTAAGGTCCATTAAAAGAGGCTGGCTTTATTTTAATAGACTTCTGACACCAGGAAGAGTTATTACACCTTATCACACCTCTGAAGATGATTACAGTCGAGCTAGATCATCTGTGTAGTCCACTAGAACTGTACCTGTTCCTCACATCCTGGGGTCTGATGGGGCTGAGCACGCTGTAAGTAGACCTCATGGAGTTGACAGAGGCGCTATCAGAGCCCATGTTCTCCAGAAGCCGACTGTCGCTCAGGTTCCTGTGGAGTCTCTCCCCGTGTTTCTCTCTGGCCAGCACTGCATAATCCAAACAATCCCTGCCAATCCTATTAGCCGCCCTTAAAGAGGCCGATGCAAAGCTCTTCTCCAGAGCAGGCAGCGGCCCCGTGGGTTGCACTGGAGACAGACGCACCTTGGCGGACCTCACTCTGTGGTCTGTGAGGTCGCTCTGCTGACTGGTGGGCCTCCGCTCATACTCAGACAGACTGCTGCCTCTGTCCCGGAAGACTGGGGATCCTCTAGTAATAGCAGAACCCGGTCTCCCACTGGAGTCCTGGTTATTCCTGGTAGTGGCAGCACCTCTGAGAACGAACCCACCTGGTGCAGAAGCAGTTTGGTCGTCTTTGAGTGAGTCTGTGGAGGAGCCGGTCTCAGTCGGGTCACTCAGACTCTCTTGACTGTTTTTCAGCCTTCTGGTTCTTATGGTCTCCTCCACTGAGCCACTTCTACTGGACAGCCGGGGTCGTAGGGGAGGTCGAGGCTGGTATGGGCTGATCTCCCCATCTGTGTTTGTGGCACTGGGTTTAAGGGCATCCTTGTGTTCCTTGCAGGGTTTGGTGGTCACAAAGGGGGTCTTGAGAGCCCGGCTGTCGTTGACAACTGAGTCTCCTTTACCAGTCTTCTGCTGGAGGCTGTCCTCTCCATCCTCAGCCATCCTCTTCTCCTGTCTGACACCAGTTGTAGTCAGGTGGCTGAAGCTTTCTCATTATTGACAGACATACACCTGAACACACAGGGAGGACAATCAGTCAGTGTAATCCTCATCAGTTCAATGACTTTGTTTCGTCTGCTGAATCCTCTTTTCACACCCGCTACTACAAACACTGTTGGCAGCCATTAATAAGAGTGTATTAAAACAGCAACATTAGTCAGTGATCGCTTTGGGACCTTTTATTTTACATGTTGTATAATAAATAGTAGCAGCGTTAGTTAGTTTTAGAGAACGAATCAAGCTGAAATCTCAGAGTAAATCACGTAGTTTCGTTTTAGTGTTGCTGAACAATGATGCATTGATTTTAGCTGACATTATCTGACTTTCTGAGTGAATAATAACATCTTATGAATCATTACTAAGAGTTAGCAATACAGCTAGCTGTGCTAACGCTTGAAACCATCGTTTGTGAGATGTTACTAGTAAACAGGTAAAATTTCAAGAGTCGTATTTACTTGAGTATTTTAGTGTTATCACGCTGAATCAAAGTTACCTCTCGTTCACAGTTGGGGCTTACTTAAAAAGTACCGTTAGCTCGACTACTTCCCTAGCAACGTTTGACAACACTCTCTGTTTCCAAGACAAGAGTGGCACTGCAGAGCGCAGAGGAAGCGTCACAGTGCTCCCGTGTGCTCAGACGGAGGTACTACATGCTGTCCATGCTTACCACTGTGAGTTGTTACCATAGACCAGGGGTGGGCAATCATGTGCCATGGAGGGCCGAGAGGTTGCAGGTTTTCTTTCCAACCCAAAACTCCACCAGGTGATTTCACTGATTACCTTACCTCCGAGCAGAGAGCAGGGACTAATCAGTGAAATCACCTGGTGGAGTTTTGGGTTGGAAAGAAAACCTGCAGCCTCTCGGCCCTCCATGGCACATGATTGCCCACCCCTGCCATAAACTGTATATAGTAGTGGTTCTCCAGTCCTTGAGGCCCACTATCCTGCATGTTTTGGATGTTTCCCTGCTCCAACACACCTGATTCAAATGATTAGCTCGTTATTAAGCCATTACAGAGCTTGATAACGAGCTGATCATTTGAAGGACGGGGGGGGCTCGAGGACTGGACTTGAAAACCATTGGTATATAGAATAGATATAGTATACAGTCTATGGCTGTTACCTACCCTTGTGTTGGACGACGATACGGAAGCGTGTTGCATTCAACGGAGAAAACAAAATCTCATTCCTTCCATCAAATTGCAAATGCCTCAGTTTCTTTCATACAATTCACTGCTGTTGTATAACATTATCATTTGCTTATGTCATGTCAGTCAAAATGAAACATACTTATGAATGCTGAATAGTCATTCCCTAAAAAACTAATAGTCCTCATTTCATTGCTTAAATCATTACATACAAAAATGTTGAACTAGTTCTCAAAATCTGTTAAGACAATTACTGAATTTCTTTATAGACCTGTATACTCTATATATAGACTGTATATAGTATAGTGTATACAATCTACAGGTGAACCTCAGCTGTCATTGATAAGGAGGGCTATGTGAAGCATTAGTTGCAATTAATGATAAGCCACAGTCACTCAGGGTGAATCTCATGAAGCCTTACTTGGCTTGGCTAGCATATATGAACCTCACAGAGGTGGAAGAGGACCCCTAACAAGAGGAAGTCATTTGTGCAATGGTGATTGCAAACAATGCCATCAGTTTGAGAGAGAAACAAAGTGCTGTATTAGAGTACCCTCACTGAATACAGTCATGTGTAACTTTACTGTAGTTTTCAAAAGGCTGTGCAAATAATTTATAGTCCTTTCTTGAGCATTTTCAGGTAGCGTCACCAAGATCTGACTGTGTTGCATTTGAAAACACTTACAGAGTAAACAGTCATAATGAAAATATGACAAAGCCATTTGACTATCTGGTTCAGAAACAATAGTGTCAGGACTTTTCCTTTTGATGACACTGACACTTTCATTGACATGAATACTTTTGGGGAAACAACCATCCATTTTGCGCGAGTGACGCACTTTTTCTAGATTTAGCAGTTTCGAGAAATACACTAACTTTGGCACAAATTTTAAAAGTGTTGTGAGAAATGCACCAAAGCAGCTGAACAAAGCTGTAACTAGATAATAATCTGAAAATGAAAAATGAAGATTTTCTGCTCTCTTTTGGTGAATAAATATGATCGTTTTCTCATGTTTTTTTGATTATCTCCTTAATTCAGAAAAACAGAACTTTTATTTCTAAAGGGTATGTTATATGCCTCAAATTATGAAGCTATACCCTCTTAAAATGATAAATTATATATTTTTTTAAACTTATTCATTAAATTTTTTAAAAATTCTTTATATGTTATTTTTAGACTTTCAAATCATCCCAATGTAGATAGATAGATAGATAGATAGATAGAAATAAGAGTAAAAATAACTTTATTAATCCCCAAAGGGAAATTTAATTGTCTGTTGTCTCACAAAATATGTCTCTAAAAGTTATCTATTATTTACACGTTATAAAACATTTACAAGAGTTATAAAGTCTGATGGCTGTTGGTACAAAAGATCTTGTGAATCTTGATGATCTGCAGCGAAGAGAGAGGAGCCGTCCACCACCATTGGCCATAGATAGATAGATAGATAGATAGATAGATAGATAGATAGATAGATAGATAGATAGATAGATAGATAGATAGATAGATAGATAGATAGATAGATAGATAGATAGATAGATAGATAGATAGATAGATAGAAGTTTAGTACGTTCCAAATATATTGCTTAAATTTTTTCTTTATGTGATCTACTGATGTTATCAGAAACTATGGGTTTAGTCAGACTGTCAACAGAGAGAGGTGAAATCATAAACAATCAGATGTGACACTCTTTCAGCAGATTGATCTGATATGTGTGGTGTGTGTGATCGATCAGGTTACTATTGTTAAGGGACTGTGACCAATCAGAATTAAGTATTCACAGGTTATAAAGCATCAAATACACCATACTTGAATATATTTAATACAATCTAATATATGATATTTTGTTGCTGTTTGATGACACACTAACCATGAATACATTGGTAACTTGTAAAAAACAAAGGCTGATCATCACATCCTGCTAATGTTGTGTATAAGATGCTGATGCATGCCAACGTGATTTAACAAATGACATTTAGGCAAGAAACAAAAAAACCAGCAGAATAATGTTGCTGACAACAAAAGAGTTTATGTCACACTGAAAAAACAATGTCAAGGTGTGACCCCTGACTGTTAACCCTTTCACTCGCCCTGTGACCCCCACGCAGTAAGAGAAAGACTCTGTGAGCCCACTGGCCCCTGAAAAAGTGAACCATATTCTGTGCATTTCTATGACTCTGCTGCTGGCTCAGGGGTTTAGACAAAAGAACTGGTCTTTGGAGCAGGTATAAAAGGAAAGGGTTAAACCAGGAAAGGACACACTTGGTGCAAGACCAGCAGCAGCAACAGCAGCAGCAACAGCAGCAGCAACAGCAGCAGCAACTCTCGAACCAAAAAGATGTCTTCTACTGGCATGAACAACATGGGCAGGGTAAGCGCTTCATTTTCATAGTGTGACTGCGACAGGACGATTTCAAACTCACCACTCTGCCTGAAACTTAGAGAGACCAGAGCTCATTTTGACTTTTTAAAGCTCCTGTGAAAAACTCTCTGTCTGTGCTAATCCTGGCACCCCAGATGGATGAACGGGTACCTTTGTATGTAAAAGTGGTGTTTATTGACAAAAGCTCTCCTGCTGTTGTGTTTAAACTGTGAAATGTGTCACTCATGTGAATATTTGCTGTTTATTTAGTGGGCCTACCCACTCACAGCAGTTATAGGCACTAAAAAGGACCATTTCGGTATTGCCAATCCTGTTGGTGATGGTCTCAATTGGTTTTGAACTCCATAGAGAAACTCAGTGTTCATTTCAGACTGTTTCAAAACCAAGTGAAAAACCCCCACAGGGGCTTTAAGCTACGAACAGTTTTCATAATAATCAGTCAAATCAATTGTGTAAAAATACTGCAATTATTTGAGCTCCTAATCGTGTAATTTGTATTTGGGCAAACAGCATTTTCTCTATCTCATCCTGTTCATTTGAACATTTTTAATCACTTATTAAGAATTTTAGCCTTGTGACACTCAAAAAACTATTTTGGAGTGGTACACCTACCCTCCACCTGGGGTTAAAGACTGAAAAAACAACATGCAGAGGAGTCCCTCATCATGGTCATGGCATTTTTTACTCTTATAGCTCTTTACGGAAAATTAGAATAAATTTCAGCCTGTTTCATAACCAGCTAAAAACCCATCACAGGAGCTTTAAAGGGCCAGATTTTATTTTACCTTTTTGCCTGGACTTTTTTCTGCCAGCCTCATGGAGAACAAGAAATAAAGTAAACACATAATTACAAATGGCAGAGTACAACGAAAGGATCAGCAGTCTAACTTTAGGATAAATATTAAAACATTATGCCATGGCAACCATTGTCTTACTTTCAGCTGCAGCAGGCAGATTTTTAAAAGTCAAAAACCTCTGAAACACAAGTGGTCCAGCTCTATAGGACTGAGAAAAATAACCTTTAACTTTTGGAAGTTCAAGAGCCATATTAGCACCTACAAATTTTTCAGTGTTGAAAATGGGGCTTCATAACAGAAAGTAATTGGGTTTTATTGATCCAGTGGATGGTTGCTTCATCTCTGCTGCATATCGAGAGCTCTGAAAGAGGTCCAATAGAGTGCATGGTTGCATTGATAACTTGTCTGTGCTGCCCCCATGTGGCATAAAAATAGACATGCAGGGTTAGGGCCAACTAACAATGCTGCCCTTTCCCCTGCTTTAGTTCTGCATTCGACAAGAAAATTAAGCTTAAATATTAAATACATTGCTTATTTCTCTAATATCACTCACATATACTGCTCAGTCTTTTCCTCTCATCGACCCTAAATTAGTGCCTGCAGGTTTAAAACTGTGTTTCAAAGAAAAGCTATAGTGGTCAAATCAAAGCTTTCAGGCACCAGTTTGGCTCAGTTTATAGGGAAAGGCTACAGTCCTCAATGCACCAATTGGGTATGACACGCACCATTAATGTCTCTTATCTGAAAAAAAGGTAAAAGTCTAAAATCCAAACATGCAAATAATCAAAGTTTCAGCCTGACTGAATTTGCCTGAATATCCATCAAAGTTGCATTTTACATAATTCAAAATCCTCTCTTTTCCTCTCAGATCATCTTCTACGAGGACAGGAACTTCCAGGGCCGCTCCTACGAGTGCATGAGCGACTGCCCGGACATGTCCTCCTACCTGAGCAGGTGCCACTCCTGCAGGGTGGAGAATGGTTGTTTCATCGTGTATGATCGCTCCAACTACAATGGTAACCAGCACTTCCTGAGGAGGGGCGAGTACTCTGATTACATGAACATGATGGGCATGAACGACTGCATCAGGTCCTGCCGCATGATCCCCATGGTGAGATCTCATACCTCATAAATATAACATCTCTTAAATGATGGGGACATAGCAAAAGTATGAAATCGGCCATGTTTAACACTCTGCTCCTCCACAAAACAGCACAGGGGACCCTTCAGGATGAGGATCTATGAGAGGGAGAACTTCAACGGCCAGATGCATGAGGTGATGGACGACTGCGACAACGTCATGGACCGTTACCGCATGTCCCAGTGCATGTCCTGCAACGTGATGGACGGTCACTGGCTGATGTACGAGCAGCCCCACTTCAGAGGCAGGATGATGTACATGAGGCCCGGGGAGTACAGGAACTTCATGTACAACGGCAACAACGGCAACCACGGCAATCATGGCAACCATGGCAACAACGGCAACGGCATGAGGTTCATGAGCATCAGGCGCATCACCGACTCCTGCCATTAGACCTTTTACTTTGAATAAAAGAGTCCAGATCTGAGCTGATGGTGTCTTTGAGTCCTTTATAATGAAACTCCAATAACAAAATGAGAGCTGAAGTTGCAAAGTGCTTCATAAATCTGGTTCAAAAGATCAACAACAACAAAAAAGGTGAAAAAAAAAAAATAAAATAAAAAGACAGAGGTAGTTATACAGTTCAGGAGACAATGGCCAATAACACAGGAAGGGTGTAATCCATAGATTGAATACATGCAAGGACAACTAATATAGACCCAGACAAATAAAGAGAACAAGATTATCAGAAATCCTGTTTTAAAAATCCCTTTATAGGAGAGTCTGCCAACACTCTATATTAACCCAACTTTTATAATGCATCATAAGCACATTCATAAAACCTTATAAATGCAACTGTACGCCTTCATAACAAGCCTCATTAGTGATAATAGGCATGTTCAACAACTTATAGCATTGTTTATAAAGTGCTGTGAACATCATGCCTTATCAAGATATGGTCTATAACACATTATTCATTCATACAAAAGAAAAAAAAGAGGCAATACATAATCATAAATATGATGAGTAACAGCAGCATCATTTTCTTCTTTGCAGTAAAGAAACAAACATGACTTATTCTTGAACTAAAAGCCAAGCTGCTGATTCAGTTTCTTTAAAAGTTGCTGTATATGAAGTTGAACAGACAGAGGATCTTCAAAAGGCAATACAGACTCAATTACAACACCTTTACAATAAGTAATAGATGGAAGGTTCAGCTGCTTTGTCTTTAAGCTTTAAAATATCACAAGTTTTGTTTTAGCAAGATTTAAGATCAATTTCAACTCATGAAAGGTGTCTGTCACAGTATCAAAGGCACCTTACAAGTAACTCATGGTCTGATGCTGTGTTGGAGCCGTGTAGTAAAATGACAGTATCATCCACATTAATTTGCATAAGGAATATTTTGACTGATACAGTTTATATAGCGTTGAAAAACAATGATCCCTAAACAGAGCCCTGAGGCACACCGTCACAACTCAAAGAGATCTGGAGGGGATTCCTTCAGCCTGAACACACTGTGGTTTGATAACGACTGTTGTGATTTGGCGCTATATAAATATAATTTGATTGATTGAATTTGATTTGATTGACAAATAATGATCGAACCAGCAGTCCAACACTAAGTTTGAAGAATCTTAAATTAAGTCTAAATTTTATTGATAGATTCTTGACTCTAAAGTCAAAGTGCTGTGAGCTCTGTCAGAGGTCCTGGTTAAAAGCCTGACTCAACCTGCCTGAGACTCAACATTCATCATGCCACTTGCTTCATAAAACAAATGGCAGCAGTTAGAAAAAAAACTTCCTTTAAACAGGCAGAAACCTGGAGCATTTACTACTTCTCACTGCTGAGCTTTTATTCCCTGGTTCTTAATAAGCCTTGTGTAAACTGATATTGTTTCATTAAAAAGAGGAAGTTTAGACTGATTCTTTGAGGAATTCAAACAGTTGTGTCTATAGTCTTACATAATACCTCCGGATATTGTCACATAAATATTGAAATAGCTGAGATTATCTGATTATATTAACACTTCTCCAGTTTGGCCTTGGTCTGATTCAGAGCTGGGAGGAGATGTAAATATTGTGTTTGGAGAGTCTGAGTTTATGTCTGATTAAATATGTATTTCCTTCAGGCCTGCTCTTATCAGGAACAGAATAACAGAGCAGTCACACAGGTAAATACACAGCTGGAGTCTAATAAGTCTTTTGGGGGTGAGGTAAAACAAATATCTCACATACGTGAAACAACATTCTATAAATTAACTTGTAAATATCTTTAACACAGCCAATTTCATTGAAATCTGAGACAAACGTAGAGCAAAAAGAGGCTGTCATGAAAATATCCTAAAGATTTACGTATTTAATCTCTACTCTGTGCAGCAAGATAGGAATTTATTCATATTGCCTAATTTTAGTCAGGCCTCAAAGAAAGATTTGAGAAGCACATGTCTCTGTCTTTCCTCCTCACACTGTTTTTATCTTTCCTCTCTCTTCTTCCTCCAGAGATCGGCCAATCCAGTGAGTGAGAGGGGAATCGATGCCCTGATACAAGATTCAGCCTAATGAGGATCAGAAACATCTTAATAAAGACCCTTAATCCTCCACTTAATCCCTCATTACAGAATCATCTGCATTCACTGGTCCTGCTCCATACCGCCGCAGTGACGGCACATCCAGGTCCATTGTTCTGCCTCGCCTCATCCCTCACCCAGGGCTACGTCTCCCTTTGTCTCCCCTCGGTGTCAGTTATATTTGATCCGCTCTCATTAGACTTTCAGACGAGATCAGCGGAAGGGCCTGAAAAATAGTGCTTTTGTGTGCACTTCTATGCTTTCTCCCCTCTGAAATGGAAAATGGGACATATGCTTAATGAGGGGGGAAAATGGACTGGGACCTGGTGTCCAACACAGAGATAAGGGCTGTATTGTGTGGAGAAAGTGCTGTGACCAATACCATCGAAGGACACACTTCGCAGTCAGTGTCTGTATCAATGATTATGACTTCTGAGAGCGTGAAAATTGCTCTGAAGTGGGACAGATGGATTAAAGATTAATGCTGAGTCCTGGAGAGTCTGGGTTTTAGTTGAGTGCAGCATTAACACAAAAGTTAAAGAAGTTTTACGCAAGTTAAAAATGAGTTGTCTCTAATATGATTCTACTTGTATTAGTCAAGTGTTGCTCCTCCAGCTAATCCTGCTGATAATCAACAGCCCAGTCAATGCTCCTCACTGGTTTGTTTTCATTTCCTTCAAGCCCAAATTTCCTTTAGCCAGACTCAGATTATACCGGAGAATAAGGCTGATTTCAATTCAACAATCACAGGAAAAATTGGTCTTGTGTACCGGTATTTGGCAATAACTAATAAGCGCTAAGGAGAGAAATCCACATAGACGAAAAAGCATCTGATGGTATTACCAAGAATCTGCAATAACTTAGTCTTGAGGGTGGCGTTAAAGCCACAACACTAGGGTTGCAAAATTCCAGGAATTTTCAAAGTTGGAAACTTTCCATGGGAATTAACAGGAATAAATGGGACTTAACGGGAATAAATCAGAAATTTCCTAAATTGAAGGTTGGCCTTCAACAGGGAACTTAAGTATAGTTGGGGAAAATATGTTGTAGCATAATCTTGGCTAAAACAACCAGATTTAATGCAAGTACACTGCTCAATCACATGCACACAGCACACGGCGTACTGCAGGGCTATTGAGGCCACACCCCCTACATGCACTGAACATTCCTCCATCACACGCACAGATGATTTCTTGAACCCTGGAGGCCACACTTTTGAGCCCAGAGCACAAGACATTTGAGCCCACAGACTATATAAAGTCAAGTAAGTTTTGATAATATTATGGGGTAAATCTATTTGATCTATAATAGTATCAATATTTAACCTGCAAAAAAAATAAATAAAAATAGGTGCTAAATGTAAGCTATTTTTCATTTCATTGACCATTTAAGGGGCTAGCTTATTATGGTGGTAGTAGCTACCTCATAGCTGATTGATTTCCACAGAGAAAAGGAAAGCAAGAAAGAAAGAGAAAAGGAAGAGAAAGAAAGAAAAACCTAATCTAAGAGCACCAGGAGCATCACCAACAAAAGTGAGCTTCCTGCCGGCGAGGTCCCAGACCAGAACCCCTGCGTGAGGATGGCCATGCTCACACTACAACAGGGCACCGACAGGAGGTTGTGTCTAGCAATGTGAGCGCCAATACTCACCTGATCCACACAACCAAGGACACATCCATCCTCCAACCTCCCAAGGCCCCAGCTGTCCACCACACTCTCCTGAGGCCCCAGCTTTCCGAAGCCGGGCCCAGAGATTGGGTGGACTGCCTCTGGTGGCTGACATGGGTCCTATAAATTACCTCTGTTTAAATGCGTTATGAAATCATTGATGACCTTAGAGCTGCAGAAGAACAATGAGATGATTTTGGACCTCAGAATGTATTATGATGTGTGGAAGCATTTCACTCAAGCCAATGTTGAAGGAAAAATATTTACATTTTTGTTTGGATGTGATACAGTTTGTTTAAATGACCACCAATTTCCAGTTAACTCCCATAAATTCCCATAATTCCCATCGAAAGTTTCCAATTTGGAATATCTTCTAAATTCCCAGGCTTAACTTCCCATGGAAAGTTTTTGGAAATTCACCAGATATTTACTGAAAATTTTCCGCCCCTTTGCAACCCTACATAACACCATTGTTGGAAGATTAACGTTAAAACTTTGAACAGAAGCTGCACCACTACACAAAGGTCCACAACATGTGGTGTTTCTGCTGCTGTGGAGCTTTGTTAAATACCTGTTTCTTTGTGTGTGGTTTGCAAACCTCCTGGCAATTGAAACAGCAGTTGAGCTCAGCCAATCAGAGCTTTGATAGCTGTACAAACCTGCTGAATACAACCAGTTTGCCTTTAGTTATGGTACTTACCTCTGTTAGTAATTTACAGTCTTAAACTGAGGAGTCTTGTCAATCAAATGAAATGCATGGTAAAAACCAAACAAGGGGAAAGCTGTTAAATAGTGCGGCCTCTGGACAAGATACTGAAATACCTGTTAAAATACCTCTACATGTATTTTACACAGGTATCAGTCATACATTGGTGAGAAGGACTCAACCTATTGTAAAAGATGGAGAAGAGGTGTTCAAGATGCAGAATTCAATGAAAAACAGCAGCAAACGTCTGATTTCCAGTTTTCACAGAATAATATATACCCTCTGTTTAATCAGCTGCAACCAAGCAGCAACCTTTGTCTTGAGAAATGAAACTAATCTTAAATTTCTGGAAACTGCAGTTCCTTGAGTGTCCACTAGAGCCTGAGTGCTGGAAAACAAATACATATCCATTCAAAAGGGCCTGTAATTACAGCTAAAATAAACATGTTTAAAGTCTTTTGGGGTTTGAGTAGCTCGTCTCCCCATCTGCACACACTGTCGGATGGTTG